CTAAGTATGTGCTATATATTGCCCATCTGGTAATAAGAATCGCGCCTCTTGACATACATCCAAACAGACCCATGAGCTTCTTGCGACAGGAAATCATCTTTGCTGGAAATTCTGGCCTTCTGAACTTTGCAAAAACCACACTTTTGTCCCTAGAAGCAAAAAACAGGGAGCTTGGTCTCGAGGGAAGAAAAGACTCAGGGCTCAGGCAGCAAGATATTTGCGCTAAAAGTTTTTAGGTGTTAATATTTGATTATACAGAAACTTGCTGGAAAAATTACCCTTCTTCTCAACCATACTTCTGCTAAAAGCGGAAGCATAAGGAGCTTGGTTTCGAGGGAAGGAAAGAACTAGGGTTTTATACGACAGGACAGTTTCGGTAAGATTGTCCTTCAAAGGAAGGCGCTGGGCCAGCTTCTGTTCAAGAAATGAGCCCGTTCACTGGCAAGACATCATCGAAGAAATGCTGCTTCGTTTTTACCGACATATCTGAGTTTTTGGCTGCTGGAAGACATAAATTGACGCTTCCTTTAACATGGCACTTTCCTGGAAATCAATCTGAGTTTTGGGATGAATCAGCTGCTCTAAACAGGTGCTTCGAGGTAGCTTCCTTGTTTAAGAGCTGTGGTATCTGGGCAAAGGTATGTGCAAGAAAACAGCAAAGATGCTTTGCGCATAGTCAGTGGTAGCAGCTTCTTTTCCTAAGAGCATAGTGTTTTGTTTCTACTACTCACAACATGCCTAAGGTCGCTGGGAAGATGAAAATTCTCTTTCTTGGGATTTTAGTTAATTAATGGCAGATATCAATGTATCTGCCCCCATCCACCTACTAGCGACCCGTAGGGTCGCTAGTCTTATATATAAAGCTGAATGTCTGTTTGTCTGTATGTCTGTCTGTCTGTCTGTCTGTATGTCTGTCTGTCTGTACGTATGTTCCGAATAGAAAATTCCATTTCTAAACCGATCCGGACCAAACTTGGTACACATACACTACGGGCCCCGGCGGGTGTCATAGGCTACTTTTCGTCATCGATCGATATCGATTTTATCGATTTTTATCGATTTTTTTGCTGAGTTCACCTACGGGGCTGGGAGTTGGCACAGGGGGGTAATCGAGCATGGGGATTCCGAATACAATATTGGTTTGCAGGATTATCGATTACTTTTATCGATTTTATCGATTTTTTTGCAAAGTTTGAGCTACGAGGCTGGGAGTTGGCACAGGAGGGTAATCAAGCATGGGGATTCCGAATACAATATTGGTTTTCAGGATTATCGATTACTTTTATCGATTTTATCGATTTTTTTGCAAAGTTTGAGCTATGGGGCTGGGAGTTCGCAACAGGGGGGTAATCGAGCATGGGGATTCCGAATACAATATTGGTTTGCAGGATTATCGATTACTTTTATCAATTTTATCGATTTTTTTGCAAAGTTTGAGCTACGAGGCTGGGAGTTGGCACAGGAGGGTAATCAAGCATGGGGATTCCGAATACAATATTGGTTTTCAGGATTATCGATTACTTTTATCGATTTTATCGATTTTTTTGCAAAGTTTGAGCTATGGGGCTGGGAGTTCGCACAGGGGGGTAATCGAGCATGGGGATTCCGAATATAATATTGGTTTTCGGGATTATCGATTACTTTTATCGATTTTATCGATTTTTTTTGCAAAGTTTGAGCTAGGGGGCTGAGAGTTGGCACAGGGGGGTAATCGAGCATGCTGATCATCCCCAAGGGGGGTGATCAGCATGCTCGATTACACCCCTGTGCCAAATTCCAGCCCCCTAGCTCAAATTTTCAGAAAATCGATGAATTCGATAAAAGTAATGGACGATCTTGAAAACTAATATTGTATTCGTAATCTGCATGCTCGATTACCCCCCTGTGCAAACTCCCAGCCCCGCAGGTCAAACTTTACAAAAAAAATCGATAAATTCGATAAAAGTAATGGACGATCTTGAAAACTAATATTGTATTCGTAATCTGCATGCTCGATTACCCCCCTGTGCAAACTCCCAGCCCCGCAGGTCAAACTTTACAAAAAAAATCGATAAAATCGATAAAAGTAATGGACGATCCTGAAAACTAATATTGTGTTCGTAATCAGCATGCTCGATTACCCCCTGTGCAGAATCCCAGCCTCGCATGTCAAAATTTACAAAAAATCGATAAAATCAATAAAAGTATTCGATAATTCTGAAAACTAATATTGTATTCGGAATCCCCATGCTCGCTTCCCCCCCTGTGCCAACTCCTAGCCCTGTAGGTGAACTCTGCAAAAAAAATCGATAAAAATCGGTAAAATCGACATCGATCGATAACGAAAAGTGGACTGTGACACCCGCCGGGGCCCGAAGTGTATGTGTGACAAGTTTGGTCCGGATCGGTTGAGAAATGGAATTTTCTATTCGGAACATACGGCGGAGCCGGGTAAGCCAGCTAGTCTAGAATTTTCCTATATCCCAAATAGGTTTCGATATACCATTAGATAGAGCAAACCTAGCTCTATAACAAAGTGCTCAAATATCTGCACCAGCTTTGATCCACGCTAAGTTTTGAGCCGAAAATTGAAAAAAAAACATGAGTTCGAAAACCTTAAGACCAATCAAAAAAAATATTAACTTCGTTCAAAAAGCTCCTACAAAGTTTCTTTTCTGCTCACGCGTAGAATTCCACGTAAAACATTTATCTATGCGATTGCTGTATTTTTTTCTCAGCTAGACGATGAGAAAACGAAGTTTTTCATGTTTTTGCCACATTAGTGCTGAGATGTTCTAGCACTAACAGTTGTATGGTATATGCCGTTAGCAGTGAGACGTGAGACTTTACATTTTCAGCCTTCTATAACCGCTAGTTCACAAGAAATGATGAATCTAGCTCTCCTTATCCAAACTTTTCTCGCTTAGTTCCTAAAAATTCGATATTTCTCGTAAACCAGCTGCTGTAAAGAGCTGAAAATCCACACTCGTGCTTCCAAGGCCCTATAGCATACAACTGTCAGTGCTAGAACATCTCAGCATTGTTTTGGAAAAACATGGGAAACTTCGTTTTTTCAATTTCTAGCTGGGAGATACAGCAACTGCATAGAGAGATGTCTTATACGAAATGACAATGCATGAGCATTGAATGTCCAATTTTTTCTTGGTTTTTTGGGCGTTTGGGTCTTTTTCGTTTTTGGCTTCAATCTTCGCCTTGAAAGCTGCTGCAAATCTTTAAGCACTATTTTGTAGAGCTAGGTTTGCTCTATCTAATGATTTATCGAATCCTACTTGGGATATAGAATTATTGAGATTGTTGTGGTTTGTACCTATTTTGGTGCGGGAATTATGCATCAACCTAATACTTTGGACCAAATCGAATAGATATTCGAGTATTTGAATAAAGTATTCGAATAAATTTTATTCGAAATTCGATTATTCGAAAATTCCGAAATCTCGAATATATTCGATATATGCTTATTCAAAATCCGTCAATTTCGAATTTATTCGATTATTCGGTTAATCGAGAATTTTGATTTTCGAAAATATTCGAACATTCGAATATTTATTTTCAAAAGTCATTCGATTATCCGATAATTTCGTGTGATCAAATAACTACATGACAGTGTCACAATTTTGACTGCTATATCAGCAACCATCGTTTGTTCTCTAAGTTGTCCACTGAATGGAGTCCTTTATTGTGCTAATTCGATCGAAATTTGTTGAGTATTCGACATAATCGATGCAAAATATTCATTTATTCGGATATTTTTCTCAAATTTATTCGACTACTAGTTAACTTACCCGGCTCCGCCCGGCCCTGTCATTATTATATTCGTAATCAGCATACTCGATTACCTCCTGTGCCAACTCCCAGCCCGGTCGCTCAAATTTTGCAAAAAATCGATAAAATCGATATCGACCGATGACAAAAAGTAGCCTATGACACCCACCGGGGCCCGAAGTGTATGTGTGCCAAGTTTGGTCCGGATCGGTTCAGAAATGGAATTTTCTATTCGGAACATGCGTACATACATACATACATACATACATACATACATACATACAGACAGACAGACAGACAGACAAACAGACATTCAGCTTTATATACAAGATTCGGATTTTTTCATTTCAAATATATTCGATCGAATTAGCACAATAAAGGATTCTTTCGATTATTCGACGATTTTCTTATTTCGAAAATATTCGATATTTAATTATTCGGCATTTTTGTTTTTCGAAAATATTCGATAATCGAATATTCGACATTTTGTTTTTGAAAACATTCGAAATTCGATCATTTGTATTTTTGAGATTCGAATATATTCGGTTATTCGAAAAAATTCTCGAATATTCCAAAGTATACACCATATGCCTACCGTAACCCTCACTGCGACTTGAAATAGACTGATCTTTACCCGCGCTTGTAGCTTATGTTATAGCCTACATCGTAGCAAAACTTGAGGGCGTCATATACAAATAGAGAAAAATTATCAAAGCATTGTGTAGTTGTGTTCTGCCAACCAGGTTTTGTAGTGGAACTTTATCGTTGACCTTACATTTCGACAAATATCGTCTTCTTCGGAGGTCTCTAGTCCACCATGGAGTCAGTAGTTCGGTCCGCACGAATGTGACAGACACAATCAGTCTAAAGACCTCCGAAGAAAACGATATTTGTCAAAACGTAAGGTCAACGATAAAGATCCACCATAAAACCTGGTTGACAGAACAACACTACAATATTCGATGCATCATGCCCAGGTAAAGAAGAGAGCACGTGGAAATTATCAGAGTATTTGCAAACTTAGCTAACAGCCTAATGTATGCAATTCGACCAAGTTGATCTTCGAATACTTTCGTAAATGAACATTGCATAACTATGCTATCGGCTAATCCAAATTTAACGAGGCTGCGCGAAGTTCAGCGATCAAATGGACAGCCTGCCCCCATTGCGGTAGTTCCAAGTCTATTCATTTCGTATCACCATGCTTTGCCCTTGAATCGAATTATTAACTTTAGGGAATGCCGGTGCTACTTTATATGGCAACTGCTATGTTGGCAATTTCAAGCTGCTCTACTGAAACTAATGAATCCGAATCTAACAAAGGTAGCTTTTCTGCAATAGGATCAATGATTCAGTAAGAAATTATCAATGACCATGCTTTTGCTTAGCAATAGGAATTTGTTGAGTAAATTACTACTTCAAGCACACAAGAAAACTGTCGAGTGTAACATTTTGATTCAACTAAATGCAAAATTCAATATTTTTTCACGCAAATAAGAAAGTACAAGGGTATTGGAACATCGCCTCACTCATCATCACTTTGTAGAGTCCACAGAATCTTCGAAGACTTTCAAAGCTCCGGAATCACCAGAATTTCTCCGATTGGCTAGCGACAATGCTCGTAAGGAATATATAGGTATGTGTCAGTGGCGGTCCCAGGATTTCGGACCCGGGGACGCCTTCGAAAAAAATTTTTCATAAGGCTTTTGAATTTCTAAGAATTTTCAAAAATTATTTTAATTGTTTACAAGAGTAAACAAGTCACTTGTACATTTTTATAACCCATGTAAGTAAACTCAAAAAATCTCGCACCCATTCTCGGGGGTGGGGGCCCTGTTTGTAATCAAGCACACTTGGAGAACTTGTGGCTAAAAAGATTGAAAACTAGCATTTTCCCCCTACGTTCAAAAGACGAAATTCGATGCCATTCGACCGAAAAACAATTGTCGAAGCAATTTGTAAATTCCCAGTGAAACACGAACGCACTCATTGGCCTGCTCTCTAGCACAGACCACATTTCAGAGCTCGAAACCAACATGAATGTACCCCTGGCGGCTATGAGAAAAGCGCAAGATGCTTGGGCAAGAAATATTGGCGAGCCAGTCTATGTAAGTTTTCAAACTGCAAAATCGTCTGGGAGCCATAGTAAGTAACCCAGTACGTTTTCCAGGGTGCTTACATACGTCATATGATTGCTCATGATCGCGCTAAAAATACTGAAAATGCTAGAATGAATAGCACCGTTGCCGTACTATCTAAAGCTGCTCAAGCAGCTGATCAAATCATCAGAGGTAAAATTTATAGTAACTTCCATTATTTCAAGTTTTTAATGCTATTTTCAGGCATTTATTCCAACGAAACGCTGACCAAAAAACAGATCAATGCTGAGGTGTCGAAACAGATAAAACGCTTGCCGAAAAAAGTGTATAAGGAACTTACGCTTGCCAGTCAGTGATAAACAAGCTAAAACTTTTTGAAAAGTTTGTTAGTAAATCCTGTGAAGTATTGTGCCCTGCAGTGGCGGACTGAGGGTAAAGATCCCCTAACCCCGAGAATGGGTCGCGGAATTTTTTACAAGTATTAGGTCGTCCCGAAAGTTCTTGCGCACGCTTTTCAAAAATTCATAACTTCTGATATTTCCAACCGATTTGACTGCTTTTATTTTTTTTATGAAAGGGTAAGTCATGCTCTTTATAACGACATCTTAGCTGCTTACGAATGGTCATCTTTTACCTAGATAGGAGCGATAGAAAAAAAAATTGGTCAAAATTTGAATTTTCTGTGTAAGGTCATAAAAATCGGAAGCTTGCAACAAAAATCGGAACAGTCGGTATTGTAGGTACTTTCACCAGCTCTTTCTAGCAGTGCAACTGCGCCGAATGAGCGTCTCTATGAAAAGTTATGATTTCCCTGAAAAATGCCAAAATAAATCAAATTCGCCGTTTTCTATTGATTGCTCGAAAATCATAACTTTTCATAGAGACGTTCAATCAGCACAAACTTTGCACCGTTAGAAAGAGCTGGTGAAAGAACCTACAATACTGAGTGCTTCGATTTTTGTTGCAAGTTTCCGATTTTTTATGACCCTACACGAAAAATTCGAATTTTGACTAATTTTTTCAATCGCTCCTATCTATGCGAAAGATGAACACTAGTAAGCAGCTAAGAAGTCGTTATAAAGAGCATGACTTATCCTTTCATACCAAAGTAAAAGCAGTCAAATCGGTTGGAAAAATCAGGGTTGGTAGCTCGGAGATAACTCAGAGTTAACTCTGAGTTATCTCTGAGCTAACGCGCAACTTTTTGACCCCTTTAACAGGTATTTGAAAAGATCAAATCCGGAAAGCGATGATATGGCAGGATTCTCCTTAACACGTAGTTTATTCCTAGTAGCGCAATATTGTCCAAATCGTCCTGCACAAGAAACAGCGCCACCAAACGCGCAACTAGTGTCTGCGATAACCCTGAGTTTGATGCGCGTTTCAGTCTATCATGGAACTCAGAGATAACTCTGAGTTTGGTCAGAGAAAGAGAAATAGTGCGCAAAAGAAGAGGGGTAGCTAAAAAGTCCTCTGGGGTACATTTTGAAAGTAGTTTAAGCAGGCATGATGGGGGTATCGTGGTGCGCAGTGATTTACAAAATTTTGAAATTTTGCAAAAACTTGGCCCAGGGGGTTATTCGGTGCGCTGGTCACGCTTATGGTACCCATTTTTCACTATGGGTCATGTGGAGGTATTACGGTAGGTTTACGGTAGATGGGAGAAAATCACGAAACTGATCGAAACTTGGTACACTGGGGTTATTCGGGGCGCCGATAACGAATATGACATGTAGATTATACTGTGGTGTCTTCTGACGAGGTTACGGTAGGTTTACGGTAGATAGGAGAAAATCACGAAACTGATCGAAACTTGGTACACTGGGGTTATTCGGGGCGCCGATAACGAATATGAGGTGTAGATTATACTGCAGTGTCATCTGACGGGGTTACGGTAGGTTTACGGTAGATGAATTAAAGCGGCGGAATTAGCCGAAATTTGGTACACTAAGTTATTCGGGATGCAGATTACGGACAGTCTATCTGCTACATACACTGGTGACATATGGGACGGTTACGGTAGGTATGCGGTAAGTAAGACGAAATCATGGAAGGGCAAACTTTGCCCGGAGGATTTATTCTGTGCAAATCTTAGTAGTCAATTCTTATCATTGCGTATGCCATCCGCTTTCTCTATTTCAAGTTTGAAGCTTTCAGCTGCGCAAAAGACTAATCCTCGTGATGAACCATCACTGCCCGATAGAAATGGAAATGAGTGAGGCTTTGATATAACCTGTTTTGACCTGCTAAGTGTTAATAGGATGAGTGAGTACATTATGGCAAAGCAATTATAGGGTTCATGGGTGTGTCACGGTCTAGAGGTTTGATGATAGGATCTTTACGCTAGACCATACAGGTTCGAGTCCCTACTTTAACGTTGCTTTTGCAGCAAAGTGCTTAACAGCTCCTCAAAGCAAAACTCCGAGCTTGAGAGTTGGAATTCGGAATTACGAAAGCGGAACTCAGAGTTTTAATAAGCGTAATTCAGAGTTTCGAAAACGAAACTCAGAGTTATCTCTGAGTTAACGCGGAGCTTCAAACTCGGAGTTTCGACCAGATTACTACCGACCCAGAAGTTATGAATTTTTGAAAATCGTGCGCAAGAACTTTCGGGACGACCTAATAAGTTGCCAAGATGAGATATTAACATGTGCAAGTGATTTGTTCATAAATGTAAACAATTGGGATAATTTTTAAGATTTTACAAAAATATCTACCAATCTCGCAAAAAACTTTTTCGGGGCATGGCCGCAGCCCCTTTAGTGCAATACTGCGTTTGTGAGCCTGAAAAAGGTCTGGGAAGGATCCCAAAAATTTTTTTGGAGTGCTTGGCTGAAGTACGCACCTTCATTCGAGAAGAATTTTCGTCCAGCCCCCCTCCTCCCGAGTGGAAATCCTGGAACTGCCAGTGGCTCGTAACGTCATATAAAGTCTAAGAAAACCTTCACAAATTATTAAGCACTGATGATTTCTTGTTCCGAGAAGTAACAAACACAGCAAAGTACTCAAATCCGACGGCAAAATACTATTATTTCAAGGGTTACCCCAAAAAGAACGCCCAAAATCGCCCAAAAAGTTGCATTATAAATCTAATTCAATGCCAAATGCAAGACTTGATATCTACCCACAAACCGTTTTCCAGCAGTCAGTAATGAGAGACTTTCGAAAAAAGTTAACCATACAATTCACCAAAGTCAGAGGGGGAAAATTTAGGGAAAAAGTTAGCCATACCTTTTACTCGCATTATGTTTGATCTTCGCTTGCTGATGCCACCCTTTGCCCGTTCATAGCAAGCTTGCTTGTAGGCTCTAAGCAAGTCAATTGTTTTCAATTGTCTACCACTTACCATTATTGGGTTGTCTCACGGTTTGTTCTCATATCTGATTGTCGAAATTGACATTCTTCAGGAACTAAGGCATTCACAAAGTGTAAACTTATAGCTATAATCCTGAATGAATAATATACAACAGTATGTCAGAGGAACAAGAACTGCCAGAGGGAAAGCTTTGAAATTGATGCGCATCTTAGCCACACTTATTGTAGGTGAATTTATATGTAAATGAATAAAGCCATCTTGTAGAGCTTTGCTCTGCTCAAAAGGCTACCTAAATGCATGAAGACTATGACTTGTAACGGTCAGCAGAAATCAAAGTTGGAAAAAAAAACATCAAGAAACAAAGACACAGCAAGACTCTTGGTTCTGGCTTGCAACCTAAGTAAGATCGTGTTTAAATACTTGAACCATGTAACACTTCGTCACGGAGGATTTTGGCCACTTTCTGCACGTATATTCACATCATAGCGTTGCCTTCAAAAATGGCACTAAGGGCCGCATGCACTAACATCCCCGCGGGGAGGGGATCGCAGCTTAAAAGAAAGCTTTATATTTCGAAACTTCAGATACCTGGATTTCACTTTGTGTACCTATCCGTAAGTATTCCTACTACCCTTCACTGTGAACATGTTGAAGAGTAGCGAGAAGCTGTACGAACCGCATTTTCCACCTTTTGTATGATCCCTAATGATCCCCGGCGCTTTTCTTTGAAGTCATTTTTCTTTTTCCAAAGCTAACGAAAAGTTTCCAAAGTTGTGCAGATTATCTAACCCAACACTGCTTAGCATGTTGCTGGTAAGAACAAGTGATGTATCGGAGTCATTTGCCATGAACCACAAGTCGAAAGTTGTGGTTTATCGAAAAATTCAATTTTTCAAAAACTCATTTGTTCTCATCAGTAACATGCTTAGCACTGTCGTATTAGATAATTTGTACAACTTTGGAAGGTTTTCGTTAGCTTCAAAGAAAGAAAAATGACTTTGAAGAAAAGGGGATCGTCAGGGACCATACAAAAGCTGGAAAATGCGGCTTGTACAGCTTCTCGCTCCCATTCAATATGTTCACAGTGAAGGATAGTAGGAATTCTTGCGGACAGGTAGACAGCGTTGAATCTCGATGTCTGAAGCTTCAGATTATGAAGCTTTCTTCTGAGCTGCGATCCCCTCCCCAGCGGGGTTGTTAGTGCATGCGGCCCCTAAGTTTGTGACTGGGTGAGGTATTTTTCTCAAACTCCGGGCACCCTGCCAATTTTGCAATTGATTCGCTGCCATTTTATTGTTAGGTCCCAACGCAAGCTTTTTATCACTTTCCACCAATACTCCTAGGCGAGCTGGCACAGACTTTGATTTTTAGTTTTGATTTTGCCCTCGACGCTGGGCATATTGAGTGACATTGCATGTATTAGAAAGTTCCATACTTATCGTCGTGCCAAAGCAACAAGTTCGTAAGCACTTCTTGAAAATGGAACAACTAAAACAGATCTTCAAAGTTGTAAATACGAACGAACAAATCACATTAAAGCCACTTGTAATGTCATAATCTATCTCCATGCATGTACGGAAGTTCTAGTTCTCTGAGTTTCTCGGGTTGTGCTGCTTTTCTTCAAAGTGCCAAACACAATGCACCGTAAGTTCACATTGATTAACAGCTGCAGCCATGCCGGTAAAGTAACGATAATTTCCATTTGATAAAGACTGAACAGCAGAAATTAGCAGAATTTTGGTCATACTGCGACTTAATAAAGAAAAGCAAAACTCACCTCCATTCCGTAACAATAGCGTAAAGCGCCTTGTTTTCAAAAAGTGTAGCATATCCGCCAATAACACTTCTCACCAACTCAGCCAAAATGGGTAGAGCTGAGAATAGAGCGCATAACAAAAGATTACGATCCAGTACCTGCAATGTCATACATTTGTATGATGTCCCCTGAGTAAGCTATGTTTTTGGGCACTTCGCTAGAGATTTGAAATTGTTTATTGGATGCACGGTGTGCTACTGATCAACCATGATTTTGTTCATTTCAAAAAAAAAACGTGGGAGAAACTTGATTTTGGGCTTTGCAGCCTAATTCATTCGTCATGCTCATTACAGTAAAAGATAAAGGATAAAGAATTCGGCGTCTTGATACCTTCTGCGGGCATGCGCCGCACACAACTTCGTAGTCGAAGAGGCAATTGTGTGCGTGCGAGTTTTTACAATGACTTGCGGGGTCCAGCCAGTTACCAAGTCAGTGCTTTTATCCTCCCAGAGTACTCTGGTACCACTTTACTAGTCCCGGAGGGTAAAGGCTTGGTTGGCTCACGGACGGGATCGAACCTGGGTCCGACTTGGTCATAGCGAAACCTCATACCATAGATGCGATAGGTGAAAAAATTTCTCTGACCCCCTTCACTTTAGGGCCGGCATCTGGTTGACCCCTTTCACCTGAGGTTCAGACTAGAATCAAGGCATAACGGCACAATCAAACAGCTGTTACAATGGCACTTTTTGTTCGGAAAGGAAACGCCAGCTGCTCTTCTCCTCAGACATCACGACTGCAAGAGAGTATCGAAGCAACAGCGTTTTGTTGAAAAAACGCATGCTTGGAAACCTACAGCGCACTCAAAGTGGCGTTGATAACGATTTGAATGATTAACATTATACCAATGAGTCCACACTGTCACAGAAAGAGCTGAGCAAGAGTAGAAAATCTGGACTAGCCAGTGATGGATACGTGTTTATTGACAAGAATCGTACTACATCTCCTTTTACTAGAGAGAATAATTACAAATAAAAGGACATTCAGATTACCCGTTTCTCAAGCTTTCGAATCATATATAAACTTCGAAAAAAACCTTCTTGATTTGAAAAAATAATTACCCAGAATTGGCTGATTTTGTAGCTGGGTAAAATTGCTCGTATCTTGCTTCACAGAGAAGCTAGGAAAAAAGAGACGGACTACGTCGATTCCTCATGTTCTTAGCTATCGAATGGTATACAGAGTTTTGGTGCATAAAGCTTTCCCAGTCCAAAAAAGTCTTGCTCCGGCTACCCATAGAAAGCCGGAGCAGGGTGGTGCAAGTTAGTATTGAATATCTCCACCTCAATTTTGAACGACCACGAGTTTTTTCACCCAACAACCTATACACCATTAGAAAGCTCACGAAACAAGGATTCGAGATAGACCGTCTTTTTTTCTCTAGCTCCCCTCTACTCAGAGATAAATGGCATTTTAGCTAAAAACATTTGTGTTTTTGTCAAGAAATTCCTGCGTGAAGAATGAATGAAGGTGCCTGATTTTCTACCAGTAGCACAGAGCAAGACCTTGCCAGTAAACGTAGACCGTCCCTTTTCTTCTAGTTCTCCTCTTTCTCTCAGGAATGGAGCGCAAAGTGATTGCATAAAATCAGTTGATGCTGAAGCTAGATATGATTCCTTATATGTGTATTCACAGGAGAGCTGGAAGAAAAGAGACGGTCTACGTCGATTCTTTATGCCTGAAGCTTTCGAATGGTACGTCGACTGAGGGAACACAAAGCTTTCCCGAGTCAAAAGTCTCTGTTAGATGACCTTCGAAGGCCTGAGCATTGAGAAAATCTTCATTTTACACCTCTGTACCGCTTTCCTTCTTTTCACTCCCGCTACCGTTAGGCATGCAAGCTTGCGTCAGCATTCATCTTAAAGGCAGTGTCCGGGCAAAAACTCGATTTTGAGATTTTGTGCTTACTTGGGCCTATTCGCTACGCTGAATCCGAAAATACACATTGTAGAGTGCGAAAATGGCGAAAAACGGCTCTAACACAGGAGGGAAATGAGCAGGTGGGCGGGGTCCTCCCCACTGCGAATTCACGTTCCCGGCTTCCGGAGTGACTTTCTCGCATCCGGTTTCAAGTCAATCATTCGCACTTGGCTGGTAGCGATGTTAAAACGGCTAGCGGAATCGAGAATCGCTCCAGGAGCTGGGAGCGTGAAATCGCATTGGGGAGAACCCCGCCCACCTGCTGATTTCCTTCCTATATTAGAGCCCCTTTTTGCCGTTTTCGCGCTTTCCAATGCGGATTTTCGGATTCAGCATGGCGAATAGGCCCGTATAAGCGCAAAATCTCAAAATCGAGTTTTTGCCCGGACACTGCCTTTAAGACTCAGTTACCCCCTTCACTTTTCCAGGTCGGAAATAGCCAAAACCCCCTTCACCTGGAGATGACCCTGCTCACCCTATCTCGCCTATGCCTCATACCACTACGCCACTCGTCCCCCGCTAAATACAGTGATAAATGGTAAGCAGCCTGTCTTATAGCCGCAAGCCAATAATAAATGAAGATGAAAATGTGAAAAAAGAAAATGTGCAAAAAGAAAAATTAAAATTGTCACCTTTTCTCAACATTTTTTATAGGCCCCAAAGCTCTAAGTTTTGGAATTTTCTATTTTCTGCGCAAACAGCTAAGCTTTTCATAAAAACTATCATCAAGAAACCTTCGCTTACGCTTGCTTCCGACTGCCTTCTTTAAGAGAGATTTATGGGCCGCAGAATAAATTACTACGTTGTAGCGTCGATATCTCAGTCTGAATAACTTTTAAAAAAATAGTAAGGTGTCCTTAATGTAGAAATTTCCATCATGTACGGTAACTAAAATTCCAAAAGAAAGCAATCATTCGCGCATGAGTTTTGGGCTGGGAAGTAAATGCAATGAGAACCTAGTTTCGAGCGCTTTTGTTTCAATCTGTAAATTTTAGACAAATGAGTCTACAAGCCCGCTTCAAGCGTCTTCAGATAGAGCATAAATAAAGCTTCTCAATAGTGGACAAAATCTCATAGAAGAAGAAAGTTTGGTGGAAAAAGTGCTTTGAACAAATCCTTGACAACTTTCACTATTTTCGGTCTATAAGGCCTTATACATACACTAGACACATAGAGCCATATACTCTGGTAACCTTCACTTTGAGCGCCATGATGGAACACAACCTTCACCTAAAAAAACAAAAAGTCATTCGGGGCGAAGCCTCGGGTTATAATTCTGACTATATCGGGATGAATGTGAAGGAGGCAAATGTAGGGAATGATATCTTTGGATTTCGCGAAACGAGAATTTGCGTTTTTATGGCCTTTTTCCAGAATTCGGGACAGAATCTCTCAATTAGCCTCTAAAATTGAGTTTTAGAAGTTTAAGGAAGCTGTTGGAGTTGAATAAAAACGCGAAACTGCGCTTAAAGGCAGTGGATCGGCAAAACTTGACAACCTAATATCTTAACGCAAGTAGGTTCCTTATCGTCAGGGTCAAACAAGGGGTGTGGCACACGATCGCTGGTTACGACCCCCCCCCCTGATTGCTGTCTTAATAAGACATCAACTATCTACTGGGGTTATTCATATAAATAGTGTCTGCTAAAAATGTTTTTTTTTTGATATAGTTAATGGCCTGCGGCCCCCCCCCCCTCAAAACCTGCGGCAGCCGCAGGTTTTGAGGGGGGGGGGGTGCCGCAGGCCATTAACTATACCAAAAAAACATTTTTAGCAGACACTATTTATATGAATCGATAGCCTAAACCTTGTAGCTTCCATAGGACTATTTTGAGCCTGATTCGTCTTTTTAGCTCCAAATAATATTTGGTGAAAGCACAGCGATCAAAAGCGAAAAATGGGAAAAACGAGATTTTGGTTGGCTTCTAATTCCACAGATTGGAGGTCTTCTGAAGCAGGATTCCTGAAATGGACAAAGAAGGAGTAGTGCTTTGTCTTGAGTGCAAAAACGGAACTAATTTACCTTTAAAACAAAGTAAACCATGTTGGAATTTGACCATTTCACTTAGGTAGCCTAGTATTTTGAACCTTCAGAAATCGCTCACACTTTGTCTACAGGGGTTATTTAACATGCTAATTATGGATATGATACGAATATCATGTTATCACTATTATCAGATTACCCAACTACGACCCCCTCCCCTTTTGGCTCCTCAATACGACCCCCCAAGTGTGGCGTGCCGCACCCCACGCTTGACCCTGCTCATCGTCCAAGTATGAACACAGTGCAATCCAGGTTGCACAGCATGCCTTCCCTGTCGAGAAAATCGCTCTTAAACTTACACGCGCAAGCCAACCTTACACGCACCCGGACGAGTTGTCAACTTCCTTCTCACCACTGGAGGCTGCCCGCCGCAATGCTATAATCATTGGGTCCCGCAACGATTAGCGCCATCAGCCTTGCTCCACTCGTCCAATCTTGAAGAGAAGAGGGTTGAAAAGCGCTCGTTTTCGCCATTTTCGAGCTCTTTAAAGTGGATTTTCGTGATCAGCGTATTGATTAACCCCAGGTAAGCGAAAATTTGACTAGGTTGAGATTTGCCGAGCCACTGCCTTCAATCCTTGCGCAGAGACTCGCGCACGAAAATGCTGGTCTATCCTCGTTATTCAGTGAATTTCAACCCTGAAACGTTGTCGGTACTCCTCGTCGTGCCATGACGATCAGAATGATATATAATTGCAAGATTTCGTTGGGACCCCGCGGAGAACTACGACAAGAGCCAAGTGCTCCGTCGGCTCTGTCTGCTTCGCTGCTCGTCTGCGTTTCCGCGCGGCGCGCCTCCTCGCTACCCCAAACGCGGGCGCGGGGCATTTGCTTTGTTATCCTTTTCTTCATTTTCGAACCCAATTTCAACAAGCTATATATCATATTGAAGCTCTTGATCTCTACTTTCACGATGACAACTTCGAAAACCATATTTTTTGATTTGAAGAAATATCTGGCAAAAACCTTGTTTTCGAAAATTTCTTGTTTTTTCCTTAGTTCAAAGGCAGCGTCCGGGCAGATACGAAAATGTAGAGTACAGGGGAGCCCGTCCTGGTAAGGCCCGTCCTCTTGCCCAACTGGCAAGCACCAAATTGCTTCTGAAGCGACATAACCGCCTCAGAAGTGGCGACCGGAACGCCCCGGCGCCGGGACGAGTTACTTAGATGAGCCAGAGTGCGCATACCTCACACAGTCAAAACGTAGGGTCTCACAAAGACTCTGCGTCTTAACCTTGGCAGGTAAAATTAAAATTAAGAGCTTCTGGAAAAGCTCGTTTTCGACGTTTTCGTGCTGTCCAAGCTGCATTTTCGGAATCAGCGGAAAGGATAAGCCCAAGTAATCGAGGAAAATTCCATTCGAAATTTTGCCCGGACGCTGCGTTCAACCCTTTTCATGCGAGTTTTTCGTGCATTTTATAGATCTTGCTTTTGTTTATAATACAGACAACGACCCAGTGCTTATCTCTTCGATTGAGGCGGAAATTTTTTGTAATCGTAAAAAGTGCGTTTTTCTTTTGCTTTTGCAGCGATTTTCTTTTCAGCTTAGGCGATTGTTGCTCAGAAAAATGAGGGCTCAACGATGACTCAACAATGGCTTAACTGAGGCAGCGCTGACACGTCGAGGCTTTAACTGAAGCTCTCCTCAGTTGAGATCGAATAAGACAGCTTCACTACAGACCAGTGTCTCACTAAAATTGAGTTCGCACGGATATCCACATATTCTACTATGGGCCTCCTAATAAGCCATTGCATCAATCACTTGATCTGACACCTTCTACGCTGAGAAGAATACTCTCGAAGCGGTTCGCACAGAGTGATCTGGTCCTCACGGCCGATTTATCTGGTCCTCTTTACAAGGGCTCGGTACAGGTGGCTTACAAGGCAAGCTAGATATCGTTTTGGAATGAAAAGCAAAGGGGATATCGTTTAAGCGGAAAAACCAGCCCCCCCCCACACACACAATCGCCTTCTTCCTTTAGGTCACTTTTCATCTTCTTTAGAGGACGCAAATTGTCATTCCTGCCTTATCGATCCCATTCCTGCAAAAAACAAAAATCTTCTTTACAGTTCGCCGGCTAAGCGCGCGAATTCAAACTTGCCCCGAAACAAACAAAAAACTTTGTTTAAAACGAAGAGAAAGTGAAATGACCCCCGAATTGGTGCGTAGATGGGCAGTAGGGAGTTAGGACTATGTGCAAGAAGTTATGAAAAAAATATGTGAAGTGAAGGCGTGGCAAACTTTTTTCGGAGTTAGGTGGCTTTACAGCTGCCTGGATAGGTGCCTGAGGTGGCTGTGAAAAGAAGAAGTCATATATTTTTCTTCCTTCACATAATTTTCTCACATGTTTATCATAACCTTCTTCTGCATCAAAAACCCTACGACTGTGTTTCTGAATCTCCCTAAACCCACTCTTCCTCGCCTCGTTTCAGCCTTCGAAATATTTTATATGGCGGCGGCAAGCCTGCTCCAAGCGCGCAAGCGTGCGCGCCGGACACTGCATGCTGCCAATTCGAAGGATACGGACATTTTCAGTTCTTTTCCATCTGTTCAATGTTTTCTTTATGTTTTGTTCCATAATTTTTCGTTATTTGTTTTTATCCATTCATGTTCGCGTCACATGTGATGTCGTATTATTGTGGCGGAGTTTGGGTAGCTTCGTTCTTGAAAGATCAAAAAAGTCACCTCATGTCTTTGCGCGTTTTAACAGGCCACCTGACGCCTACCTCCATGGCGTGGCTGCCACTGTGGCGGAGGCTAGAGTAAAGACACAACTCGCGTTGCTTCTTTGGGACTTTGAAAAAACAGTTTGGACATTTTATGCTCAACTTGCGTTAGACAGGGTCGGAAATCTTGATATGCCATTGCGAAAAAAAACATCTCGACAACCAATTTTAGGGAAACACTGCCTTTGAGTTTCCGTCAAAGTAAGCAAGCTTTTTTTCAATTTATGTACTGCGTATCTGCCAACACGCCATAGTGTTTGCTACTCACTGTATAAATATAATAAAATATATTCCTCCTGTTTGTCTGAGAAACGCCGATACACACAAGGACATCTTTCTTTGTTTTATTTATGACAAACGGCTTACCGTTAGCTTGCTCGAGGTGAGATTGTTGCGAGTGTACCGTAGTGCGCTGCAGTAAAGTGTAGTACAAATAATCACAACGAGAGATAGTAACACGACAGAATGAATGGAGTCGTACTGAAAGTAGGATATCAGCAATTCTTCAATTGCAGCCGTTAATGGAGGCCAATCTGGTTTTGTTATCAAAATCATTATCGCGAAATCGCCATTTGTATTCTAATTCAAGTCAAAAGACGTGAAAGAAATGTGCAGGTGCGCAGCTGCCGAGGACGCAGCTGCAGAAGACAACACGTGTGTTCTTTGAAGGGGTTGGCTTTGTTAACCTCACTTCGCTCAAGACAACGACAGCGCTCGTTTCGTCAGATTCGCCGCTTCCCACTTCCCAGAACTATTGTCTATCACTTCATTATTAGTGTACTTTCGTCCTATATATCCTGTATTTGTGTGGGGTGACGCAATAAACTTTATGGAGAAGATGTCGTGAAACAGTCGGAAGTGTTGACAACAACCACAGTCTACCTTCTAACACATGCCTTCGATTGTTAGAAACGCAAATTTTAGCTTTTGTTTAGCATCATTACCTCACGTGAATTAAGTCCAGCGAGATTTGTATTGCTATAATTGTTCACATTTCCTAGTCTCCGCCACTTTATGTAAATGTGACCTAGCATGTTTGCACTAGCTTACAAAAGCTGTGCGCCCACAGTAAAAGCCTTTGCTGCTGATTTATAGAGGACCTTAACTCCTACTTTGCGCTCTAATGTAGATAGAATTGTCGAAAACCTGTTCACATTGAGCGGGCTCAATTTTAGACATGTTATTTTGGATCATCTATGTTGATGGGCGAAGCCATCATACCTTGTAGAGGATTTTTCGCGCTTTGAATTTCATGTCTTCAGCGGACTTGGGCCTTCACTTAGTTAGAGGCTTTGCGGGGCTCAACGCTGGCATCGGGTCAATTTGGATATCGTTTTTGGGGCAAAAAGCAAAGGGGATATCGTTTTTGTGAAATAACACAAAACATTGAGACGTTTTTCTTATCGACGTTTCATTTTTTAAAAGGATTTCTACGTTTAGGGTTTAGGGTCAGAGGGGAATTCGTACGAAATTTTAAGATCAAAGGGAACTTCGTCTTAAAACTTTCCTGGTGCCAGTTTGTGCCGAGCCCTTGTCATTATATTGCATCAGAGTTCCTCCACCCTCATTCTGATTGGACGCTGCCTTGAGGATGATGACCGCTTGTGAGGAACTGTTAATGCGTTTACTTTTTACTTCAACGGGAATGTTTTGCCGCCTTCAAAGTTTATTCTCTGCTCGCCCAAACATATGATTCTGCCCTCTCTGCTCTGTAAGTGCATGAAAATCACTTGTCAGAGATCTGGCAGTTCAAGGTCTGATCGACTACCGCGAAAAAACACGGATTTGCAGCTCCCTTACTCCATTCTGACAATAAGTATAAACTGCATATGTTGCAAAGAAAGCCGTGTAACTCAATGCTCATACAGCAGCTTCATGCATTGAACTACTTGAGTAAAGTTTGCCAACATAATCTTTGATGTGTTGTACAGAGGTGAAGCTTAATACTGACTGTGTTTAGATCAATGTGCAAACTTTTTTCAATCAAAATTGACTCACAAGCTTCTTGCAACAACGCTTTCTGTATGTTGCAATATATCACGGCCCTCGAATCAGCTCAATATTATGGTTTGTTTCATATCACTTATGTGTTAGTTTCACGGAAGAGCTTCATTAGCGATTCTCTTGACTTTTAGGTTTCAATTACAACGGCCATTCAACATAAGGTAGATTTCATCTAGCACAGCTCGAAATGCTGATTCCAAAACTGTCTTCGATAGGTGCAGAAAGAGTCTGTGTGGAGAGTTATCAGCACTTCAACCAGCAAATTGCAGTGTCTACAGAGTGGCCAAAATTACCAGCGCCAAAATCACAAACAGTGTCACGAAGAAATCACTGAGGAAAACAAGCTCAAATTTATGTCATAGAACGCGCTAATCAATCTCTACATGACACATCTTACAAAATTATTCTTTTCAAGAACGTGAGACTGTTGTAGCTCTCTACTTGTACTTGTACTTGTACTTGTGGTGGGTCCGGGACACTTGTAGAACAGTAGATTTATTAGTAGACTGGATATGAATAAGAACAGACGATAAGACGAGACGAATGACCTAGCTTGCAGGGAGCGCCTTATATAGCACTCAGATCCCGCGCATAGGTCAATACAATGCCAATAGATCCTAGAGATCACAAGCCAATTACAACACAAAACAAAACAACAAATGTTACTCTCCAACATCTCTCCCCTTAAGCTATCAATTGTATCCTTATTTGACGGGTCGATCACGATGCGGTACGGTGGGCGATGTGTCCTTTGCGGCCGGCGGCGAAGTGGCGGTGGAGATGGTTGAGTGGCGGATACGTCAGCATCCACGGGTTCTGCACCGGCAGCTGAGATATCGGGAGTGTCGTCGTCGAGAATGGCGTCTTGGGAAGCGAGAACATCAACGGAAACGGCAGGCGACGGTCTATGGAGTTCAAAATCTAGGAGATTGAGCTCTTTTAACAGCGTAGTAGTGGCGCCGGGAACCTTGTGATGGCCTAGTTGGTTGGCATGGCGTCTCCATAAAAATCCTTCGACTTTTACGTTGTAGAGTGAGCGTCCAATTCTTGATTGCACACGTCCTGGAGTCCAAGTAGGCTTCGATGGATTACGGTAGTCGTGAACTAGACGGCATCGTAGACTTCGAATTTCCTTTTCTTGGCTCCAGGTCGGCGATTGTACATTGCTTCCATCGCCGGTTTCGATCCGGGGGAGTGGGTTGGTGTGACATTTCGAGCGTCAGTGACCAAACGTGTGAGTGGAGTACTGATCGTTCGTCCAAGAAACATCTCGGCAGGCGAATTTTCCGGCGAAGGGAGGGTGTACAGCGATAGCAGAGTAACAGCTTCGACAAAGCTTCCGGAAGGTTTCCTTCTTCTTTCAGCTTCAGGATTCCTCTCTTGAAAATTCCGACAAAGCGTTCAGCGAGCCCATTCGACTGTGGGTGAAATGGCGGCGTCCGAACATGCTTGATCCTGTACTTCCTGCAGAAATCCTCAAAGTACTGGGAAGAGAATTGAGTGCCGTTGTCCGAAACAAGCATTTCTGGGAATCCGAAATTTCTGAAGATCTTTATGAGTTCCTGCGTGGTAGCTTGTGATGTAGTGGACTGCATTTCCACGATTTCAGGCCAGCGGGAGTACGCATCCACGACAACGAGATACATGTGTCCATAAAACTGTCCCGCGAAGTCAATATGCAGGCGTTCCAACGGGCGACTTGCCGACGGCCATGGGGTTGATTCAGCTTTTACTGGATTCTTAGCGGCTTAGCAATTCTGGCAGCTTTCCACAGTCTTATTGACGTCTTCTTCTATACCAGGCCAGGAGACGTAGTTGCGAGTAAGCAGTTTAATCCGGGTTTGGCCAGGATGTCCGTCGTGCAGCATGCGGAGAATCTTCTTCTTCAATGAAGTGGGCATGACGATTCTGGAACCGAAGAAAATGGCATCCCTTGTGAACAGAGAGCTCCTTTTGTTGGCTCCTGTACTTAAACAACGGCGTTTTTGAAGTGCATTTGGCCAGCGTCCTGTTTGGAGGCAACTGAGCAACTCCATCAGCACGGGATCCTTTACCATGGCAGGATGTACGTCTCCAGCGGTAATTGGCAGCTGGTTGAGTGTTTTCTCGTAAGTGGCGGTGACATCAGCTTTTACTGTAGAAAAGATGACGTCTTCGTCCGGCGCACTTCGGCAGGAGAGCAGTCGGGAGAGAGCATCGGCCTGTCCAAACGATGTCGTAGAGCAGTACTTGATGTCGAAATCATAGGCAAGTAGGGTCATCGACCATCGTTGTAAACGGTTGGCAGTATACGACGGCACTCCTTTCTTGCTTCCGATCATAGTGAGTAGAGGGCGGTGGTCTGTGAGCAGTGTAAATCTTCTTCCATATATGTAGCGATGGAATTTCTTGACGGCGAAAACTAGGGCCAATCCCTCCTTTTCAAACTGAGAATAGTTCTTCTCTGTGGCCGTCAATGCGCGGCTCGCATGACAAAGGACCTTTTCCGATCCGTCCGGGTAGCGGTGAGAAATCATGGCTCCGATTCCATAGTTGCTTGCGTCAGCGGCAACGATGATCGGCTTCTTCGGATCGTATTGGCACAGCAAAAGATCTGAGGTCAGGACTTCGCGAAGGCGGTCGAAGGCTTCCTGGCACTCCTTACTCCAGACAAACAATGTCTTTCTTCTTCAAGGCGTCCAACGGTCCACGAAATAAACGCATCTTTGGCACGAAAGACGAGTAAAACGAAACCATCCCAAGGTACGATTCGAGCTGCTTCACATCTTGGGATGGCGGCATATGAGCGATGGTTGCAATCCTCTCGGGGTCGGGGCGTCTTCCTTCGGCGTCGACAATGAATCCGAGAAATACTATGCTAGGTTCAGCAAAATGACACTTTTCACGGCGAACGCGCATTTCATAGTTTTGAAGACGATGGAATAGCTTAAAGACGTTCACATCATGCTCCTCCGAGTCCTTCCGGTGACCACAACATCGTCCAGATAAGCGACGGCTCCATCGGCGGTGACGTTGCTCATCAACGACTGGAAGATCCCAGGGGCACTTTTTACACCGAACGGTAGTCGGTTATGGCGGAAAAGTCCACGGGATGTGTTGATGATCAATAATTCCTTGCTCTCGTCCATTTCTACTTGCAAACAGGCGTCACGCAGGTCGATGTTGGTGAAGACGGTCTCCCCATCTAACGTTGTGAAGATGTCCTCCGCGGTTGGTAGTGGGTGTCGGTTCAGCTCTAGTGCATCGTTCAGCCCGGTGGAGAAATCGCACAGATGCGTACTGCTCCATTCTTCTTTTTGACCGGAACGATGGGAGCCGCCCACTGAGAGCATTCGACGCGTGAGGCACTCCAGTATTGACGAGGCGGTCCAACTCTGCGTTGACGAGAGGTTCTACGGCAAAGGGTACCTTCCGCTTCGGCACGTAGACGGGTGTGCCATCCTTCTTCAGCACAAGGTGAGCCTTAAACTTGTTAACGTGTCCCAGCTCCTCCTTGAAGACTTCTGGGAACTCAGCCGCGAGGCGGTCGTCCAGTGGTGAAGAGGCATCCACAACACAGCAAACAGCACAAGGGGCATCTCGGAAGGGCGGCAGCTGTTGCAGCATGTCGATCCCTAGCAAATACAGGTTCTTGGTGACGTAAATAATCCTTGGCCATCGAAACCATTGCATGTCAACGGCGCCTCATAAACTCCAAAAACTTCTATCTGTGATCCATTTGCAGCTTTCAACTCAGCAGGCGGGGCCTTCAGGGTTGGCGATCCTAATTCGATTCACGTCCTGCGGCTAATTGCCGATACGTCGACACCGGTGTCGAGTTGCATCTTCACATTCAAGTTCTTCAGCTTGACATTTACGTAGCGACAGTGGGAGTTCAGCACGTTCAGCTTCACAACCTTTTTCATGGAACGGCGGATTGGTCGGTTCTTTGACGGGCAGTTGCTGGCCCAGTGTCCTTTGTTTCCACAAGTGTAGCATACGTCGTCACGGCGGAAACGTCCAGGCGGATCCTTGCTGTCAGATGAGCGTCTGGTATGTCGCGGCAGTGGTCGACGTTGCTTCTTCTTCCGGATAGGAGCGACGACTTCAGCTTGGACGGGCGCCGGTGCAGATCCAATAAGGGCAGCATCCTTCTGCACGGACTGATAGGCGTTGTAGTCGGCAATCAAGACCTGCAGCTTGTAGTTATGGCCTCGGCGTCCAGCTTGCTTAGTAGTCGGGCACTATTGGCAAATCATATGGCGACTGCAAGCCCATGACGAAAAGTAGGCATTTCAGCGGCTCACTTTCATTTCGTCGGCTTTAGCATCAACAAGCATCTTGTTGAGTCGAGCCGCGTACGATTCCACGTCTTCTGAAGGTTCCTTCGAGACGTGGAGGCAGTTCCATCGGCGTCGGAACAGCGTCGTCCTTCCACCGAAAAGCGACAATAGCACCTTCGCCAGCTCTTCAAACGAGCGCTCTAGTGGTGACTTCGGTGCCAAATGCGCTCTCAACTTGGCGTGTGCGGCGTCATCCAGCTTCGCGGACAGGAGGGTAGAGGATCTTTCTCGGGCATCGACGCTGGGACAGTTTCTTTGAACCGCAACAGCCAGTTCTCGAAAGTGCATCCGCTGTCCGGACCTTAGCTGAAGCACGGCAGTCGCGACGAAAGCGTTGAATAGTCCGCCATGGTAGGGGCGACGGAATGGTCCATCCTTTCCAGGAGTTGTTCTATCCATTCGGATTACTCCCTTTTGCCTTCAGGAGTGCAGCATTTCGTTGCATCAACTGCGGAAACATCTGCTCCAGTGAAGTGCTCGACTTGGTCGCCATCCTTCCCGGAGAAGTACTCGTTCAACTTGCTCGAAACGTTCCTTGTTCAAACCACGCGTATCGTCCGGTACTGATCGCCACTTGTTTTAGACTATTACTTGTATCTGTACTTTTGGTGGGTCCGGGACACTTGTAGAACAGTAGATTTATTAGTAGACCGGATATGAATAAGAACAGACGATAAGAAGAGACGAATGACTTAGCTAGCAGAGAGCGCCTTATATAGCGCTTAGATCCCGCGCATAGGTCAGTACAATGCCAATAGATCCTAGAGATCACAAACCAATTACAACACAAAACAAAACAACAAATGTTACTCTCCAACATAAAAGAATCAGACCATCATTTTCAAGAAAAGCAAAAATGGTTTTATACCTTCATATTTTGCTCTGCTCTATTAAACTAAAAAACCTTCTAGACTTTTCCAAGCTGGTTCTGAATCTGATTTAAATGACATTTTCCGATGTTGAGGCGCACTGAGGAAGGCCATCATTACGCAATTTTCGATAAGCCGCCTCCTAACTATAGCGTTCCCAGGATTTTCGTCCGGGGGAGAGGCAAATTTTTTCCAAATGAAGATGCATAGCGTTAGCCATGCAGTCCGTGTTTTGAGGCGTTTCTCAAAATTTTTGCGGGCCCATGATACCTAAAATCTAGAATGAGGAGACGTGGCGGTCACAGCCCTCCGAAAAATTTTTTACAAGGCATTTGAACTTTTGAAAATGTTTAAAAATTGTTTTGATTATTTACAGAAATAAGCAAGTCACTTGCACATTTTCATAACCCCGTAAGTGAATTTCAAAAACTTCGCGACCCATTTCCGCCTTCCCCCTCGGTCCCACTGCTCTCAACCATGTTTTTGAAAAATAAAAAATTTTCCCCCTCCCTAAAAATCTTCGAATTTTTAAATTGCCGTATTTAGCACTTACTTACTTAGAAACGAAGGCTGGCTCTACTTTCGTGAGCAATTAGCAAGAGAGTACTTTTCGAAGTGTTGTTGTATGAACTTCAACGTCATGCTTGCGTACAGAGCGCATTCAGTTGGAGAGAAGAATTGAGATTTTTTTCGAGAGACGAAGCAGCCGAATTCTGAACTGACTATTGCATTACGATAATGATGGTTGGTGAAAACAAAATGCATAATTGATTCGTCCACAAGGTCGTCTCGTATCCTTCTGACACCCGCGGAACGCGCCGGTAATCTCGGCGCACCCTGTAGAGTACCCTATAATCGCGGAAAACGTTCAGTGACGCTTACTGCGCTCTATAGATTGACAATGAAAAAAGACTAAAAGTTATAGCCTGAAAATATCTGGAAAAGAAGACACGTATTACATTGAATGCTGGAAGATCAAAGTTAGCACCTCAATCGCCACTGTTATATGAGCGCGCTTTACCGTAGGTGCGAGTCTTTGAAAATCAAATGAATAGGGCAAGCAATGTCTCAAATTCCACTCTTACAGCAAGTGCATTTGGTTGACTCAATAATTCCATCACATACATTTAGTGATAAACACTTTAGAAATATGGGCTTCATTACATCCAGTAGTCATGAATGTTTGATGCTCTACTTCGATGCAGCTCAACTCTATGACTTCAAATCTGAGTCCTGACTGCACAAGATTGCATTTGAATTACGTGCATACGATGCTTTTTCGCTACGCGTCGAGCAAAACATACCTTTGTTTCCTTCAAAAATTCAAGTTTAATTCTATGTTAACGGCCATGCAATCGACCAAACTGTCATATACAAAAAAAGCATTAAGAGAGGAAGCGCCCAATAAGAAAAAGGGATGCTTGGTTTTCCCAATTTCATATTGGAAATCGGTTGCAACTACTCGTACGCGGTATGTTCCCTTCAGCGGTTTCCTGATTGCGAAGCAAACCTAATTTGTCACAGGATTGCAAATTATATTTGATGTTATCTTACAGTAACTTTTCTATATCATAATTGAAAATGTTTGGTTACGAGTGTTCAAAATGATAATCCTTACAGCAGTGCCCCCATACATTTGAAGAATACCATTTGGTGCAAATACAAACTTTACACGATCACTGCTGAAAACAAATGGCAGCGACGCAATGATGGAGATTGTCCAAACTGCTACGCATACGATAATAATAGACGTTTGGCACCACAGCTGCAACACTTTATATACTATTCATTTCATTATAAGCATTACCTGGCATTACCTGCTGATGATGGAATGGAAAACGGAAAACTGTGAAACGATTCATAGCTATGAGAATTTCTGTTAAAAACAGCACTCCTTTTCCTATGTACAAAACAGTCATAGAGTAACATGGAAACCAGCCCATATCTTCGCTATATAAATTGAAGTAATTGTACTTCCTCGGACGCATAATTAGCTCATAGTGTAGAAATAAAAGAAAGCAACCCATTGCGTCTAGTAGGAACAATGAATAGTATGATGATCGAAGTGATGCACGGTAGCGAGCTTTTGTAATTATAACATATATTAAGTACGCATAAATAGTCATAGAAATCCACATATATACTGTTAACACTATAACTGAAGGCGGAAGTGAAACCGACATACTACCTAAATATTTTTGAATAACTGTTACGAAAAAAACTATGATATCAAGGGAGCTAGCGAAGACAGTTATATTAACGAGCACACTTTGTCAGCAATACAATAAATGTTGTCCACAAGACACCGAAAGCACTAGGTAGTGTAATGCTGTATGGCGACAAAGCTATTATCGTTCACAAAAAAGCTCTCCCTTTTCAGAAAATGATGTTGTTTTGAAAGGCAGTTGAAGAATAATCATCTAGAGGAAGTGGTACGAAAAAGCTAGACCTGTGTTGAATATGAACTTTTTGATTATTTTCTTGACATGAACGATATTGTATGCTATTCAGAGCAGTAACTGCCTAATTTGCTAGAGTCTCGGAAAGTTCAAAATGACCATAGATATTCAACGTTTCTTGAAGCAAAACAATCTTTTTAATGATAGATCAAATGCATCAGTCTCGTATCTTCTTATACACAAACTAAAACTCTTTTCTATCTGTATGTCTGTATGTCTGTTGTGAACGTATGTTCCGAACACATTTCTAGACCGATCCGTACTAAACATAACACATCAATGGCGTACCCAGGATTTCCGCTCGGGGAGGGGGGGGGGGGAGGGGGACAAAAAGTTTTTTCGGATGCAGGCGCGTGACGTTAGCCACGCACTCCTAAAATTTTTTTGGGATGCTTTTCGAAATTTTTGCGGCCTCTGACTCCAAAATTTCAGAAAAGAAGGCGCGGCGGCAGTTATACCCCGAAAAAATTTTTTTTACGAAACTGATTTGAATTTTTAAAAATTTTTACAAATTATTTTAATTATTTACAAGTAAAAACAAGTCGCTTGCACGTTTTTATACGGGGCGGGGCGGGTGTCGTGGGCTACTCTTCGTTATTAATCGATCTCTTTAATCAATTTTTTTTGCAAAGTTGACCTATGAGGCTGGGAGTTGAACAGGGGTAGGTGAGCATGCTGGTTATGAATTTGATATTGACAGGGCCAGCTTGTGTGCAATGAAGTGGGGTTTAGAACTGTTATATTAAAGGCCGTGTTTTACTTGCAGAAAATTTGACAGCAACTTTCGCACAAAAAGCAGCCATAAGGGATTACTTTTGGAACTACAAAACTGTCATTAGAGATTTTGTATATAAGCTAAACGATGGCTCTCGTGATTTCGTAAAGATTTCTCAAACATAGCAAACAGGTGACATTAGCGGCCCTACCCTGCCGCATTTCAATTTTGGTATCAAATCGAAATGTGACTCCTGACCTAATGGGAATGACATGCTGTCTATCTGCGTTCATCCCAGCCACTCCACGCTCTACCGCCCCCCCCCTCTCCTTCTCTACATTGATCGAAGTTCAGAATTGTTTCCCTCTGAACTACATACCGGGTGCGTGGCGTTAGGTACCCAGTCGAGGTGTGGGTGTTAGGTACCCAGTCGTCAGTGGTATACACTAAGCCACGCCCCTTGTTTACTTCAACAGCGGGTACCTAACGATACGCTAAAGCCTAGCTGCTAGAACAGCTTACCTAGCCTAAGGTGCTGGCGCTAGCGATCCACAGAAAAGAGACAGTTGGAGGAAATCAGAAAAAAATTGCGCTGAAAGCGCAGCTTTGTACGCGTTTTTTCATTGCTTCTTTTTTATCAGTTTTAGAATCATAGAAATTCGGTGATGAAAGTTGAAAACAGGTTAAACTTTTATGAGCACTTCACATTGTTTTGAAAAAAATTGTGATAATCTGATCTAACTGATAATGTCAGAGGGTTTCAAAAAAGAAAACTTTGTAGAGTTCCAATAAATTAAAGTTTTATGATTTTGAAGAAACAGACCATTTTCGGAGATACTTCTGGCAAATAAGTTGCACGGAATATTCTTTTCACATATTGTCTCGGCCTCGTTTTGAGGTGTGAAGTTAAAGGTCGTAATCCATTATGTTGTATTAGTGCATCTTTTGGCAGATTGTTTTCTATCATGAGTTATTGGCAGTCAATAACGAATGCTAATTAGAGCGTGCTTCTTTTGGCTGTTTTCTTCATTCATGAGTTATTGCCAATCAATAACCGATCTAATTAGTGAAGCGCGACTGTCATACCCCGGGGACAGACGCCGATGAGAGATCGGAGTCTGAGAGATAGAGAGGGGCGTGGCCCAAAGGCTCTCTGGGGATCGATTTGGATCCAGTGGAGTGGGTGTGGCCACATATACCCAGGGGACAGACGCCGATGAGAGATCGGAGTCTGAGAGATAGAGAGGGGCGGAGCCCTAACTAAGGTGGTCCATGTCTACAATTTGAGCCTAGATTATTCAGTCTCATCTGTTGCACTCACCAAGTTTGGTGGTGCTCTCGTCTAACTATTCTTTTGTTCTACATTATTTCCTTGTGTCAAGTAATCTTTTGTAATAAAGATTATTTAATCAGTAGTGTCTGTTGATCACATTTGAAATTGTCGTTGTTTCGACAAGTATCGCGAATTGCGAACTGAGCCCATTGAGAAACCGACTATTAGTATTAATATTGCCACACGATTGTGAACCACATTGTCGTAGATTACCGCTATCAGTTCGGTCATTGCTGATGCCAACAGGTCTATGGGACATTACATTGATAAGCACATTTTTCTAATTCGGGAGATTCCATATCCCGGATGAAAATTTCATTGAGCTACTGTGTTTTACCATGCCTGTGTTCTCTGTAGTGTTATTTGGAGGACTTTCATATTGCATTGTTTTATAGTCATTGTCTTTTCTAGCAGCTAAAGATCAATATATCCAACCAAAGCTATGATTTTTTTGTAACTCACTAAGAAATGGAAGATTTCGTCAACCTAGTTCACTCTATTGGTACACACTCATCCGAAGTTGGCATAGCTCTATAATGCAAAATTGATTTCATTGATTCAAACAGAGGTAGTGGCCTTTCCACTAATTAATGAATATTCACATAGTCCTCCTCAAAGTTCCGATTCCTGATGACAAATTCTCGTCGAAGCTGTTCTTTCAATTGGTTCCACTTCTCACTGTCAAAAATATAGTTGGAACGGTTTTTGGAAACAAAATAATATTTCCTGCAACTTATTTGCCAGAAGCGTCTCCAAAAGTGCGCTTTGCTCCATTAAAATCATAAAATTTCGGTGCATTGGAATTCTATAGAGTTTGCTTTTCTGATTCCCGCTGACATTATCGGTTAGATTAGCTCATAAAAGCTTTACCCTTTTCTAGCCTTCATCACCGAATTTCTGGGTTTCCAAAATTGATAAAAAAAAACAAGCGATGAAGAAACGTTGTGTACAAACTTGCGCTTTTATTCGCGCATTTTTTAAATTTTCTTCAACTATCTTTCTTCTGTGGGTCCAGGTGCCAGCACTTTAGCGAGCTAGGTAAGCTGTTCTAGCAGCTAGGATGTAGTGTATCGTTAGGTACCCGCTGTTAAGGTAACCAAGAGGCGTAGCTTAGTGTATACCGCTGATGACTGGGTACCTAACGCCCACATCTCGGCTGGGTACCTAACGCCCGCCCCCCCCCCCCCCTACATACCAGGTTGTTTCGCGAATGATCATATTAATCATGCGTAACTGCAGGTTCCATTGAGGTGAGCGAAAATGGAATACTTATTACTTTGTAGTACTTAATGATACCCGCTTAATAACTTATAACTCTACTTGTGTAATTATTGAAAACTGGGAGAGTTTTTGTGACACTTTGAGTTTTAATCGTCGGAATTTCAAGATTGGTAACATACGTATGAGAGATGTGATGTCAAGAACTTTTGCTATAAGGAGCCACGATCAACTCCTATACTGTTAACAACTGCTTGTTCATCTTTGTCTGTCTGTCACGAAGAGCTTTGCGAAGCAGAGCTAACTAGAATGGCGTGATATGCTTATAATAGGTCGTACCGAAAGTTCTTGCGCACGATTTTCAAAAATTCATAACTTGTTGAATTCTCAACGAATTTACAAGATCTAAATATTGTATAAGAGAGGAACTCATGCCCTTTGCAAAAGTACTTGAACTATTCGTTAATGTATACAAATGAAGGAGATAGAAGCTCAAAACCAAAATCACTCAAAATTTGAGTTTTTCGTGTAGGATCATAAAAGAAGGAAACTTGCAACAGACGGAGCAGTTAGTATTGTAGGCTCTTTCACAAGCTCTTTCCAACAGTGCAAAGTTTGTGCCGATTGAGCGTCTCTATGAGAAGTTATGATTTCCCTAAAAAATGCCAAAATAAATTAAATTCGCCCTCTTGTATTGCCTGTTCGAAAATCATAACTTTTCATAGAGACGCTCAATTGGCGCAAACTTTGCACTGTTGGAAAGAGCTGGTGAAAGAATCTACAATACCGACTGCTCCGATTTTTGTTGCGAGTTTCCGATTTTTTATGACCCAAACGAAAAATTCAAATTTTGAGTGATTTTGGTTTTGAGCTTCTACCTCCTTGATTTGTACACATTAACGAATAGTTCAAGAATATTTGCAAAGAGCATGAGTTCCTCTCTTATACAAAATTTAGTTCTTGTAAATTCGTTGAAAATTCAACAAGTTATGAATTTTTGAAAATCGTGCGCAAGAACTTTCGGTACGACCTAATATTAAACAATTTTCAAATCGCAAAAGCTGCAAGTGAAAATAAGCTCTATCCATAAGCGAGCTTGACACTACCCAGACCGCACAATTATTAGGTTTAGATAAGTTCTTTTTTTCATATAAATCTCCACAAAAATTTGATTAGCAATAATGCGAAGGCAGCTCAACCGTAACATTCTACTGCTACATAATAACAGCTTAGAATTTTTATTAGCAGCGAAAGACAGTTTTGTCTTAGAATGGCTTGATTCCAAGTTCTTTGAGTTTTCACGTTGTGGTAGATTTAACCTGAATTTGATAACTGGATACACACAAAACTATTTCGGAATTTTCCTGGAGAGCATTTATTCTTGAGCAGAATAAGATCACAAAATTTTCAAAACATCCTTTCCAGAAACGTTAAAACAGAAAATGTATCTTACGAGCCGCCGCAAATGCAATTATTGGACCACCTTAGCGTTAGCTATACCTCTTTGTCAAATCATGAAGGTAATATGGTTGTGGAACATGCAGGGTACCATAAGGCTCCAAACAATTAAACAATCTCCGCACTTGTCAAAAGCGCTTTAGGTGATTGAAAGCTAATATCTGAGAACAGAAAAGCGTCTGATAAGAGAAAGGAGATTGAGGAAAATTAGTGTATGAGCACTGTTTGCAGACTGCCCTGACGATCGGGCACTACCCTATATATGGTAATGAAGAGATGCCACAAAGTTGTCTTTTTCACTCCGAAAGCTTTGTATTGTGAATCTTGTGCTGTTGAAAGAAATGAACTACCCTAATTTCACGCGTACAAGGCGCACCTTTTTCGATTTTTCGACTAAGCCCCTCAGCTGCTGTAAATTATTTCGGAAAGCTATCCTTATGCCGTACGATTCTCTTAAGCAATATACAGCAAGGCATAGGGTCCTTTGTTTGCGAAGTTCTTTGGCGTATTTGGGCTGGTCGGTTTTGGAAAAAAATCCCCCGCGCCTTGTACGCGTGAATTAGGGTCCTTTTGGATACCTAGATCACAGTCACCTGAGAGATTTTGCGAAAGATTAGAACGACAGAGTTTCGGGTTTTTAAGTATCTGCAAAGAAAGTCAAGTTTGGAAACCATGTTTCAAAAACTCTTCTCTAGCTCCTTATTACTTTAGGATTATGTTATGGGCAATGAGAATTTTTATGCCCATAAGAGGCCAAGACTTGCTCAAAAGTTTTAAAAAGTCGTAAACTTCTCACTAAGTTGATTAGCACTTGTAGGAAGGGATACCGTGACTTTTCAACCATTATTAGTCTGATTACATCGTCTACTGCTTCACAAATAATCACAACACAAAAATTTTACATGTTTTGGAAATTGTTCGAGATGCCAACTGATTTGAAAGCGACGTGACATGTAAGCTTACGTTACCGTAGCCCCACGACAACGAAAAGCTATTGGGTTTTTTGTTTTGCACTTCAAATCTGCGATGAGGCCACTCTACGATATGCTAGCTAGAGTACCGCGAAAGTTATTCAGTTAAGAAGGTCAATGACGATCGAACGCTAAATACTCAGACAAATGACCTGAACTTCCGCAGAGCGCTTGCGGAAGTGAAGTTCCGCCGGGTCACCTCGGAATTTCCGTAAACGTGCTGCGGAAGTTCCGAAATGAGGTCCTGCGGAGTTGAAGAATGCGAACTACAATAGCAAAAGATAACACCAAAGCAAGATTTGAACTTTACTCTACTAACTGTAAGACTCGCCTACTATCCTCTGCACTACGACTGACATATTCGACAATGCACTCTAGTTGTTGGGGAGGCAACATCGTATTATATAACACCAGTGCGTCACCTCTGCTTCGCAGAGGTTCGCACTGGCTCTACTATCTATGTGCCTTACTCATTCTCGTAAAATCGTGGCACTGGAACCCACCGCGCTATGCCGACTACCACGAATAAAATGTAAACAACCACTCATTTAGAAAGTCTTTTCACGTGAGATCGGTGATTTCGAGTGGATGAAACTTTTCGCAGGAAGACAAACGCAAATTTGAATAGGTTTTTGGATTTGTCGTGGCTTGGTAGTCGCCATAAAGGTAATGATAACTGTGAGCTATATCTCTGTGCGAAAATCTTCTCAAACGCTTGGCTAGAACCTTGGCAAGTTGACCATTTACACAACCAATTCATTTTGGCGCCGTTTTCGTTATGTAGTGAACTTTCGACCACTTTTCTGGCTAAACTCCATCGCTTGCACATTTGCTTACCAAATTCATCCACGACTCTGCAAAAAGTGGTGATACGGACCGAATTTTGCGGTACAGAAGCCAGGTGGACCCGTTTGGCGCGCAATTTTTAACGGATTCACTCGACGGATTTGCTCGCGCTTTTGTATATTGGACTTTCATGCTGCTAGCATGCGCCGTGCAAAATTTGGGCTCAGGAGGTTGGCTGAAACATGTTCTACGAATTTCGTAACGGACAGACACACAGACACACAAAAAGACGTAAACAACCCTTAGCCCGTTATTATAAGTCATGATATCAAAGTCCTGCAGAAGTTGTCAGGCGAAGTGTGCGGAACCTCTGGCATTTTTCGGAACCTCAACAGCCTTTGAAAAAGGTCTTGCGGAAGTTTCGGTTTTCAACCAGTTTGGCATGAAGGTCCTGCAGAAGTTCCGATTTTCAACGTTTTCGTTTTTGCAATAGTGAACAAAGTCCTGCTGAGCTTCTGGAAATTTAGCTTGTCCTGCGGAAGTTCCGGTGATTTGTCTAAGTATATGGGACACATTGCTATGAGTTGTAAGGAATCGAAACAATCGGAAGGATTATGTGAACGTTGGTAATGTAGGGAGGGGAACTGATTGATTGTCAACAAATCTATCTAATTACGCTAACAAGCTTACCAGTACGCACCGTGATACATGTGCTTGGAAGATAAGGCATACGTGAACTTTTTTCCGTTTTGTTGAATCTAGGCGTCACTGTGATTTTTATGCACTTTTCTGTGCAATCACTGATTGATACGATTTTCGCTATCCAGTATTTTCGGTTTGGTATTTCCACGCTTTCGTAGTTCTCAGGACTCAGAATGGTTGGTTCAAAACGAAGTCGAGCAAGAAGCTAGGCACACGACCGCCGATATGGCCGCTTTCTTTTCAAAGGAAACATTTGTCAGCGTGTCAAATAATCCCTGTGGGCCGATATATTACGAAATATTTAAGTTTTCAAATATTGATCCACTTAGGTGTAATGGTCATTTCAAACATGATTAACTTTGTTCTAAAGGTGAGTTAGCTATCTTTTTCTACATGTGGGTTTCACAAAAATAGTGCAAAAACGCTAAGCTTGCTTTGTTTTTGTTCTGAGGTGCGGAGCTATGGATCAAACAAAGCTCTATGAAATAGAAAATGAAGTCCGGATGATGTAGATAACGCTTATGAGAATTGATTGGCAGTCAAAGTGAAGCATGAAAATGAAAATAATCAACACAAAAGAAGACTCGTGACAGCACAGTAGTGTCACCGATTGTTTACTGGAATTGTATTAATTTTCACAATCAGGTAGCATTTCTCGCACACCAGTCTCCGTTTTTCATAAAACACCTGCAAAGCCGCGTGTTGATTTTCTGCGTCTACAAAAAACCCGCAACTTCACCGAAAAATCAGAGCGAGGAAGAAACCAAGAAACGGTCAAAAAGTCTCCAACAATTTTCAAAATTGTCAATTACGGCCAACAAAAAACATACAACTCTCTAATAAGTATTTTCTTGCTTATTTTCGGAGCAGAAGATTCTTACAGATCCTCTCAAACAAAATATTAGTTATGCTGTTTCCTCTTTTCAAATGGGGCGACAGCTTCTGCTTCTTCCATAGAGATGAAGCTCAAAAACTCTCCTTTTTTGAATCGGATTTTTCGAGCCTGAAATTGAAGGCAAAAATTGAGAACACTCAAGCTGGGATGTTGCTAAAATAAGCTTAGCGATAATCGTCTTGATTTTTGCAAGGTTTTCAAATCATAAGTGGTAGCTAACCATCAAGTCCAGCACAGCTTGATTCTTGCTAAGAACATCTAGGCCAATGATAAGGTCAACGTTGCACGCATCATTCGGTAGAACATCAAACGAACAAATAAGTTTTGTGTTTGAAACAAATAAGTCGCCTTGAAAATTGACATTACTGACGGAAATCAAATGAGGTATTGCTCCTCATCAGTGTCTAAGGCTAGTTGATGGTGGCACTGTTACAAGCAACGCTCGTGTGCTTATCACATACAAACTGCAACATGGATGGCTATACTTGTTTACAAATCTTTTTTGGGAAAGTGAAATATTGTTAAAACTACTGAAACTATGGTAGGAATGACGTGCAGAAGATTAAATCATTGGTTCTAATGAAAACTGAATAGCATGTGAAGGACAAACCATATATCAATAGGTCGTTTCTTAAGCAGCAAATATCATGACTTATAATAAAGCGCTAAGGCTGTCTGTCTGTCCATGTGTGTGTATCTGTCTGTCACGAAATTCATAAAGTGAGTTGCAGCCAAGCTATTGTGCTATAATTTTGCACAATCTATCGCACCAGTATGTAGGTCCACCACGCACAAGGACGAGCCGGTTCGATAAGAGGGTCCTTCAAAATTTGCGTTTCGAACGGATCCACCCTGCTTTGGCTAGCAAAACTAGGTCGCTAATTCGACTTTTTGCAAAGTCATGATTTGCCTGCCAAGTAAACCTGCGCCCCATAAATTCTAGCCCAAGAAGTGCTCAAAAAGGTAGCTTTTCTGCGAAAGCAGCGCCAAAAAGTGGTGATCGTCTAGGTAGTCGATTTGGCGAAGTTTTATCGTTCATTCGTTGACCGTACGGACTGCCGACCGCGTGGCGACTGCGACGCGTGCCTTCTAAACTTGCGAAAAAGTGACAAGTTGGACCATGGCTTAAGATGAGAAGAATTCTTTGTTTCTTTTCTACATTATAAAGATGAGAAGAATCCTCTGTTTTCTTTCTATTCGTCTTTTCTACGAAAACATCATGCACGCGCAGCGGTCGCCGCGCGGTCAGCAGTCGTTACGGTCAACGAATAAACGATACCTTGAAATTTGAAAGGATTTTTACACGGAAGTGTAGCTCAAAGTGACTATTATCCTTATGACGACTATCAAGCCAAAACAAAATCAGTAATGCATTTAAATTCACAGGTATTCCTTTGCGAAAAAGCTTTTCTTTTCAAGATTACCGATCTTACATGGAGATGCTTCAAAAATGAACAGTTGTTTACGATTGATTTGTGATGTTCAGCATCGCGTGGTGAGTTTTAGAGTCATCATTGAACGAGCATAGCTCACGGATAGGAGAGCCAGCGCGAACCTCCGCGAAGCGGAGGTGACGCACTGGTTAGTTGCACAATTTACAGTGAGGGGAACATTCAGCAAACTTTCAAAGATGCTAACTGTTGCCTCCAAAAAAGTTTGAGCCCAGTTTAAAAGGTCGTAGTTTATATCATTAAGTTGTCTCTTGAGCATTGTCGTACTATGAAAAGGAGATGAAATTTGGGAAGAAAACAAAACAATAGCAAAGCATTGATAAAAAGGAGAAAAAGCTGGGAAAAAAGTATTAATTTATGCGACAGCATTTTGTTGCCAAAATTCCCTTTTGAGAACCACACCAATTCTAGTTTGTAGACTGACATGCCAGAATTCGACCCAGTGACGATTCCATTCCTCCAACTCCACTAGCAAATATGCAGAAGCGGTCATCAACGAGATGCGCAACATTGCACTTTTCTACTGCTGTTGTGGAGATAATTGACGACTGAGCACCTGAACAAAGTCATGAATTGGGCATTCGAAGAAATGTTTGCAAATCTGCCGCTTTACCTGTATCGACTAGTGCAAGTATTTCAGTTCCATTCAAATGAGCTTTCAGGTATAACATTGGTGTTTTCTTAAAACATTCCGGAAACTCCGCGACAGCTTTCTCGACACTTCTGCATTCGTAAATAAGAGCTCATTGCGACAATTGTCTTGATTGTCTTGAATTTTACCTATTCAGAATCTCTTCTCTTGACTTACGTATTGATTCAAACTTATCAGCAAATGTAGTGATGAATAATCCTGCATAGAAAACGCTACGATTGTGAACAATCACATGTAATACTTTACTACCGAGATCTTTTGGATGTGCAAGATAGGTCGTGGCAAGCTGGGGGAAATGACGGTTGACCGTATTGCAAACTCTCTCGTTGCTCAAGTTTTCAAACAGCTGAAAAACAGAATCAAGTGACTGAATCGTGTAATTTTTACCGTTTAGGTTTATGGCTCATGTGCTATCTAACGCTTTACATTACAGTCACAAAAAACAGTAGTTTAAAAATGACGGCTGTTGACGTGCTAAACTTTTCTATCAATATTCACAAAGATTATCCAAGATTTCTACAGTCAAAAAGTTAGAATGAAGATTATTAACATTTAAAAGCTGAATATTCTTTCTACAAAAGCTCCATTAACAAATTTCTTCATGATGCTATAGCGGTGTCGTTTTTATTCTGTTTGAATTAGAGTTCTGAAGCTACACTAGTTTGGTCTATATCACTTTGATTGAGAAATAAGAAGCTTAGGGAAAAATGACTTACTGTTTTAGCATGCCTCGCCAGTTTAATGTTACGTGAGTAAACTTTTTTGTTTGCGCTTACACGCATACTGCCAATCAAATGATTGAGTTGTTTAGCTATAAAGGGGTCAACATTCGTTTAGTCCTCTTATGAAGTTTGGAAAGCCTAACTACAAAGTGAGTTCACTGCTCCCGACAATGTAAGCGTATCGCCATCATTAATATTTAGCTCCTGAAATTAAGAGTCGCAGTATTTAAATTGTGTGGAATGCGAAGCAAAATGTCTAGAAGAAAGCTTATTTATATTGCTGCTTCAGCACCTCTAAAGTCCTCTCTTCTTTTGTAGCAAAATGCATGTCTTCTTTTCGCAAAACTATATTGGAAAAGGAATCGATAACACTCAATCTCTTAGCTGCTACCATGATCAGAGTGCTCATTTTGATTTCCTCACTCACCTGGAACTAACCAGCTTGTCAGCTTTCACAAAGTAGGAAGTCTGCTTACATTAATTTCTATCCTGCGTTTATCAGCATCGGACACAATTACCAAACGCATGAGATTTAGGTATGCTTTGGTGGGTCACGTATTAATTTGAAGCTTCAAGAAAAATAGCACCTACTTATGCATAGTTTGCCATTAATTAACTAGACTGAGGCATGAGAATACCACATTGCGAGTCTCATTTCTTGTCGTATCGGTGTTTATGATTGTTTGCTACTCTAATCTACAAATGTGGTCCTGTGTAGAAAACACCACGGTCGTGATCGGCGTACATTCCACTTCCGTCGCACTGACTTGATTTCTGGGCGTTCTTGGTCAAACTGTCACGTCGAGAAGAAACTACTTGATAAAATGATGCCTATAAGGCCGAACACTTAATGTCAGACACCAGTATTAATCCACGGTGTGACTCAATATGTGAGACTGCGCACTGCGCGAGACAACGGACGGCATTTCTACTAGTAACTCTTCGTTATAAACTTTTTTAGCCTACAAATTAGAAACTGTTCTACTAACTAACACATATACAGTAAGTACAAACGAGGCAAGGGAATAAACGAGATTACTGGAATTGAGCAGATTTTAGTTTCGCAGTTCGCCAGGTGGCGCGCATAATGTGCAATACGCATTTGTTAGGGAGAACTCGACGATATCAGTATACAACAGGGGATAAAGAATTGAAAAAAAAGACCTTTTCACGGTATTTTTGTATTTAGAGGCGCGCTACTTTCAGCTTCTTACGTATGCTTTTAGCGCAAATCTTGGTTCATAACGAAATCCCAGGCCTTCAGGGATTACGGACTAAAACTTCACTATTCTTTTGTTTCTTTGCTCTAAATCTGAATCTCTAAATCTAATTTGTTCTAGAAATTACAATGATGTTGAAGTTTTACGCTACAACATGCTCACAGGAATACTTGACATTAAGGCAAAAATGTTGACAAAGTTGGCTTGTCACTGAAGTCATTTTGTATTATATGAAGATTCAAGCAAAAAGCGGCTGTAGAATTCTCTGTGGCTGAAAAACCTAGTACAGCTAACGTCAGATAAACCCTGGAGTTTTCTCACTTCTTGTACGTGTCAAACTAGAGGATATCAAAGAAGCAGATTTTGTCTTCTCTGAGCAAAATGTCGCAGCTCAGCAATACGATCCTAGATATAGGAGGATGGGAGCACTGGTTGCCATCGCGCTATCCGGCGATGTTCACGGTACTCTTTCACGCTTGCCGCAATCATCTGCGGACTTCTCCCCGCTTTGGCGCGTAACCAGCAAATTGGCTATATATGAAAGGAGTCTTATTGCAGCGTTTGCCTTCGTTTTAATCAATAATCCTCTCTCATGTTTTTCCTTGTGCTCGTGCCTGACAGTTTAGTTCCCGCTTTTGATGTTATTTGATTCGGGGTTGATTCTGGACGGGCCACCCCTAGGACTTTTGATCCTTAGGATAGGGAGCGGAGAGGTTGTCGTGCCTGTCATACTCGGCGACGCTTGGCGGATCTGTGTAGGTGAAGACTCGGAAGCATCATCACGTTTGAGAGTTATCTAGATTCGCCTTCGGAAACAGGGGGCAGCTCGTCCCTTGTCTGAGCTTTCTTTGTAGTAGTCGGTTTCGTAGGTTTGTAGTACTCCGCTTCGTTGTCAGTTATTTGTTTTTGTAGTCTTTGTTGCTTCTTTTATGTCATTGGCATAAGAGCTTAGTATATAATCTTTTGTCCAGTCGCGCGCTAAGGTAAGTTGCTAGGGTAGGTCGAGTCGTATGTTTTAAGCAACGAGCATTGGCTACTCAAATTAAATCTAGGTGCTTAGGGTTCTCGAGACGCTAACAAGAGTACCTTGATATTTTTGCAGCATTTTTCCGTAGTAAAATTTCTTGCGATCAACTTGCACCTGCTCCATCGACCGATGGCTGTACAGTCAGCAAAGTTAGGATCCCGGATACATTTGAAAGTGAGTAATACTCTAAAAATTGTCAACGTCCGCTCTAGGCACCAGGCGTAGGACAATATTCGCATAAAAATCTTTTTTGTAGTGGCTGCAGTATACTATGATGTAGTGTGTAGAGCAATCAAAGGTGTGCTGTTTGCTATTCTTATTACGTCCAGTAAAATTATTCATTTCAGGAGAGAGTTAGTGTAATTCAAAACTGAAGTTCTATAATATGCATTTTGTGAAAGTTATACAGGGTATCCCAAAAAATGTGAACACTGTTTGATTGTTAATAACTCCCTTGCTTTCACGTCATTCGCCTAGTTTGAGGCACCATTCTGTGGAGCGAGGTTCAAATTAGATTTAGAGCATAGAGCGAATCGGCGATCGCTCTTCATTACTGTAGGATCACGGTAGGAACTTCGACAAGGAATTTAGGCCATTAGAGGCCATATGCTGCCTCGGAACAGAACCAAACAAGTCAAAAACTTCTATATTATGGTAATGAAAGTCGTTGATTTCGAATATGAAAATTCCATTTTACTGTGATGCTTCTTTCCAAAGTTATCCTAGGTAAAACGTAATAACTGAATTTCCAGCATTTGTCAGAAATGTAATTACTCTGTCAGAAAAGCTAAAAGCACTCGTAAAAAGTGTCCAATGGAATCAGCGTGCACGAAAACCCTAGTACACGATTTATCAGATTTTTTGAATAAACTTTTGTCAAATGGCATATTTCACAATAGATCCACATGCTAGAAGTCCATACCGTAATCTTACAGTAACGAACAGCGATCGGTGTTTTGCTCCATGCTACAAATCTAAGCTGAACCTCGCTCCACAGAATGGTGCCTCAAACTTGGCGAAAGACATGAAAGCAATGGAGTTATTAACGATCAAACAGTGTTCACATTTTTTTGGGACACCCTGTATATCAACAGCAAAATGTAGACGAAGTTAGTAGGTCCGCTATAGCTCACTTGCTGCTCGAATTTGGAAATTTGGCATTACATCAACTTGCTTCGAAACAAGAAAATCGCTTTAGCCACGACGTTGCGCATGATTTGAGCACGCCTTTCTTTACATCCATCAATTTCAAACTTCAAGCTATAAGGCCTCGGGCGGGGTTCACGTGATTTGGTCGCCGCTATTTAATCGCTACAAGATAAGTGTTACGAGTTCATTGCATGCCGATCTTCTTTTATTTCGGTTGTGATAGTTGGTCACATTAGTCGCGTTAGAAAATTATCACAACCGAAATGCAAGAAGATCGGCACGCAATGATATTGTTACAGTTTGTCGCGATCAATCGCGACGATGAAATCGCGTGAACTCGGCCTGAGGCCTCACGTGCATGTCGCATACAGTCAAGCCATAGGATCCCACAACGACGCTACGCCCAACCTTGGTGGCATATGTCCAAAAAATCAGGGACTTTTGTGATAGCCTTTTTCAACATTTTCCACGCTGCTTCTAAGGTGGATCTTATGAGGATTAACAAATCTGTCAAGTGTTTCAGAATTAACTGTAAGTGACTGAAGTAACTTTTATCTTATTTTTGTCAGGCCATTGCATTTGCCAGATACAGCTTTTACTGCTGGAATCAAATGTAATTTATTGCACATCCGTAGGCATGGCACTTCTATTAGTTTGGCACATAAGTTTTGGTTATTTCGAAACCTTTCTCTTTTTGATTATGACGCATTCATTTTTGGGCACAATGTAGATTATAGATTAGATTGCAGACTACAATTAGATTTCAACGGTTTGATTTTTGGCAGCGAAGCTGAGTAATACGCATTTTTCGAAAGCTGGTTAAATTCGAAATTTCAAAGATCGGAAAACCAAAATTGGAACGTTCTCTGTCTGATTCAAACATCAAGCCGAAACTGCACCCAGACTGTTAGTAGAGAATTTTTTCAATGTGATGATCTGTGCAGTTTCTGCTTGATGCATATGATTCAGATTGAGAAAGGCTTTACTTTTGGTTTTCCGACCCTTGAGATTTCGAGTTTGACCAGCTTTCGAAAAATGCGTATTTTTCCGCTTCGCTACCAAAAATCAAACTGTTTGCACAAATTTGTAGCCTACAATCTCCTCTGCGCTATGCTCAGAAATGAGTGCGTCACAGTCAAAAAGAGGGAAGTTACGAAATAAAGCTTGTTTCAGACTGCCGCACTGACCGCAGCAGGCTGCAGCTGACCGCACTGATTGCAACGGCCGCAACGGCTGAAGTCTAAAGGTGGAGAGGATGAATTGTTGTGGCTCCTATAAACAACAACAATATGTACCTAAAAGCAAAAGACAACGGGTTAGATTGTTACAAAACAGGTCTATGCAATGATAGGAGGAATTAGAACAAATACGAACATACCAAAGAAAAACTATCACCAAAATTTGATTGAGAAGAATTGTGATGGAACTTATGATCTTCTTTGTTGTAAACCACGCCGTTTTGATAATCGCGGTGTTTTTCATTTACAAAAGGAGGCAGCGACCGGTGTGGTAATGTGCGGTCAGCTGCAGTCTGCTGCAGTCTGCTGCTATCAGTGCGCCAGTTTGGAACAACCCTAAGTTGCAAAACTTATGTGCCAATCTAATACATTTGAATCATGTCGTTCTCATCGCAGCACACAATTTTCAATTGGACATTTTGAACTGGAGTAACCCTAGCGTGACAGCATCTGAGGCCGATTGAAGTTAAGCATATCATCGACTTCCACATTCACTAGTCGTACTCGTCCCGACACACTAACTATTTTGAAAATTGAAGCAGGGCGTTTACGGTAAAGCGCGGTAGCAACTAACAAGGGAAGGATACATGGTCGAAGTGGCATTTCATCTTGAAATGTATACTGTCTTATAGAGCTTAGGACGCTGATTCCGAATCTGTCTTCGCTATCTGCCGAGCGCCTCTGGACGCCGAGTTATGAGCGTTCTTTGGGTAAAAAAATTGAATGCGTAATTAGGGCAAAATTCGTCAGAATTGCTCAAATGGTCCAATGTTGGTTACCAGAGCACCCCATTTCAAAGGATACCTTTTGCCCCAAACGCTCATACAACATGTTGCTCTATTTAGGCGCTGAAAAGTCCGTAATAGTCAATTTTACATGAATTCTGCGTTCATTTTTCGCTCCAAAAAACATTTATAACTCGGCGTCCAGAGGCGCTCGGCAGATAACGAAGAAAGATTCGGAATCAGCGTTTAACGCTCTTCAAAATAGTCTATGACCCATTTGAAAAGGCCACTTCGACTGATCCGACCTCCCTTGTAAGGCAAATCAGACTAAAAAGGGGAAGGCACCTAACTTAGATTGATCTTTTACGCGATCCCAAACACTACTTATAGGCTGAGCATCATTTTAAAGCGAGTTATCGACAGTAATAAGAATCAGCAATTTGAATTGATTCCAAACATGTATTTCCAAAGGGTAGAGCTAAGTTAGGTGCTTTTCCTTGTAAGGATTGAGGTGGCTATCACAAACAACCGGCCTGCTTAAGTTCAGATTCGAAAACGTAATCAGTATCTACAGAATAAGAACGAGTACAAAGTCGCATTGTAGAAACTTGATAATTTCGGTGAGCTCTTTACACCGCGTCGGAGCATTGCTTTTTTGACTCGCTTGCCATCAAAAACATCCACTCTTCAAAGAGCTTCCATTCCTTATCTGATCTGAAAAATATTATGATGATGCTACGTAAATGTGAATTTCCAACTCACGTAACAGTCTTTATTTTAACGCAACACAACATACAAAGGGTACACGGATGAGATGCGAATGGGCTTAAGACTAGTGATAGTGAAAGTGCAGTGGTATTTAAGCAAAGCCTCGTGTTTTTTTGCAAGAATGAACATACTGTGAATTTAGAAAGTTAATTTCGTAAATGACATAGAGGCTAAATCACTTTTTTTGAAAAAAAAAAACAAGTTATCATTTAGGTGAGCAAGCTAGTAGGGTTATCCGTTGTTTATCATTTGAGAAGCTATCGTTTTCTGATCGCAAGAAGAGTAGAGCAAAAAGGGCAATAATGGTGAGCATCCTTGACGGCATGTGTGCACAAAAGAATAAGCAGCGGCCAAAGGGGCGGCATGCACAACACCACAATCAACACTATGCAAGCACAGAATCCAAAGTCCCATACACGACTTGTAATGACTACAACCTAAAATTAAAGTTTGACTCTAAAGGAGGAAAAACATGAAATCTTACCCGACACCTTGGGCAGTATTCGGGATACGGATCAAATGTAGGGGCAACTTTAACAATAGGCGCATCTGATATAAGACTTGGTTGCGGATATGCAACATAGGCAACGCCGCCTTGGGTATGCACGAGGTGAGGTTGTGGTGGCGGAAAAGCTGAATTTGTAAAGTTGTTGTTAAAAGTCCTCGATTTATTTGATTCTGCGAAACAAATCTTATTGCGCATTTTCTTCTCCTCTCTAACTCCTACCCTCAAGCTTCCAACCACACTTCATTGCACAAGCACAAAGTCCCGTGTTTGGGCTCAAAGGGGTGACCGTAAAAAATTTTGGAGTCAAAGGGGAATGCGTTTTCGAAAACACCATTTGCCCACCGCATGCCGGGCCCTGACCACACATTGCCAAAATGTTTATGGATTTTGTCTTATATCTCACTTCTCTTGTTCGGATTAGCTTATACGTTTTTCATACTTTTCCATCCATACTTGTGTCCTTTCTCGAATGATGCAGAGATTTACGGATAAAATGCAGTAACTTTAATCTAAAAGACCTGATTTCTGTAATCTTAGAGTAGAGTAAGAAAGTAGAGTAAGAAACAAAATTTCCTAAATTACATACTGGTTTTTAAATTGTAATTGAACCCATAGTATGACACGGCGATTCCAGGTGATCTAAGGGTCTTACCATGCAGTACCGCGAGCACAAGAAAAGTAAATTGAGACCAGTCGTTAGAGCAAAGCAGCCTTAATCAAATGAGCTTAAACATTGGCGCCAAGTGATTTACGTAAAGTTTGGAAATTTTAACAGTGACCAAAGGCTTGAAAAACAAAGAAAAATCTGATTTTCTTCTAGAGAAAACCCTCGAAACCCCTATGCTTACGCACGCATCCCTATATCAGACACTCGTGTGCGCATTCTCGTGGTTTTTAACATGGCTAGAAAGCGAGAAAACGAAATTTAGCGTATATTTTTGTTTCTTGTGTTCTAGTCATGGAAGAATTCCAAAACTTTATACGTAAGTGAGTGATGTGGAGAGTAACCTCTGAACAAATTTGAGGTCCGTAAGTGCTCTGTGGATTTGAGTATTTAAAAGTTTTCATACTTTCGCCTAAAACTTCACCAAAACCAAAGTTTGCCAAAATTTTCATGGCCAACTTGTAGAGCGTGCTTTGCTTTATCAAACCTCAATCACAGTCTTTCGTAATCACTCTGTCGCGCTGACGCAATGCGACCTTATTTTCCGGACAACTTAATAAAACAGGTTCACGGCTGCAAGCGTTGGGATCGTCTACTTCTAGTCCCGAAATGGCGTAATTTCGCCCTCTGTTGTTCGTAGTATTATGCCACATCACTGTCCCTTATACTACTCAAGCTTGCATCGTTTGCACACTGTTACCGTAATCAACTCAAAACCTACATTTTACAGAAAGTAGCTGACATAAGCGAGGCACCTGGCCAGAACCTCCCCTGTCAGGTCACATTGCATTCTTTTAACGTGAATAAGTGCAAACTCCATAAGGCTCTCATTACATATGACTCAAACTGACAGAGCTTTATCATGGGCCATAGCTTGATGATGCGAACGCGATAAAGGCAATGATGTTGTGGGCTACATTTCCAACAAGCAAATAATCGGAAGTCGAATTGGCAATTCCAAACAAGGCTTCCAGCATTGGATATAGCATACGCTGACTCCGAATCTTTTTTGTTGAACGCTTTTGTAAACGAAGTTCTGAGTAGTTTTTAATAGCGAAAGGTTTGAGCTTTTTGAAACAAACAACCTGTTCTGGTCCAGCATGGAGCCAAACACAGATATTCTGTCCGATTTTGGCAAATTACATATACGATTCTTTGCAATACAGGGTGTCCGTAAAGTATGTATACACTGTTTGATCGTTAATATCTCTTTTCCCAAGAAGTTTTTTGCCTTGCTTCAGGTACCATTTTGTAGAGCTGGCTTCAACTTAGATTTACAGTATGGAGCGAATCATCCATCTTTCTTCATTACTGTATTACGGTAGAAACTTGAAACATATGGTGTTAATGTGGAAGAAGCTGCCGTTTCAAAATTTTTCAAAAAATGTGAAAACTTGTGTAATAGGGTTTCTATGGACGCTGAGTTCAATACTCAACTATTCACAAGATTGCGAAGCTTTCTAAACGGTGTAACCGCATTTTTTTGGGAACATTGTAAAAATGGCCGCTACCTCTTGCCTGACATAACTCTTCAGTGAAGCATCATAATACGTTGGGAACTTTACAATTATAATCAGCAACTCTAATTGGCCTAGTGTAAAAGTTAAGGCTGTTTTGTTTCCTTTCTGGGGCAAAATATGACCTTTCATGGCTCAAAACCCTCTTTGAAGTTACCACCGTAATCCTACACTAATGAAGAAAGATGGGTGATTCGCTCCCTTCTTTAAATCTAAGTTGAAGCCAGCTCTACAAAATGGCACCTGAGGCAAGGCAAAAGACTTCTTGGGAAAAGAGATATTAACGATCAAACAGTGTATACATACTTTATGGACACCCTGTATAATGGATCATAACTTCGTTCACAAAACTTTTCAGCGTATGGAATCAGCGTTTATTATTACATCCAGTGGTAGCACGCTGTGGAAGCAGCCTTTTCGCCTGCTCACACCATGCCCTTGTAGACAGTGATGTCCTCAGTCTGCGGCTGACCCGCCCTGAAAAATTCACAATGCAATCACATCTCTTTTTTGCCGTTTCCGTCTAAACACGCATAGATGCATGCATACATACATGCAGCCAGCTGTGAAAGTGCCGGAAAACGGTTCGTCCACAGGGACAGACCTTCAAAAAATGGCTCGTCGTCAACGTGTTAACCTAGGCATTGTTCGTAATGTAGAACTCTCCTGTGCCGAGCAGGATTGTTATGGTGGCAAGTTTATTGAATCGGCCTAACGTCTCAACAGCTTTGTCATCCTCAAAGGCCTGGAATCAATTCAAAAACCTGCGACACCGGGCCGACAGATACTTCCGCTGATCTTGCTAGTTTCGAGGTCGTTGTGAGTTTACTACACAAAAACTAGCAAGGCGGAGATGAACCTAGCTTTGCACCACAGCTATTAGGCCATATCACGCACCATCGGTCGCGAGGAACCGGGATGAGTCTCCGCGCGCGCCGCATACGTAGGAACTCGGTACTAGAGCGCAAAATTGGCCTGCATTTAGAGTTGGACGTATCAAATGACTCTGCTTATTTTGATGTTCCTTTGTCTATCTCTGCTTTACATTCCTACATTAGGTTTTATTCATGTGCCTGTGTATTTTATATGCTGCAATGCTTCAAAATAGCAAAGCGTGAACCATCACTCAAGAAGTCTCTTTGCGATCATGGTCAACACTCCCAGATATTGTTGTATTCCTGAGTAATCCCACTACAAAATCAAAAAGGAACCATTCGGAAACTCATTCTAAGGCTAGGCCAATTGAAAGCGCATTGCACACGTTGATTTACGTGCTCAAACTTTTGTTGCTGGCATCTGAAGTGACCAATTCAAGCTGAATGAGGAAATGCAAATGTTTTGATGTTTTCACAAGTGAGTCTTAGTTGCAATCTTCTAATAGTTCAAGAGTGAATGATAGCATCTCTCAACGAGTTTTCCGGTTTGGTGCTCCCTCGAACGACGCCTCACCATTCAAAATGAGCCATAGTTGACGCAAGCACACAGAAGGACAGGAAAGGCGCGGGGAAAAGTTGAAACGAAGGGAAAAATAGCTTGAAGGGACGACTGCACATGCTTTTGGTGCGATCAGTCGCGCTCGAGTACTAATTTCCCACGCATGCGACGCGCGCGCGCAGCCTCATCCCTTGGATCCTCGCGACCGATGGTGGGTGGTACAGTATATGTGACGTTCGCCGGAAGTAAGTGACCGTGGCAGAGACAACTTAGCAGCACAGTAGGGTGTATAGTGAATGTTATCTACACTCTACAGCTCGCATAAGGATACGAAGGGTAAGAATTCAGCAGTTATCGACAGGCACTCGTTCTTGTTGTTCATTTGTGGGTTTTTGGTAATATTTGCATTGTTTACTATTCCATTGAAAGGCCGTTTGCCGATTTGTATGCTAAACAAGTCCTGCATATACAAAAAGAAAAAATAAGGACTAATTTTTTCAAGCAAAATGTGGACTTTCCTAAGGTATCCGCTTAAGGCAGTGTCCAGGTAAATCTAAGCGCATGGATTTTCCGCCATTAAATTGATGAGGGGTCCTAACTAAGGCACTGCCCACGGGGCAGCGCAAATAGATCATCACGGCTGAGAAATCCGTCCCCGATACCCCGTGCCGCGATGTGACCGTAACCCGAAAACGACTTCGCTCATTTTAACATTACGTTCGCGCTGAGATCCATGCTAAGTGTTACGGTCATGGCGCAGCCGCGGAGTGTGGACGGATTTCTCAGCAGTGAATGGATAATTTGCGCTGCGGTTTGGGCTGTGCCTTAGTTGGAACCTCCTCATCAGTTTTCAGGCAAAAAATCCATATGACCGAGTGTAGAGTGTAGATAACATTCACTATATTTGCCTGGACATGCATTTAAGGAAGCGTCTCGTTTCGTGCATAATGGACCTACGTGTTGTCTGTGCTTTGGACTCGAGCCTTCGGCTGTAACTCTTTCTACAAAAGTTGTGATAGACCACAAAGGAACAGAGGCACCCTTAGCCCATAGTTATGTCTTACTAGTGTTGAAACTCGCCCTGTGGGCGAGCCGCGAATGGTCTTGCAAGAGGAATGTGTGTGAATCCTGCAAATGCAAAGGTAAAATCTGTGCCTTTTCTTCTCCTTCTCCGCCACTCTCTCTTTCAACTTCTTTCTTCCACCGCTTCCCTGATCCCGTTCCGTTTTGATTCATTCTCCTCCTTCTTTCCATCCTTCTGCACTCAGCCTACTACGAGGCAAACACTTGTCTTCAAGCAACCTTGCGTCGGCATCCTCTAACCGGAAATGAGCTTCGCTATTGTTTGCTTATGAATAACTGAAGCTGGCAAAACTTCATTCTTATTCTAAAGTGTAAAATGAGAAAACGGCAGAACAACACCGGATCCCAACAGAATATGGCCTAAGACATTGAGTCTAGTGTGGCAAACTCTTAGCTCGATCGCTTCTCGATGCTGTATAGGTGACGTTGTGTAGGTACAACTTCAAAAATTTTACATTTGTCACCCCATATATGAATATGTTATTTTTTGAAGGAGCATCCTCCAGGCTAGAAGAAATCAAAAGCGATTGAGAAGTTTGAAGGAAATGAGTGGACTTCATAACGAAACTGTCTTGGTGTCATCATTCTGGCTCGGGGCAAAGGTGATGTGTCTTCGAAAGACAACTTCCGTACGCATCGAAAATCTTCTTTTCCACTTTGAGCCCTAACTGCTCATTTGAACGTACTTTTATGACTGGACTCGCAACTGAATTTTTAGTTTACTGATCCTAGCAGAAAAAAAAGGAGTGTTGAAGCCATGATGAATACTTTAAAGTAAGTTTCAGGTTTGGGACTGTTTATGTTGTATTGGTGAAAATTGATATGAACTGGAAAAGTTACACTCTCAAGTGAAACGAAGTGGCAACTACCGAATTACCTTGGAAGAGAGTAGCACGCTTTCGATTTGCTCATGACTTCCATACAACTTCATGCCCTTCGTTTTCCATGGCTCGTACTCAAGCCATCTTGATGCCGTGTCGTCGTCATTCTGATTTGTAATGGGAAAATCTCAAACAATAGTTTGCCATTCTCTTCATTTCGAATTCTCAGAAAAACGGGGACATCCGCGAGGCATTGCAAATCTCTGGCACTTCCGGGATGCGCTCTTAAAGGCAGTGTCCAGCCAAATCTGGTCGCATGGCTCTTTCGCCTGGAATTTGATGAGAGGTACTAACTAAGGCACTGCCCAAGGGGCAGCGCAAATCGTTCAATCACGGCTGAGAAAGCTCTGTCGCCGAAAACCCCGCGCCTGCGCCTGACCGTAACCCAAAAGCGACTTCGCTCACTTTAACACTACGTTCGCGTTGGGACCAATCCTAAGTGTTACGGTCACGGCGCAGCCGCGTAGTGTTTGGGGATGGATTTCTAAGCGTGAATAAATTATTTGCGCTGCGGTCTGGGCAGTGCCTTAGCTAGAGCCTCCTCGACAGATTCCAAGCAAAAACCATATGCCCAGGTTTGCCTGGACACTGCCTTTAATCATTCTGCCAGAAAAGGCGGGACGTGGGGTGGTCCCCTCGCGGTGACGTCACAAAAGGCCGAGGCAGGACTTCGTGGGCGCTTAGAAAAAAGCGCCTCAGAGGTCTCAAAAATTTTCGAAACCATCGAGGATTTCTAAACGTCCAGCACCTCCTGCAATCAGTACGGAGCCAATTTAGCTGGCAGAGACGCAGCTTCCGTGAATTTCAAAAATAAGCTCTTTTCGCTTTCATCTTCATTTAAAGCCCTTTTCGCTCGTTTTCTTTCGTTTTCGTGTTGTTCTTCCGAGTTCTCGGTTTCTTACATCGTCTTGCCCTTTTTTTTGAGTTAAAAAATTGCAAATGTATCTTTAAACCTGCACCAGCTTGCAGAAACGCTGCTTCAAGAAAGGACTGCTATGTGCCTTCGAAGAGTTGAAGCACAAGCGAGCATGCGATGCTTTACCCGAACATTATCAAGGAGTTGAACGTCGGCATGAACAAGGTATCGAGGTATAGCTGAAACAATTCCACATATTTTTGTTTTTGTCTCTTTCTGTATTCTTTTATTTTCTCATATCTCTACCATCTCAAAGGAATGGCTTTTACTTGCTGCACTTTTGGAATTCTCTTTCCTTGCCTTTCTACTATACTTAGAAGATAAACGATCTCGAATTCTTTGTAAGTTTGTGTGTCATCAAATTTTCCAGTCTTGCTGCAGTCCTTACCTGATCATGCGCTCATTTGCAAACCTTACTTCAAAATGTGACTGCGGCTTAGAGTCTCTCAGGCGTTCGATAACACGTTCTCTTTCCTAAACTTCTCTATCGCAGCATTTGTGTTCGGTTTATGCCAGTGCAATGAGAGTAGCTAGGTGATTGAAAGAGCATTGAAACAAAACTCTGACGCGGGATTGCTGAATTTTTTCTAAGTAACTTGCCCTTAGAATGTCAGCGATCAGCGAAAATTCTAACGATAAGTTGACATTGACTAACCAACATATCTTGGAGGAACGGCCGGTGTAGGTGGAGGCGATGTGTTTGATTCGCGTTCTCGCTGCAAAATTAAAATACTAACGCTTTCTTAGTAGGTGAAGTAATTCGCATTGCAAGCTGGAGGAGATAAGGATTATGAGTTCATCTACATTTTAGGATATGATTGTTCATTTTGTTTGTTGGCGCAGATCAAATGTATTGAATATTGAGTGTGCCCAATAACACTATGACTGGATGGTCTCAATCAATATTGCTCATCCCTCAGAGCTTTGTCAGGGTGAGCAGTACAATTCTTACAACTACACATAATTTATGCAAAGCGACGCGGGGCGTTATTTGCATCTCAATTTTGCATCACGAAAACGATAAGTTAAGAACTAGCTTATTGTTAGTAGTGCCGGAGTTCCACCATCACCTCCTCGCGGCGCCAGCTGGCAACTTGGGCAACTACAACAAACAACGACGAGGCTATACCGTCACACTGAGCGATCTTGTCACATGCGTTGGACTACGAAATTTTCAAATTGCTGTCAGGAGTTTCGCGGACACGCACCATCGCCGCATGGTGCAAAACACGCGAGGGCTGCTTGCCAACAAAAGAAACGGCACGCCAAAGAAGCGCTCTGGCCTTAGCTAACGATTAGGGTCGTAACCAGGGTCAAGCAAGGGGTGTGGCACACGATCGCTGGTTACGACCCCCCTGATTGCTGTCTTAATAAGACCCTCCCCTGGACTATACCCTTGAGATAGCATTACTTGGAGGCCCTGTCAAACATAATGGGCAACATATCCATAATGAGCATGTCAATTAACCCCTGTAGACAAAGTTTGAGCGAATTCTGAAGATTCAAGATACTAGGCTACCTAAGTGAAATGGTCAAATTCCAACATGGTTAACTTTGTTTCAAAGGTGAATTAGCTATCCGTTTCTGCACTCAAGACAAAGCACTACTCCTTCTTTGTCCTCAGGAATCCCGCTTCAGAAGACCTCCAAATTGTGGAATTAGAAGCCAACGAAAATCTCGTTTTTCCCATTTTTCGCTTTTGATCGCTGTGCTTTCACCAAATATTACTCAGAGCTAAGAAGACGAATCAGGCTCAAAACATCCCTATGGAATCTACGAGGTTTAGGCTATTGATTCATATAAATAATGTCCGCTAAAAATGTTTTTTTGATATAGTTAATGGCCTGCGGCCCCCCCCCCCCTCAAAACCTGCGGCAGCCGCAGGTTTTGAGGGGGGGGGGGATGTTTTGAGCCTGATTCGTCTTCTTAGCTCTGAGTAATATTTGGTGAAAGCACAGCGATCAAAAGCGAAAAATGGGAAAAACGAGATTTTCGTTGGCTTCTAATTCAATAGTTTGGAGGTCTTCTGAAGCGGGATTCCTGAGTTGGACAAAGAAGGAGTAGTGCTTTGTATTGAGTGCAAGAAGAGGTAGCTTACTCACCGTTAAGATGAAGTTAATCATGTTTTAAATTACTGCTTTATACAAGGTTGTTTACTGCTCGGAGACCTCAGAGTTCGCTGAAACTTGGCGCATAGGGGTTATTCGACAAGCGGATTACGACAATTATGCTTGATTAGAGGTACGGTAGGTTACGGTAGGCATACGGTATCTGCAAGTTTGTGTCGTTGAACTTGAATTTTGCAGGATTACAACAGCGCTTTCATAAAGTCAATTTAGTCACACAGCTTGTACAAGTGCTTTTGACCTTGGGTCGATACGACCCCTCCTACCTACCCCCCCTAACGACCCCCCCCCCTCCCCTGCAGCGTGCCGCACCCCCCGCTTTACCCTGGTCGTAACCTTAACTGCTGGAACAGAGAGGTAATTGATAGATTGAAAGGGCCAACTCATTAGAATTGCGTGTGCACACATAATACGAATTGAAAGAGGAGGCAGGCTAAGGACATGTATTCAAAAGTCGTTGGAAGCGAATTTTTCAAGATTTCCTTATCGGATCGGCTTGCTCTTTGCATAGTCCTATATGACGATGGAGTGTGCTAGTCGAATTGTAACTCGTGATCTTGGTTGGAAAGACCCGGGCGAAGGAGGAGGCCCTTCGCAGGTTTGTGCTGATCAAATATCCTTAGGCCCTGGGCATAACTCATTCGTCGTCGCGACACGTGTTAGGTTGAACAATTGTTCCACACAAAACTGTTAAGTGTCTGGGTTCCGGCGCCTTTGTGATGGCTGTTCGGCGCGACAAATCGCAAATTTTCCACGTGCATAGCTCACCTGGCGAAATCGTCGCGATTTTTCCGAATCGGCGCGATGTCGCGTGGTCCATTTGCGGCGAGCTTCGGGACGATTGTCGCGTCGGTTTGAACCTCATTTTCGATGTTGTGATGTATGTTGCTGTGTCTTACGCTCGCAAAAAACAACAACACACGTGTTTTCGTAATACGTGCAATGTGTCAAGTATTGTGGAACTGATGAAATTGAGAGCACGAAATTGAAATGAAATGAAATTGCATGAAATTGAAATGAAATGAAATTGCACCAGAGGTATGCACTGGACGACCGATTTCGAGATCAGTAGTTGCGACCAGAAATCGATTTTCGCTCAATTTTTCTTAATTCTCTTGTTTTTTTTTGATTATGTCACTTGGGGTATGCCCAAGGCCTTAGGGTTGGGCTAGACCTGCACGACGTATCTAAATCTTAAATCTTCTCGTGTGTACGCCGCGCGTCTGGCCCAACCCTTATAAATTTTGCAACAGACAGACAACGAGAAGACAAAGCCCCAACGCGTTCATAGTAGGATTCGGTGTCTGTTGAGCGTTGCTTAGCCAGCTTATATGATAGCTGTGTCGCTCTACATGGTTGCGGGTGCTTCATCGCACCACTCCCCTCTTTGACTGCTTCGCTGCGACCCGTTTCGCTGAAGCATCTCAGACACTTTTTCCGACGCCCCGCGCGCTTTCATGAGCCTACCGTGCGAGCGGCGCGCCTAGATTTGTGGGCGTGGCATCGTTTCCGACGGGCGGCGCGCCATCTTGAGTGACCGGGCGAGCGGCGCGCCATAAACAAATATGTAAGAACAACGAACATTTAACTTAACAAGACGCGTAAGCATCATTTTGAATTCGTTGTTAGCCGTAGGAGGTTGCGTTTGTTATCGCATCGTTGGTTGCTTGTCCGTTTTGCCGGCTAATGTCTCCATTCCTTGTAAGTTTTTTCTGGTTCACATTTGCACAGTCATTGTCATCCATGCGCTCCCTATTCCGTAGCATCTTAGCGTCCGTATTGCGTCCGCTATTCGGCTATCCGGGCCCCAAATTTTTTTGTCATGGATTTCTCCCAAACTTAGCCCAGAGGGGTTATCTGACGTGCTGGTCACGAATACCATCCTTTCCGCAGGACGCCTTCCTGCAGGGTTACGGTAGGTATACGGTAGGGGGTCAAAATCATAGATTTGCCCGGAACTTGGCTCAGAGGGGTTTTCCGGCCCTCTGATGCTAAATATCACGTTGGTTTCGAACCGTAATGTCATTTTCTCGGATTACGGTAGCTACACGGTAACGGGTGTAAAACGTAGTTCTGCCTGAAACGGGTGTACGGTGATTCGGACGATCGTGAAACTTTGCACACACGACCACCGCCGTACGCTACACACCCTGCTGCGGCTTTTGCCTAGGCGAAGGACGACGCCTGCATATCTGTGGACAACTGTGTCAGGTTTTGGCAAATTCAGGCGAACCCGCCCTTCAAAAAGGTTTCTCATTCATGTTTTAGATTACAATAAAACTACAATAATCCAGTGAACGCTTTAGCTGGATCTCACAAATGTCTGTAAAGCTTGGCAAGGAAGTCCGAGGCACAACATCTTTCAACAGTTATGTTCCTTGTAACGTTTTTTATTCCAGAGGGTGAGTCACGATGAGGTGCAAACGCCTCATTTACATAAGGAGTTCTTAGATGACGGAACCTGCCGTCGAAATCAAAAACTACTCTACCACCTAAACCAAAACGCTGGACGGAATGAAGAGTTGCTCAATCTACCAGAAGAAATAGAAGGGAACCTTAGAGGTCAACAAAAGGAATCACTTTTGAGAAATAATCACTCTCAATGGACGTTTTCAGATTTCGGTGAAGACATGATGGGGTTGGGCACAAGGAGCTAGATCAATGGAATAACCTGGACTTGAATCAGTCTTTGTGAGTGACTAAATCAGGATCCGCAAAAACCAAAAGATTAGCGTTTCAGATTTACAGAAACCTTGGAGATACCGAAAAGGAAAGAATGGAAGCGCTGGCTGAGCTAAGAAAACAGCGCCAAGATTGGCGACCTCAACTATTCAAATCTCTCCAAATGGCTCTGTTGGTCCAAAGATCCTTTACAAATTTCACAGTGATTGAGAATGTGATTTCAGACGAGATATAAGGTCCTACATTTACGAGTCAGAAAAATGGATAGCCAATAAGGTGAGAATTTTTTGCATACTTAAATAATGATCTTACACTTCTTTCAGCGCCAGAAACGTGTCGCACCAGCCGAAGATTGAAGGAAGTTACTAACCGAAAAAGGATTACGTAGCAGCAACTCAATCATCAGCTAACGCCTGTCAACATCTGCGTAATTTCCTCTCCAACGTCTCCTCCAGAAAAAAATTGATTTGTCTAGGTTTTTCTTTTTGTGTTTTCTTTTCAAATATTGTTCAGTGTCTTATCTTTAGTGTTTCATCTTTCGTAACATAATGGTACCTTGCTTTAAGCGTTCATCAAGATCTCCGTGTTCACTGCCTCAATGTCATGATTCTGGCAGAATTCCGGTTTTTTTGCTCATTCAGGTCATCCTTACCGGTATCTAACAGTGCTTTCTCAGTATCAGCATGGCTGCTATTGAGAAAGCACTGTTAGATGTTGAAGCATGCTATACGTGTTTTACAGGGTGCTTAGCGCAAAAGGTATTGGTGATTTTGTAGTTGTTGCCTGTTGTGTTTTGCTTTTGATTCTGTATTATGTTGTTCTGTAAGTCTTTGGAAATAAATCTGCCATCATCATACCCGTATACAGTTTGGCAATAAATCTGACGCTATGAGGTCGTATTTCAATGACAAAATATGAATTTTATTAAAGGATTGCTATCTGTATCACAATAGGGTCCCACAACGCTTTCGAAGGAGCGCGCGAGCGGCGCGCCTTCAGCGAGCGGCCGCGTACCTTCATTCCACGGGCGGCGGGAGGCATGAGCGCTCGCACGCTCAAAGCGCGCGGGCCGTCGGAAAAATTGTTTGACAAGGGAAGTTTACTTAGTCGAAGTGGCGATTCGGAAGGAGATCTACACTAATGGATAGAGCTTAGAAAGCTGATCTCAGATTTACCTTCTATATCTGCGACGCGTTGTTTTGAAAAAAAGTTATGAGCTTTTTTAAAGCCAAATTTTCGTGCATTTTGAGTCGCAAAATCATAATAATCGCTACACAAAAGTGTGCCAGCTTAAACAAATCACCTAGTAAGCATTGTAGATCTAATTCGAGTTCATCCGAACGCTATCGAATGTTTTTTGACCATGTTGTTCATCCACAGGTCGTCATTTCAATCCTAGATCACACTTCCATTATGTATACAAAAAAGCCCCATAACCTCCATCTAGAAAAACGCGTCGCATAGGAAACTTTTTGGAAACTACCAATGGATAGAACGTAAAACAATGTTTTCAAACATATCTTCAATATCTGAGACGCGTTCTTCTAGATGGAGGTTATGGGCTTTTTATATATACCAGTGCGTCACCTCTGCTTCGCAGAGGCTCGCATGGCCCTACTATCTATGTGCCTTACTCATTTTCGTAGAATTGTGACACCGGAACTCACCGCGTTATGCCGACTACCACGAATAAAATGTAAACAACTACTCATTTAAAAAGCTTTTTCACGTGAGATCGGTGATTTCGCGTGGATGAAACTTTTCACAGAAAGACAAACGCAAATTTGAATAGCTTCTTGAATTTATGGCTTGGTAGTTGCCATAAAGGCAGTAGTAATCGTGAGCTACATCTCTTTGCGAAAATCTTCTCAAGTATTTGGCTAGAACCTTCGCAAATTGACCATTTACGCAACCAAATCTTTTTGGCGCCGTTTTCGTTATATAGTAAATTTTTAACCACTTTTTGGGCTAAAGTCCATCATTTGCATTTGATAACCATTTGTTAACCAAACACACCCACGACTTTGCAAAAAATGGTGATACGGACCCAATTTTGCGGGACAGAAGCCAGGTGGATCCGTTTGGCGCGCAATTTCTGAGGGATCCACTCAACGAATCTACTTGTGCGTTTGCGTGTTAGACTTTTATGAAGGGAGCATGCGCTATGCAAAATTTGGGCTTAGAACACTGGCTGGAACACGCTCTACGAATTTCGTAACAGACGGACACACATACAGACACACACACAAAAACACGTAAACAACCCTTAGCCCGTTATAAGGTCTTGATAATGGAAGTGTGATCTAGGAATGAAATGACGGCCTGTGGATGAACAACATGGTCAAAAAACATTCGATAGCGTTCGGATGAACTCGAATTAGACCTACAATGCTTATTAGGTGATTTGCTTAAGCTTGCACACTTTTGTGTAGCGATTATCATGATTTTGCGACTCAAAATGCACAAAAATTTGGCTTTAGAAAAGCTCATAACTTTTTTCAGAACAATGCATCGCAGATATAGAAGGTATATCTGTGATCAGCTTTTTAAGCTCTATCCACAGGTATAGATCTCCCTCCGAATCGCCACTTCGACTAAGTGAACTTCCCTTGTGAGATAGATGAACTCTCAGTAGAGCATATACCTACCTCATGCGACATTTTCGAGTCACAGCACCCTCCCTGCCACGAAATTAGATTGAGGTCCACCGTTTCCTCTACATCAAGTCGTGGAAAAATATTGATGTGATAGTGACTGGTAAGCTCTCACTCAAGATGAGAAGTGATGATTGCAGGCAGAGTAAAGAGGCCTGAGAACTGCAATGACCTGGGGCATTTGCCCCATCTTATCTACGTGGAATCTTGTCATGACATATAATAAAACGCTAAGCGTCCGTCTTTTTATATGGGAATGCCTGTCTGTTACGAAAATCGTATAGCGAGCTACAGCCGAGCTATCAAGCTACAATTTTGCATAGCATACCGTACCAGCATGTAGATCCACTATGCACAAGGACGAGCTCGCTCGTTGAGCGGGTCCTTCAAGATTTGCCCGTAAAACGGGTCTACGCGGCTTTTGGTACGCGAAACTAGGTCGATTCAACTTTTTGCGAACTCATGATTTGCCTGACAAGTAAATCGGCGCTCTATGAATTTTAGCCCAAAAATTGCTTAGAAAGTCTGTGCTTTTGCAAAAACAGCGCCAAAAAGTGGTAATCGCGTAGATAGCCCATTTGGCAAGGTTTTACCCTACAAAAGTGAAAAGAATTTTTTGCTTGGAAATGTAGCCCAAAATGACCATTATCTCTATGATGACTAAAAGCCAAAATAAATCCAGCACTCTATTCAAATTCGCATTTGTTCCTTTGCAAAAAAGTTTTCTTTCAAAACCACCGTTTTTACATGGAGATGCTTCAGGAATTGGAATTGTTTTTAATTCATTTGTGATGTTCAACATCGCGCCGTGAGTCGCAAATTCTTCACTATACGAGCACGAAAAAGGCATAGGGATAGCAAAGACAATGCGAACCTTCGCAAAGCGGAGGTTCGCACGGTAATCTTACAATCGTAACCAGTACATCACCCCTGCTCCGCAGAGGCTCGCACTGGTCGATATGGAACGGTCAGGAAAACTTACGTGGTGGTATGTTCGATCATTCTTCAGTTAAATGACCACAGAGAGTGAGAACGAAAATAAAACGCCCTTGTTATGCAATTTCCTCATGCTTTGGAGTATTGTAAATCATTTATCACTGTAATTTCGTAGCGGACAAATTCCACATAGCCTCAGATTAACGGCTTATTGTAAGGCATGACAATTCTATAATCTTAACAACGAAAACGAGACACATTTGTTTACACTCAGAGGTATTTGCATGTTCATATGTTGTACACGCTAACAGGCAGACTTGAGTCAAATCCCGAACTCAGGGCGTCATGGAGCATAATAACAAACATCATTTAGGGGAAGACATGACGAAGGAAACATCGAAACAAGAAAACGTGACATTTAATGACATTTGGTTTGATTTTGTTCGTTTCAGTTTTTATGTCCCAAAAATACTTTAGTTTTGTGAACCTTTTTATTCGTCATTTTGCAATGTTTCGTTGCCTCAACGCTAAACGCAAGAATAAACATGTACCGTCGAGTTATCAACTTGTTACGCGTATTGCACACAATGCGCGTTACTTGACGATTTGTAAGATTACAAACTGCTTTTTTCAGATGATTTCTCCTTGTTTACTCGTCTATTTTGAATCTATAGAACACCAGCTGGCATGCCTGACTTCGCCTGCATTGATGATTTAACTGGCTCAACAAAGAGCAACATAGCCGCACAATTTTTAAAGCTCGACTCACTGCTTTTGACTTTCTTTTATTTCTAGTGCAACACATGGTACACTACCTATTCGCATAGCCTTCAATTACCGCATCTCACTCATCGTGGAATAGAAATGAGTTCTATTGCCATCGTCTACACCAAAGTTTAATGTGGTTTGATATTCTTGATAGTTTATTTTTCTTCAAAATCGATAAATCAATAGAAGGAGCGCGAATTTCTCTGCGAAAAGTAGCCTACGGACACAAAAGCTTCTATAATGAACACACTTACTAACAATTTAGCACTACTCAGCTTTATACATGTATAGTCGTGTTAGTTAATAAAAATTAATAAAAACCCATTTCTACTGTTTGCTACGCTAGAAAACGTTTTACTGAGAAGTTACTAGTAAGATATCGTCGGTTGCCGCGCACGGTGTGCAGATTTGAATACAGAGTCGCAGATAAGTCGACGATAACTTCAGTGATTCTGGCATAACCAAACTGGTATCAATCTTTTCTTTTCGGCCTCACGTTTCGGCGTACACGACCTTTTTTGAGAAATTACTCTTTTTTTTTGATTTCGATTACTTCAAAAACAAAGGCATTTTTTAGGATAGCATGTGCCAATATTTGCTCATAATTTACGACTTAGACAAGTTTTCGAGAATTTGAAAATGAATATCTTGCAAAATTTGAATAATTCATACACAAATGTTATTTCGGACTTATACCCCTAAAGGCTTACCGGAACGTAGTTATAGGTGTCATGGCATCCTAAGGCACCTGACAGGGTTGATATCTGCACACGGTAAGCCTCGTCCCTGCAATGCATGAACCGAGATTTTAATGGAATGAGCTCAACGTACGGATAGGATTTTTGTCAGGTTGGGATAAAAAAATGATTTTTAGAGATTTCGATCATGTATTTGCTAATATGGTGGCTGTATGGATTGGAACTTCAAAATTCTGGCTGGTATTTATTTCCATGAATTTCACTTCACATTCAAAAAAATAATATTTAGTTCCTGCCTTGTGTTTCCAAGCATATAGTAGTTTCGCTGAAAGCATTCGAATTTTTTCTTTTGGAAACATGAGCTTCTTCACAAATTTTAGTGCAAGACTAGAGAAATTGGGAAACAAACGGAAAAAATTTGCCAGTTCGAAACAAATCAGCTGATTCTGATTCCGATTTTGTTCCACTGTTTTCCAAAAATGAGAAATGAAAGTTATGCCAAGTTTTCCTGAGGTTATTGTACTCGATTAGAATCTGTCTTTAAGGGTTTTTGAAGTTTTAGACCTTGAGCAAAAAATCAGAAAAATCCCTACTAATTTTCACTCTAATTGGACGAAAATCGTCAATAAGTTTTGGGTTCGAAATTTTGCTGAAATTTGTGTAATACGGGATGAAGGCAAGCTTCTCTAGCGGAAAACATCTCTGTTGAAGTGCAAATTGGTTACTAGTTAGTGTTGCTGATAGTGAATTCCTTGAGTGGATAAGCTCCCTCACACGCTCCTGGATCCCATGAGGGTTCAAAAACTGTGAAAACTATTAAGTAATGAGCAGTTTATTGTTTGTTACTTCCAGCTCTAGCCACTGACTCACTGGAATCCCTCTAGCAACAAGAATGGGATCCGTGGATTGTACGAGATAGCAGTCAATAACTCTTCTGCAATGTTTTACCACATTGACCTACTTTTGCCTAATTGAAGCTACGAAATGTACTGGTTTTTGTTACCTGGTCGTTGAATTTACGATTGCCGGTTTCACATCTTTTTCCTACTCAGTATATTTGAGTTCAAGTATATCTCATTATTAAATCTGAAAATTGAATAGAGCGATTTTTTGATGATGGACAAGCCGAACATCAAAATAAAACGTAATCAAAAAGCCATACAAATTCTGCGATGTGTATTTTTTTGCACCGCATCAAATGCAAAGTGAATGAAAGTGAGACTGAATTTTTAGCAAGTTTCCGCAATTCAACTGATGATAGCAATCCCGACTGATAAAGCATTCACTAGCTGGGAAATGGGGTCCCATAAATCTCTTGTGAGATTGTAAATCATAATCACTATTTGATCTCTACAAACTAATGCATGAAATCATCAGAAACGGGCAAAATTATGGACTAGTTACAAAAAAAAACCAAGTATTTATTGTGATGAGCAGGTGATCGCTGAGGTAGTCCGTTCTTATCATCAGTAAGATAGCAAATTATCGTCTTCTGATTGCGAGAAGGGTGAGACAATTGGGGCAGTAATGGTGGGCGTCTTTGAAGGCTGGTGTGCACAAAAAGAACAGCATTGGCCAAAGGAATGGTAAGCACAAGGCCAGAATCAGCACTGTGCAAGCACACGATCCAGAAACCCAAACTCGACGGGTGGTAACTATAGTCTGCAAGTAAAGTAGTTGAATAAAAGGGAAAAAAGAAGGGTTAGAAACATCTTACCTGGCATTTTGGACAGTATTCGGGATAAGGATGGAATGTATAGGCATTTTTGATGATCATTACATCTCGAGTGGTTACCAGCACCGGTTGTGGATTTGGATTCACAATGTAAGCGACACCGCCTTGGGTGTGCGCAATTTGAGGCTGAGGCTGTGGCGGTGGAGGAGCTGAAATTTGTTGATCTACTGAGTTGTGCAGAGGAGTTGTGAAGCATAGTGCATGAATATTGTAGTCTCATAAATTATCCGCACTATTTGAGATTTCCTTTTTTTCGTCTCACCGATCTTCCTCACTTGATTCACTCACACTGCTTTGAAAGATTTTCTCTACAGTCAAGATTAAATTTTGAGGTTTTTTCGTTCGCTCTTAACACATATGATCGACGACTCGTTATTTAGTCCAGCGTTATTAATTGCACATAAGAACTCTACGTCAAAATTATTATTAATATTATTCTACTTGATAGACAGCAGAAGATGCCAGTGAATACCAAAATGATGACCTACAAAAGTAAATAAGTTCTATAGTATGCGGATAAAGCACTGTTCCTTAGTTTGCCTCCTGGAACACCTCACAAATAAAGAAAATCAACAGTTTTTTTAATTTTTAGTAGGTGAAAACTCAAAAATTAGACTAACATTTAGGTAAGTTGGATTTAGACCAGTCTCCTTTGGTCCAATTGAACGAGATTTAACAGCGAGCGTATTCATGGACAATGCGCCGCACTCTGAGCGGGATTTTGGACCGTAATTACACCACTAAGAATGGCATCAATTGTATTGTGTAAAACACAGTTTTTTCTCCCACGTTATTCGTCTATCATAGATAAGGAGTTGAGATTTTGGCAACAATGAAAATGTTATATTGTATAATAATAATATATAATATTGCAATATTAATATTGCAAGCAATCGCAGACTCTCGTTTATAGGCTGATCAGAACACTTTTTGATGCGGCTCGGTGGGCCCAGCACCCCCTTGCCTCGCTCGACTGCCTGCACAACCCTGCACCTACTGCCTACAAACCTAGCGCCGGTTGGCCATTCCAGCGTGTCCGACACAACGACCCGCTAAGTGGCAATGATCCATAACAAACGCGCGGCTAGATTACTAACATTTATCCTTATGGCAGAAGACTAAATTAGAAAGAAACTAAACTACGCAAATGCCTAAACTAAAGAGAAAACAGTACACGGGACGAATCCGCCTCGTCCCAAGCCGCCGATGATCACCAATAATTCAAACACATGTCAGGGGAATCACCTGGGTCGACCGCCTACTCTCGCCTCCGCGTAGGAAAGTTGCGACCCTCTCCATTCTCGGTACTAATTTTTCCTTAAAAGCTCTAAACTTTCTTCGCGCGTTAGCGCGGTACAATTCAAAAGCTGTAACAATTACTTGCTCGACCATCAAAATAGAACTTCATCCACGGGGCCTGCCGGGGAAGCTGCCTCTACATCATAATTTTGACTCGTTGTACGGTTGTACTTAGTTTTTTGAGCATGTCTCCGAGCGCACCCTGTAACGCCGGAGCAACTGTTTCCTTTGAAAAATTCACAACATCCCTATTGCGTCTGCAAACTGACTATTTTTAGGGTATTTATAAAGTCGCTACCACAGTCTTTAAGCAGCAGAAGATTACTTAAATTTACATTGGAAACAAAAGAATTTTTCAAAAATTTCACACTTTCCTCACACTTATGAAATTGCAAGGATTGATATGAGATGCATTGTAAAGAGAGATTCGCCGCCACACTTTCCTCACACTTATGAAATTGCAAGGATTGATATGAGATGCATTGTAAAGAGAGATTCGCCGCCGGCTAAAATTGCACAATTCTGAGGCCGTTTTTTGTAAATTGCAGAATGTATTCACATTTTAAAAAGAACCAGCTAAACCTGAAAATTACGCCAATTTTTCCCCTTTAGTTTGAAGGGGAGTACTTTTTCCGCACCCTGTAGTTCTAACTGAGTAGAATGTCAACTACAACTGCATGTGATCATTTGCGGGACAAATTATGCGACTCCATAATAAAAATTTGAGATTCTGCTACCAAAATTGTTCAAGTTTTTCTTCAAAGTTTGCAGCCGACCACACCTTTCCTTTTTCTGAGACCAATGCCTAGAGGTTTTTGTCAATCTGATGTGTAATAATTTCTCATAAGCGTTGTAATGTGGCACCTGATTGATGAAAATATTTGTATGGATTGTCATCTGACGCAATTCGCCAAAAACGTGCAAACTAAAGAGTAAGAGAAACAAAAAGGCATTTTTGAACGCTTGCGAATTTTTCGGATGCAGTTTAGAGCGGGCAAGATCTCATATTCTCATATTCACGAAAACTTACTGATTCGTTACTATGATCAAAATTTTTTCTTAGTTTACTCTCTCCTATGCTTTTGAGTAACTTCCAAGTTTTTGAGTATTAGTGCTTGTATGCACATGCAGCAGATAAATATTAAACATGAGTGCAAAAGTTATGCGAATCACATGTTTCTAATTTCAAAAACCCCTGTACAATTATATATTTTATGGTATATCTGAAAAGATTTCCATTCCAAAAGATAGAGAGAGACTCATCGAACAATATTTCGATGACGCTAGAGATTACATGTAAGACTAATATGAATATTTTCGTATTCGAATCTTCTTACACTTATAAGGAAATTCCAGCAAAGTAGATGACGTGAACAAGAGATTCTAAACATCTCGTAACTAACCAGTATTTTTTGGAGGAGTTAGTTGTGTAGGTGGAGGCGATGTAGGTGAAGTAAGCGCTTCCTATAAACTACGATGAAGAATTTTAACGAACTCTGCAATTACTGTAACTCACATTATAAGTTGGAGGTGCTGGAGATTGTGAGCTCGTTTGTGGTGTTGTCATTTCTGCTTGTTGAACCCGCTGGAAAAGTTTCGGATTAGGACGAGTCATTCTTTTTTGTTTGTTGACGAGTTTCGAAACGCGCGCGTGTGTATACGTAAGATGACGCTGAGACTGGATAGTTTGTGATAATCAAACATGGACTCGACATTCTACAGAAAGTCACATTCATGCGGAAGTCACACTCATGCTTCGATTAGAAAAATAAAAAGATTAAAAATACATGATGACAACACTCATCCAAATATATCTCAGGTCTCAGAAAATGACGAAAATTTGCACATTAAAAAAGGTAAATTGGAGCGGAAAGGCTCCACATTGAATGATCTTACCAATTACGCCAAAGGATTGGGATCATTGTGAACATTTCCTATTGAGTATAAATGATATACTCCCTATGAATTTAAATGGAAGAAATTTTCAACAAAGAAATGTATGATTTTAGATCAGCAGCTTTTTGAACGAATATTTTCTAAGCAAAAAAGTGAGAAGAAGAAAAAACTAGGATTGCGCTATTTTGCCGATCATTTGTCCGATAAGAGACTGCGTTATCAGCCCACCCTTCTAGAAAGCTAGTCCGAACTGTGATGGCACAACCAGCATCTGGATGATTCAGCAGTAAGCAGGCGGCATCGGCGTGAAACAGAGATCAATTGCTCCAGAATAGAACATGCTCAGAGTGACTCAAAGGTGCATCAGAATTTCTTCTAAAGCTCCACGTAACCAATGCGTACAAAACTTTTACATCGAATCATCGTTTCTTTTTCCCATTTCTCTTCTGTTTGGGACATCGATATGAAACAAAACTCTTCAAGGTTAGGGTTCAATTTGACGCAGCCTAAAAATTCATAGGATTTTACCAGATTTAGATAGAGAACCAAATTATCCAGGACCACCTAATTTGATCAGCGTATAATTATTTTTACATTGTTTAGTTTTATACGGAAGGCCTCAAGCGTATCAATTGGAGTGAAACGAAATTACGATGTTGTGTTGCTTCCGGAGCACTATTTTCCAGCCTTATAAGTGTGCTTGAAACTCTATTGTAAAGAGAAAATCTATGATTTTCAACAAACGAAATCACAAATTTTGATACAAGATTAGAAGAGCCATTAAATTTCACTCGTTTTACTCAAGAACTGTTATGCCAACCTATTAGATTTATCTGACGAGGGAGGTCCGATTAGTCGAAGTGGCCTTTCCGGATGAGGCATATACCTCTTTAAAGGCACCGTCCACCCAAAATGGAGGTTGGCGAGATTATGATGGCATACTGGTGTGGGCCCCCATACTAGGACAAACCTCCAAGCTTCGCCGCAAAAGACTGCTTCTGGAGCGAGAAATCTGCTCCTGAAGTAGCAGATTTCTCGCTCCAAAAGCAGGCGGGGCGACCATGGTCGCCCCGCCCACTTGCATGCTTTATCTCGCCTGCACTTGTTGCAGAGGGTTCTCGAAACAGGGATTTTTGGGGGTTTCGCGGATTTTCGACTCCATATTCGGAATCAGGGCTTTCAGAAGGCCTGAAGGCGACAAAAACATTGAATTCGAGATTTTGGGTGGACGATGCCTTTAAAGAGCTCAAACGCTGATTCCAAATCTGTGATCATTATCTACCGAGCGCTTCTGCATGCCAAGTTATGAATATTTTCTTGGTGCCAAAAATAAATGCATAATCTAACAAGGGAACGATACTCAATGTCGGTGGCCTTTTGAGACGAGGTGCATACCGTTGCACTCGTCTTCGAACGCTGATCCCGAATCTGACTTCCTTTTCTGCTAATCGTTTCTCTGAAAGAAGTTATGGCGAATTTTGAGCCAAGTTTGGCCGCCCAAGGGGAAATATGGTCATTGGAACGGCCTCGACTGCGGGTTGGCACTAGTAAATAGTGCGATAGCCTCATAAGTTGACGCAGGTGTAGGTTCAAATCCTTTTGTGTTTTCACCTTTGCACTGCCTCACTTGTTCAAGAAAATTCACTCGAATTATGATCACTGGATACATTTTAACGCAGACAGTAATCATTTGTTCCAAATTCACACATTTTTTGAAGAGTAAGGGCGTTCACTTAGCGAGGATGCGAAAGAAGGTTAACTGAGGCATTGCAAAACTGGAAAACACACAGGGATTCGAACCTACACCCGCACCCACTCACGAGGCTATCGCTTAACCACTAGGCCACAGCGCAACGTTAACCGTGGCGTTCCGACCGTATTTCACAAGGTAGCCAAACTCCGCGCGATCCATCATAACATCTTTAAAGCGATTAGCAGAAACGGAAGTCAGATTCGGAATCAGCGTTCGATGCTATTTATAGTCGTGTCAATTTCATGTGAAAAGGCCACTTCGACCAAACGGACCTCCCTTGTGAGATGGGTATCGCAAAAACAGCACACGTCTGAAGTAACTAGCTACTGGTGGATTTCATAGAGTTCCCTCAAGCTTTGACGCCATGATGAGTTGATGTCAATACTTTTTCAGATGAACCTCATAAATGATCGAAGTGTTACGATAACTGTGAGGTGATAGATAACGCTTTGAAAATCTGCAGTGAACTGACAGATTCTCATGGAAAAACTAATATTAGGCCGGTTCGAAAGTTCGTGCCTCTATTCAAACCTGACCGTTATTCGTTCAGAGTAATGATAAGCAAACGCTCCAAACAATGATCGATACAAAAATCGTTTCCTTCCTAAAAGTGATGTTTCTGTTCCGAGTCATTTGAAGTCGCTCAAATAATCGTCAGAATCTCTATTTCATGGTTACTTACCCTAACTTTGGGTAACTTATATAATTTTTATTCCAGAGTTTTGAGCAAACTTTGATTACATTTGGATGCGTAAACAAAGTGCAATACAGCAAATTTTGGGCATCTTTAAGTGGCTTCTCAACAGTTTTAAAAGAACTTTTCCAAAGCTTTCATTTTCGCAAAGTCGCAAGATACACAAATGCTTTGAACCCTGACTTCGGAATTTAAAACACCCAGATGTTGATCATGATTTAGCACTAGTTTCCAAAGGAAAATGAGAGTCTACCGCTTCGTATGGTCAAATGACACTCTATTTGCTTACCGTATAATGTTCTAAAAGGTTTGGATACAAATACCAAATTTGGTGGCATCAAGAATAACTTTAAAAATTCTAAAAAGCCAGAGATGCTTAAAAATGCATTTTTTGTGGTTTGTTCACCTTTCAGGCTGTGGTCAAAACTCATCAAAAAGTCTAAAGTGATAATCTTGAGAAATAGCTGAGATTAGGGTGAGTACAAACCATGGGTTGGAGATTCTGACAATTTTTTGAGAGATTATCAAGGAGTCGAAACCCAAACACTTCTGTATTGAACACTAGATTGTTTGTATATCATTATTCTGAGTGATTTGAGAATAGGTCTAAGTACGGCAAGAACTTCTACATCGATCTAATATCGTGTTGGTAAACTCATAGTTATCATCATAACTTATAATAACGGGCTAAGGGTGTATACGTTTTTTTTTGTGTGCGGGCTAGCAGCATGAAAGTCCGCTATGCAAAAGCACGAGTGGATCCCACTCCGATCCCGAAGTCATGGATATAATCTACAACTAAGGTCCAAGCCGTGGACTTTAGCCCAAAAATTGAACTCAAATTGATTGCTTTACGAAAGTGGCGCCGAAAAAAATTAGTTGCGTAAATGTTCAATTTGCCATGATTTTACCTATTATATGAGAAGATGTTTGCACAGAGATGTAGCCCACGGTGATCATTGTCGTTATGGCGACTACCAAACCATAAGAAGTTCAAAAACCGATTCAAGTTTGCATTTATTCCTCTCGGAAAAGTTTCATCCACGCGAAAACCGATCTCGCACAGAAAAACTCTTGGAATGAGTAGTTGCTCACAAATCATTCGTGATAGCCTGCATAGAGCGGTGAGTTTTAATGTCATTATTATGCGGGAATGAGTAAGGCATACAGAATGTAGGGCCAGTGCGAGCCTCTGCGAAGTAGAGGTGACGCACTGGTAAAGATATAAAAGCCAGAACTTCCATTGTAAAAGCATTTCACAAGCACATATTCATTGCTTTGCAATTTATGGTAGCCTAATTCAATAGACACGTCAAAGTCAGCAAATAAGCGGTAGAATAATTTTTTGGTACTTTTTCATAATTGGTTATTTTGCAAAGTGAAGGAGCAGATGATTTTGACAAACATAGTTTCAAATAACTCTTGACGCAATAAAATGAATTGGAAGGAATAGATGATGACGACACTAGCATACTTTGTCTTTATGACGGTTCGCAAGAACAATGTGTCGTTCCACCTACATTGAGACCAGCGCTATAAAACAAGTGAGACACATTTCATGAAGAATAGCCTTTTAAAAAACGCAAAGTTCAACTTATGATATATGTGTTTTCAACTTCTAATTTCATTACATTCCTTTGACCACTGATATTCGCCTATGCAAGACATGAGGCCATAAAATATGTAGTGCTTCGTTGAGAAAACACTTTTCATCATGTTTCCCGCACAACACAGCGTCATGGTGCATGAGAATCAAACATTCTTTCAAAAAGGCATGGCATTGTTTAGTTCTGCCATTTCTTTCTCATGTCTGCTAACCTATTTACCGCGCAGCTGCCAATTTTCGACAAATTTTCTCAGCATCTGTTTCAGCTTCATTTTTCGCCATCATAGCTGCTTCCATGCTGTTGGTGCTTCTGCTGACGACGTTATTCTGCAATGTTTCGTCACTTCAATGCTGGACGTGTAAGATTGAACAATCTACTCATTTATTTTTGATACGTGTTTCGTCAGGGTTGTTTCTGATTGTCAGTTAGGTTTTCGTAGTGCATTGGTGTGACCAATAATGGGAACAAGTTAATAGCTCCTCTTATCGGCGCGATTAACGTTATTATCGCACATTAGGTGCTATATAATTTACATACTTAATTATCTCATTCATTTTTGAAATTACGTATTTTCAATTTTGATCACTTTGATTCATTGAATCCATTCACTTAAAGGACAACTTCTAATGAGTAGCTACGTATTATTTTTTTCTGATGCTGCGTACTTAGTAAACAGTTGCGTTTGCGCAGCTCATAGTTGATGTTCACAGTATATAGTATGTATCCTAATACCAAATGGACCATTCACTTTTTCCTAAACTTGACCAGCTTGTACACACCAGAACATTTCGCGACCAAAGGAGCCTCTACTGTGCTGCCTCTTACCCAAAAGAAGTGTATGGGAGGTGACCATTTCGCGAGACGCAGTGGTGCGGAAGAGCTGTTTGTTTGAAAAATTGAAAAGGGTGCGTCCTGAAGTCGTGAAATCAGGACACAGAGATTTCAGTGGTTTCTTGTCTAGGGTCCAGCGGTCTAGGGTCCAGCAAGCGCTTAGAATTAGGGCCAGCCAGAAGAGAGGCAAATCGCATACGATCTGGGGCAGAAGTTCTTAGATGCAATTATGAATGGGTAATTTGAACTACATATGCAAAAATTATGTTTTTTGGAGTTTTCCCCTTGTTAGTATCCCTTGCGTTGCCGATTACCATGAAGCACTATTTCGTGAGTAAGCAAGCAAGAGTTACCGGATATGCAATACTAGGAACTACAAAAGAGATTATGTGATTTTTGGGTGTTACATGCTTCTCCCTGAGAATTTCCGTAGTGAAAAATAACTTGACTCGTTTGCAACGCGCATCAACGTGGGCGCCAAACTCCTTGGTACCGCGAATTGAGTACAGTAAACGAAGTAAGAATTCAAAACTTTTTTAAAAGAGTGTTTGACTTTTTTTCTAGTTATGGGGCAGCAACTGCCGACCTAATACCCTTGTGGCATAACGCGAACTGCGATGCAAGGCTCACCTCGAAGCATAAAGCTGAGTTGCTTTGCTATCTGGCGACGTTTACGTTAGCCGACGCGTGTCGCAATCGCCTCTGGACCTCTTCTTAACTGGCACTTTGCCAGCTCAGCGGCTATGGGGTTAGCTGCTTATGTGGCTCTTTGCTTCCTTTTCGGATTCACATATCATTTTCATAAATTTCTTACTTATTTTTAAGGTCTAAAGCGGTCGACCTAGAGGTTTTTATAAAAGTGGATTTGTCGCGCGGTTATAAGCCTATAGAAACATCCTCGACATAATCAGAAAAGGGAGAGGAGAAGCAGTCCTATGTCCCTCTATGCCTTGGCAACATGCCGCAGATGTGACTCCTTGTGACACTAAAATGGAGGAAAAGCAAATCGGTTTGCGAGTCACAAAATGTGAAAGAATTACTGAATTGTAACTTCGTCAAAGAACCAAGCGATGTCGTGTTTTGTTTCAAGTCGGATGAAACTGCTGAATAGAATGACGTGGATGAATCTGACAGGTGCCAATCCGTCACTACGCTTGAGATAAATGCGCGCATCGTTGTTTTCACGTACCGTTAGTGTTATAGTAGTAATGTTTTCTTTTCAGCTGTAGTTGATGCCACCATGATAGATTGTTTACATAGTTTTTTTGATGGCGCGTTATGTGATAAAATCTAAATATTCGGACCTTTTATAGAGCAACAGGCCTCGGTATACTTTGGAGGTGCTAAAAGCTGACCGAGTCTCCATAACATTTCAAGAGTGGCGGCACTTTTATTTTACACTAGCTGGTTTTCCCGGTCTAGCCCGGGCCACGTCAGCCGACCCTTGCTCCAGCCCCCTCCCTCCCTCCCCCCATCCTCCTCTCCTTCCCACCTAGTCATTATGCTGCGTACAGGGGGTTTCTGTGTCAAAGTCACTTACCCGCTGAAGGCTCGTCTTGAATCACCGCATCCTTCCTACCGCGAGAATCGGATGAACTCTACTGCTATTGAACAATTGGTAAGCTTAAACAATTCAAAAACTAATCTATTGCTATTGTTTACACAAAGTCATTTGATTGCCTTGTTAGCCCATGTTGAAAACTCATTCTTATGCCAAAAATCAATAAATTAATAGAATGGGCCAGCGAATTGCAGCAAAAAGTAGCGCTAAACCAGCTCCGGGGTCAAATACATATGTGTGCAAAGTTTCAGCTCAATCGGTTCATTGGCGGGCGTTTCCACAACGAACCAACAACCAAACGAACACACTTACAAAGTTTGAGTTTTATATACATATATACAGGGTGCGGCAAAAGTCTAGGAGCCTGACTTTGCAGTATTGCAATTACAAAGGTACCGGTGGTTTTGATTCCAATTTTATGCCACATGATGCTGCGGTCATCCTCTACAAAATACACTTTATCTAGCTGGAAATGGCAGCCATATATTTTTGTGAGATTGGAAATTACCAAACTAGTCCTTTGGCAAAGCGAAAAAACCAGAATTTTTAGTATTTACAATTTTTGCTATAGCTAGAAATACCGTTAGAATTCTCCGACACTTTGATGCACACAATATAGAAAAGGCTTTGCGCTATTGGATCTTAGTTTTGCTTTTGCCAGGAGCTGTTCTTGCATGAACGGAAAATAAAAGTTTGCAAATGTTACCTACGTGCCAGTGGAAATCCGTCTTTAGAACAAATTTAAAAGCTATAGAATGCTCAACAGGCACTGGGACCAAGGCTGTATTTTTGGCATACGTCTTCCAAATTAGAATCTATTGAAATTCGGCCATGGAAACACTTTTTATACTTTTTAAGCGATAATTTTAAGTTTTTATTCGCGCAATTGTAGCCAAAATTCCCGTGCGACGTACACACATGCTTCTGATTGAAAATCCAATATTTTTATTCCTAAGCAATGCAAAAAATCCTTTTGGATACATTTTGTAGATAAAAGTTTGCTCTATCGTGCTGCACATTTGCCAAGGTAAAAGAAGCAGTTGTTGTGAAGATGTGGGGAAAATTCCATTACGACTACCCGCGTACCATGACAGGTGGACTTGGCAAGATTTTGTAGGGCTGTGTGGAAGCCAAAAGAGGCAATTTTGCAATTCAAGAACTAGGCTGTATCTGCAATAGTTCGAGTTATGTGTGCGCCAAATTTTTCGCTTCTAAGTGCTTCCCTTCTCGGTTTGTACGAAAAAGACCTAGGCTCCCAGACTTTTGCCGCACCCTGTATATATATATTTCTTACATATATATTGCTAAATCGTCCACACCTAACGCCTACTACAAAAATTATAGCGATGCGCTCACCCTCTCCTTTTCCTCCAAGAAAGGGATAGAGAAATTGTTGAAAGGCAAGTTCGTGTGACTGTCCACCTTCGTACCGAGTTTGAAGAAACGCTTGGAAGTTTCACTTCAATGTTCCTCGCAAAACTTCGTATGTCCGGCAGAATCTAGAGCTTCAACGGCAGTAAGCAACAGAATTACCACATTGCAACGGTTGCAAGCAGATACAGATTTTTGATACATAGAGCCACGTTCTCTGGTAACCTTCACATTGAGGGAGAAGAGAGGACACATGAGAAGACACAACCTCCACCGGAAAAAGAAGTCATCCAGGGCTTTGCTCCGGATGTTATAATCCTGACAATATCGTAACGAATGTGAGCAAGTAAAGGGGGGGGATATTTGTAAATTATCGCAGCGAGACCGAGAATTTTCGCTTTTATAGCTTTTTTATGATTAAAAGAGGGTTTCTGTGAAAGCTTCTCCGGAATTCAGGACAATACTTCTCAGTTAACCTTATATAACCAAAATTGAGTTTCAGAAGTTTAGGAAAGCTTTTGGAGCTAAATAAAAACGAGAAACTGCGCTAAAATCTAGCCAAGGAGTCGCGCAGGAAAATGCAGGTCTATCTCGCTAATGAGTGATTTTCAACGCTTGGGACGTTGTCAATGTTCCTCGGTCGTGTCATGAAGATCAGAATGATATATAATGTTGCAGGGTTTAGTTGAGACCCCGCGGAGATCTAGGTCTAGGGCCAAATGCCCCGTCGGCTCTGGTCTGTCTCCGCTGCTCGTCTGCGTCTCCGCACGCTGCGCGCTACTTCGCTACCACAAACTCAGGGCTCAGGGCATTTAGCCCTGGTACCCTTTTCTTCGTTGTTTCGAACCCAATTTTGGTAAGCTGTGTATCACGAGCTATATATCATATTGAAGCTTTTGATCTCTACTTTTATGCTGACAGTGTCCCAAAACCTCATTTTTTAATTTAAAGGAGAAATCCGGCAAAAACCTTGTTTTCGAAAATCTCTTGTTTTCCCCATGTTTAACTCTTTTCACGCGATTTTTTTTCATGCATTCTATAGATGTTGCCTTTGTTCATAATGCAGACAACGACCCAGTGATCTCTTCAATTGTGGTAGACTTCTTGAAAAATTGTAATAAGTGCGTTTTTGTTTACCTTGTTCTGTTTCAATGCTTTCGCAGCGATTTTTTTTTCAGCTTCGGCGATTTTTGCTCGGAATAATAAGCGCAACAATCCAGACAACTCCCAGGAAAGAGCAATGCGGCGATAAAAATTCAAAGGACGCATCAAAAACTAAACTTGGCTTTGACGCATTTCGACTTAGTAAAAAAAAAGTTTGCATTCTCGTAACTAATTTCTTTCCTGTTTATCTTCTTCTTGATAACCACTACTTCCGAAACAGGTTATTTTTGAAACAGGCACAAAAAAGAAATTAGCTTTTCCTCGTGTCCCCTGTGTTGCGAATTACTGATCATGGAGCGAAAAACTGCACTTTGAAAATCCGCCAAATGAAAGATGAAACCATATTGCAGCTTTTATCCGTTTTTCAGCAGCATCGATTTTTTTCCAGCTTGGGCGATTATTGCTCAGAACAATAAGCGCAACAATCCAGACAACGTCCCAGGAAACATGAACGTCGTTGCGGGGTAAAAATCCAAAGGACGCATCAAAAATCAAAATTCCGTGTTGCGAATTGCTGGTCCTGGAGCGAAAACTTGCACTTCGAAAAGCCGCCAAATGAAAGATTTCAGATCACTTTGCAGCGTTTTTATCCGGTTTTCAGCCGTTTCTTTTGCTTTTCATGTGTGTTTTGCGTCTTTTTTTCTTCTCTGATCTCCTGTAAACAACCTTCACTTTTTATGAGGGCAGATGTTCAAACAACCTTCAATTTTGACGCCCTGTCTCTAGACTATCGAAGGAATGGCTGCAAGTGCCTACACTTATGTGCGCTTGTTTTTACTTTTTATTACGTTTCTTTACTATAGCCAACATTGTCTTCTCTCTTGTGCTACTGCACTAAATAATAATGTGATAGCCTTATTTTCTCTTTAATTCTTTTTCTCGCGTCACTGTCCTTTATTCCCTTCCGTCCATCAAGCTTTTGCTCGGATTGTTGCCTTTTTTCAGAGATATCAAGAAAGTATAGGTCGTGGTTTTTCCCCCATCACGGGATTCACCTTCGTTTTCTCAATGGCGCCACCTTTGTATGGCATATATCCGTTACAGTTACCGCAGTTTTCAACCTAATAAGCGTTACAATTGAGGATCACAAGAAGTCCGGAGGGAAATACATATTTTCCAGTGTTTCCTCAAGTTCTTTGTAGCTGCGATTAGAGAATGCCAAAAAGATTTTTTTCGCAAATTCTGGCTTGCCTAGATGTTGCAAGTTTTAGAAGCGTGCAGTGAGAGATTCTATAAAATTTGTCCGTTTACACAAGTTTAACACGTTTGAAAGGGCTATGCGAATCTCCAAGATGTGAAAAAAAAAAACACTCAGAAAGACTGCTTTGAGGTTGATTTCAACTTGGCAGAGAAGTTGGTTTGTGGTAAAAGGGCAGTCAGTTATGGCAACTTAGAGTCTAGGAAGGATATCAACCCCTTTGATATATCCTTTCTAACCTTTTGCTTTCACGTCGTATGCATCTTTTAACTGAGTGCATTTAGATAACCGATTGGAAATCAAGGGTGTGGACGAAGAAGAGCACGACTACGGTCTTCTTACATGCAGGACGAGCAAAGAAGTTTGTCTGACGTGAGACTCCGTGTCATTTCTTCACTTTATATCATTATACTAGATAGCGTCCCGGTCCCGCCCGGGAAGGAGGGCCTTGGTCCCAAATGTGCGTTGAGACTTATCATCCCTTCTCCATATTTGCGTCAAAGCTATGATATGTCTTCCTTGCTGACTTGAAACACCGCACTTTTTGCCGAGAAGTGTAAATGAACTTTACCGCTCGGATTACATGACTATGAGCATATGATCCAACAGCGATTGGTGAACTTTCATTCCGCTTGATGTAAGTAAGCAAATCAATAAATCGATTGAAGGGCCCAGCGAGTTGTCGCGAAAAGTGGCCTATCTTGTGACCGTGCCTTACTTAGAGGGGACGGATTTCAGCCTCATCGGCCCGCACACAAAACAGCTATAAGCCACATACTATCGAACAAATTTACAGAGTTTGAGTTATATCTATATATCTTGACTTATAATAACGGGCTAAGGGTTGTTTACGTCTTTTGTGTGTATGTGTCTGTCTGTCTGTCTGTCCGGTACGAAATTCGTAGAGCGAGTTCCAGCAAATTTCTTGAGCCCAAATTTTGCATGGCGCAAAATAACATCATGAAAGCGCTATGCAAAAGCAAGAGCGGATCCGCTGAGTGGATCTCTCAAAAATTGCGCGTGAAATGGACCCACCTGGCTTCTGACCAGCAAAATTGGGCCTGTACCACCATTTTTCGCGATGTCATGGATATGTTTGACAAGCTAATGTGGAAGCCAAAGACTTTAGTCTAGAAAACTGAACTAAAGTTGGCTACTTTACGAAAATAGCGCCAAAAAGAGTTAGTTGCGTAAATGTTCAGTTAGCCAAGATTTACCTGATCATCTGAGAAGATTTTTTGCAGAAATGTATCCCACGATGTTCAGTGTCCTTATGGCGACTGCCAAGCCATAAAATTTGCAAAATCTATTCAAATTTGCTTCTCTTCTCCTGGAAAAAATCTCATCTACGCGAAAATACCGATCTCACATGAAAAACCTCTAGGAATGAGTAGTTGTTTACGAATCATTCGTGATAGCCTACATAGCGCGGTGAGTTTCAATGTCATTATTATGCGGGAATGAGTAAGGCATACAGAATGTAGGGCAAGTGCGAGCCTCTGCGAAGAAGAGGTGACGCACTGGTAGATCATCAGCAGCTATGATGACTCACTATGACAACAATGATTCATTTGTGTTCTTCTTCAAATGATACAAGAATACGCACAGAATTTTCTCAAACTTTTTTTCTGGGATGTTAGCTCTTAAAAAATAACAATTTGGAGAGAAGACGAGGCTGCGAACTTCGCGCTTTTGATCTGGCCGTAGATACTATAACCGCTAGCTTAGCCCCAATGAATACGTAGAAATTTTCCTAAGTGAAGGTACTCTATACTTTACTGTCTGTACCTGCTTATCGCTGTCCGCTTTCAAGTATTTGTTGAGATGCATCACGACATTCGATTTCACACTTCAGAAATTATGGGAAGTTCTTTTCTAAGAAACATCTTCTTGAATCTCTAAGTTTTCGGGGTTCCTCTCCCAGTTGTAAAGGTTGTTTGATTGAAGTTCGCTCTCTTTTTTATAACTAGTGAATCAGTAATCTAAAGGTGCTATTCAAAGGAGCGTTCACCTTGGGACCGCCACGCGGTTTCCCGCTATTTGCAGATTTTGAATTGAGTTGACCATTCTTCATATATTAGGTTGGTGCAAAAATAATGAGCGTTTTTATTTGCTTGCTTTAACAAAGCAACCAGACCCAACCCAACAAAGAGTAAGGGGTACTGTTCGATAGAGCAAAGCAAGCTCTACAAGATGGCACTCATGCCTTTGCGCCATGCTCGATCCACGGAGAGTTCGAACTCAAAATCTAAAGATTTCCAAATGCCCAAAAAGTCGAAAAAAATCAGATCTTCGTCCAAATAATTTCTACGGACCTCCCACTCGCTCATATCAATACTATCGATATCTGATATCCATATGTGCAATTGCCGTATTTTTTCCTTGACTAGAAAACGAGAAAACGAAAATTCCCCTGATTTTCTCAAAGCAATGCTGAGCCGTTTTTGCATACGTAGTTCTATACTACAAGCCTAGGTAAGCATAACTGTAAGTTTTCAGCCTATTTCGAGCGGTACTTTTCAAGAAATATCGATTTTAGCACTGAAACTGAAACGAAAAAATCCGAATTCGTTATTTTTCAAATACTACCGCTTGGAATGAGCTGAAAACTTACAGTTATGCTTACCTAGGCTTGTAGTATATAACTACATATGCAAAAACGGCTCAGCATTGCTTTGAGAAATTCAGGGAATTTTCGTTTTCTCGTTTTCTAGTCAAGGAAAAAATACGGCAATTGCACATATGGATATCAGATATCGATAGTATTGATATGAGCGAGTGGGAGGTCCGTAGAAATTATTTGGACGAAGATCTGATTTTTTTCGACTTTTTGGGCATTTGGAAATCTTTAGATTTTGAGTTCGAACTCTCCGTGGATCGAGCATGGCGCAAAGGCATGAGTGCCATCTTGTAGAGCTTGCTTTGCTCTATCGAACAGTACCCCTTAATCTTTGTTGGGTTGAGTCTGGTTGCTTTGTTAAAGCAAGCAAATAAAAACGCTCATTATTTTTGCACCAACCTAATATTAGATCCGGGTTTTTGATGTTATTTCGAGTCTTAGCAAAGATGAGAGAAAACTTTTGAGAACAAAGCTATTACTAGTGTAACAAAGTTAAGTAAAATTTATGTAATAAGTTGAATGTAGTGAAAATTACGTGAGTGGAAGCCTAGTCAAAGTACCATAGGATAGATACGCTTACTTGAAGTAAAGTTTGCTTTTCGTTCTTAAATGCCTTTCTATTACACAATGCTTCCATCATGAGTGTAGATGCTATATTGATGCCATAATGTCATAATTGCGTTGCAACCATCTCTCATTGGTGGGAGACTTGAAAAATTCGACGCGCTTCATCTATATACTGATTTTCCATAGTTTGTTTCTATATAACTTCCAGCAATTACCTTTTGTGAGGCCCAGCATCGGGTTTGCCTTCACAATTTCTGCTTTTTCCCCGAAAAAGGAAACCCTTCCATTTGCACACATTCTTCAAGCGCTCTGAGCCCCATAGGTTTTCAGATAATCTTATAGATCTGATCACAGCCTAACGTTTTGACGCCTTCGTCTTCCTTGGTTTCCTGAAAGTGGTTTCAAATGACAGGTTTAGAGCTAGAAGGACTAAAAGGAAGTGTTTGGCGGCTTAGAGTCACTAATGACATTTGATCCCACTTTCAGGCCTTTGAGAAAGATGAAGGCGTCGAAGCGTTAGGCCATGATCCGATTAGTAAAAACCATATAAAATCTGTGTGGTTCAGAATACTTGAGAACTCTATCGAACGCAGAAATTTATTAAAAACTTTTGCTTCCCAGCTCATAAAAATACATAAGGTGAGATGTCAGTTCTAATATCCCACTCACTCGCCAATACAGAAACTATTCAAGTATGAATAAGACTGCTATAGCATTATTCTAAAGAGAACAAATGTGAGAAGTCTTTGTTCAAAAGAAGGAGCTCAACTGCATAACGATGGAAATGCGAAGAATGCCTGTCTGAGTGAAATTAAATACCAACATAACAAGCTTTTAGCGGGATTGCTTCTGCGCCTGCCGAAATAACAGAGCTAAATAGCGAAAATAGGAGTTTCTCAGAAAATTACCCGATAATAGAGTTTGAAAGGTAATCAGAATGCGAAACTAATGCGACTACCATACATCCCGTATTAACATTCTCTATTGCAAAATGCTAACTGAAGTGAGTGTAGCTTTGCAGACCTTGCATGCGCTAATATAATAAACAGTCCTGAAAATGAAACAAATATTTTTGTTTTTGCTTTCTTTTAAGCGGAAAACTGCGTTTGCACCTATTTATTCATCTAAAAGAATACGATTACAATGAGGCTTACTTTCAGAGTGAGGAAAACGATCCAACTTGACGTAGGCATTGATACAATCAAAATTTACAGCACAGGATGCGGTCATATGAAGTTTTGTTTGGTAAGTATAACTAATTCGTTGACCGCACGGACTGGACAACACTGCGCAGCACCTGCCGCGAGGTAAAACGCTTGTCACAGTACAAATCCGCCATTGTACAAGTCGTGCTCTCGCAATAATTCAGCCCCGCCGCGCTGGTCCGCAGCGTTTGAGCAGTCCGTGCGGTCAACGAATCGACGATACACATGATTGTTATTGTATATGATAGGTCGTTTCATAAGTTCGTGGAATTTCTAATTTTGTCGTCGTCTGATGAAGCGACTTACATCAAAGTAGCCATTTGAAAGAAGCAATCTTGCTTTGCAAAGACTGGTGTTTGTTTTTGAAACAAATTTGCATTCCGTGATTTATGGCTTCTCAAAGCAGTATTTGTTGAGAGGCAAAAAATGGCGGTTGCGGCACCTGCATCTTATGGTCCAATACGGTAATTACGAGTGAGATTTTTCTTGCTGGAGTTGTTTAAGTGATAAGATAAAACTAGTCACCAGACTGTGGTGCACATGAAAGCAGGCTCCATGTCGAAAGAGGCACTACGGAAAAGAAAATACGTTACCATGTGCGTACTAGATGTTTTGCGTTTAGTAGGCTTTAGAGAGTTGAGAGTTCTCTCCGTTGAAGAAAATTCTGGAAAAAGCATAAAATGCTAGCCAAAGGCTTTAACATGAACGTTTACACCATTTAGAAGAAACCACCCATTTGTCAAGGTCCGAGAGGACGAACAAATTTTGTTGCGGAACAGCGTCTAGTACACAAGCTCTGGCTGTCAAAAAACAGCAGCTATTATAACGTGTTTACACATTTTTAGCATGTTTACGTAATGCAAATTTGACATTATATAGGGGCCTGCAGGATCGCGAGAGTCGGACGTGCGTACGGCCATTGCGCCGCGCACGTCGTATGTCACTGGGTCGTACTCGATTTAGGCTGGATAGGTGAGATTTTTTTGTTTTTCTTCTCATTTCTCGCCTTCTTTTCTTTTCAGGCGGCGAACATATGTTGGTGCAGAGGAGTTTAAGATCTAGATTAAGGTGAGGTGCAGGATTATGCTCAATACGGGCCAATATTGTGGACATTTCACCCCTGCTTTGAAGAATGTTGAGTTTTCTGTTCTGGCTGTCCGATTATGTTCGATTTTTCGTCCTGCCTGCCCGGTTACGAAACTCCGTTTTATTTGCAACGTCTGTTCTACCTCATCTTGCATCATGCGCGTCATCACAACCATAATCATTGTCATCATCATCATCATCATCACAAGCAATATGCAAGATAAGGTAGAATAGACGGTAGAAATAGAACAGTTTGCTGTAACAGGGCAGCCAGGACAGAAAATCCAACATCTCAACCAGCCGGCATGGAAGGTCTGCAATATTGAGTCCGTATTGAGCATAATCCTGCACCTCACCTTAATTCAGATCTTAAACTCCTCCGCACCAACATGTGCTCACCGTCTGAAAAGAAAAGAAGGCGTGAAATGTAAAGAAAAACAAAAAAAACTTACCTATCTAGCCTTAATCGACTACGACCCAGCGATATCAGGCGTGCGCGGCGCAAAGGCCGTACGCGCGTCCGACTCTCGCGATCCTGCAGGCCCCTATATCAGTTTTGTATGCTGCTAGCCGTCCCACCTATCTGTGAAAAAAATATCCAGTGGGATATGAACCAAGTGCAGAAAGTACACGTGCCGAAATCGCCAATTTTTGCATCTTAAAAAAGTTTGCTTTGAGAAGCCATAAAACAAAGGATTTAGGTTTGCTCCAAAAACGGACAACAGTTCTTGCAGAGCAAGATTGCCTCTTTCGAAAGGTACACTGCTTTGACGCAAGCCAACTATTTAAAAAAAGAACAACAACGAAAATAAAAACTCTACGAACTTATAAAACGGCCTAATACATACCCTTTAATAAAACGAAATTGCCGGCTAAAAGGCGCCCGCTCGCGCCCGCGACGCAGTCTGCGTTTACCTGCGAGCATGCTTCCTGATCAATCTCTAGCCTTATAAATCACGAAGCCCCGCCTTCCAGCCGCCAATCCAGATATCAAAGGGTACATACAGTGACCGCCAAAAAGTTGCGGACAAGCCTCCCTCCCCTTTTCATCGCTCTTTTTCAGAGAAAAAACAAGGATGAAAAAATGTAATAGCTGATGAGGTGATAGAGCTCTTTAAGATCTACAATCTACACTTTGAGTTTTTTGAGAAACATGTGTTCTAAAAATTTTAAGAATCTTTTTCTAAAAAAAGTCCGAAAATGGCCGCGTTACAATGTCGCGGACAATAATTCTTCGAACGCAAAAATTTTCTTTTGAGTACTATTTTGAAGCGGAAACACAAGTTATCCGGACGGGTAAGCATACTACTATACAGAGCTCGTCAAGAACTACACACTGGTTATGGTTGCTTCCCCAGAAAACGCAAGCTTGAGTTTTATTTTAGTTTTTTCAAAAAACAACTTCTAATTTCCCTTTATCAAGCCAAATTTCGTCACACGGAAACCCGGAAACATCCCAACAAAGCCGTCTGGATAAAATAGATGCTTTTTGCCATCCTCTATGCATCGGACGTGTGCTGATGAGTTTCTTGGCTGAAAATGGCCCTTGGCAGTGCTTGCACATGACCTCACCTGCACCTCACCACTGACTTGTACCGCTTTGCAGGCTTGTAACTCGGCCTGCAGTCAACATTTGAGCCTGCAATTAGGCTCGTTCGAAAGAACGAGACTTCCTCTACACGATAGTATGCAAATAAGTTCAGTTTGAGCAATCCCAGAAATTTGGCGGATGGGGTGGTAGAGGGCTGCTTCAGTTGTAGTCTAAGCACTTTTCAGCTAAAGATGAAGAGAGCTCCTTTCGCTACCAGTTTCATCCTGGAAGTTCAAAACTGTCAGTTTTCTTGTAATAGATTCATTTCGAAGCTCTAAGACTGTTTTTGGTGTTCATAAGAGCTTTCACTCCAATTACCTCTAAGGCTGCACTTTTTCACCCCATCCGCCAAATCTCTGAAATTTCTCAAACTCAACTCATTTGCACATCTTCGTGTCCAGGAAGTCACGCTCTTTCGAATGGGTCTACTTGCAGACTCTTATAGTGTCTGGCGGCCGAGTTGCAAGCCTGCAAAGCGGTATAAGTCAGTGGTGAGGTGCAAGTGGGGTCATGTGCAAGCACTGCCAAGGGTCATTTTCAGCCGAGAAACTCATCAGCACACGTCCGATGCATAGAGGATGGCAAAAAGCATCTATTTTATCCAGACGGCTTTGTTGGGATGTCTTGAACAGGTTTCCGTGTGAAGAAATTTGGCTTGATAAAGGAAATTAGAAGTTGTTTTTTGAAAAAACTAAAATAAAACTCAAGCTTGCGTTTTCTGGGGAAGCAACATAACCAGTGTGTAGTTCTTGACGAGCTCTGTATAGTAGTATGCTTAGCCGTCCGGATAACTTGTGTTTCCGCTTTAAAATAGGACTCAAAAGAAAATTTTTGCGTTCGAAGAATTATTGTCCACGACATTGTGACGCGGCCATTTTCGGACTTTTTTTAGAAAAAGATTCTTAAAATTTTTAGAACACATGTTTCTCAAAAAACTCAAAGTGTAGATCGTAGATCTTGAAGAGCTCTATCACCCATGCAATTATTACATTTTTTCATCCCTGCTTTCCCTCTGAAAAAGAGCGATGAAAAAGGGAGAGGGGTTTGTCCGCAACTTTTTGGCGGTCACTGTATATTTGTGGTATACCCTGTATTCTTGAATCGGTGATATTATGTATGTAGCATCAAAATTCGCAACGTTTCCATGACTTTTTCTATCTAGATATGGCGCATTTTTTGTTACTGAGTGAGTTGTTTTGTGAGCTATAGGTCAGGGCCCAGCACGAGGGTGGCAAGCGGACATCGGTGAAACGATTTCGCCTTGCCTCCATCGATTCTTACGATTTCCCACTTGATCCCGCCAGCTTTATAGGCTGTTCGACTGGAGCGCGCTTTCTTCCTCAAAAGAACCGGCGTCGTTGCTATTTCGGATTCTAACAAGAAAGAGAGGAGGAGTTTTTGAACCAAAATGTCACTATATACTAAACTTTGGGTACAGAGCACATTTATGTATGAACTTTGGAAAAATTATGTGAAGTGGAAGTTTTGCCTACCTCAGGTGGGCATTAAATTGGCAATCGTCCACCTAATTTGGAAAAAAGTTGGGCACGCTCTTCATTCATATAAGATTTTCATGACTTTTCATGCTTTGTTCTTTAGTCCTACTGCGCGTATACAGACCAAGTCTAGCGCGATTTCGTCATCTCTGCGTTGCAAACGAGCTATTTCTTCCATTTTTTGTAACGGGATATTTTCAGAAAAAAGCTTGCCAAACCTTCTGTCACATAATTTTTCGATGAAACTTCCCAGTTAACACCTGCACCCTGTGTTCATGTACCTACCTCGTTATCTGTGCGTTGTAAACGAGCCATTTGAATTCACATCTTCATTCACCGCTTTTGGAAGAAAATGCTCATTACACCTTCCATTCACATATGCTTTTTGTTGTAGCTCTCTACTTGTACCTGTACTTGTACTTACGGTGAGTCCAGGACACTTGTAGAATAGTAGATTTATTAGTAGACCGGATATGAATAAGAACAGAAGGAAAGACGAGACGAATGACTTAGCTAGGCAGCGAGCGCCTTATATAGCGCTCAGATCCCGCGCGTAGGTCAATACAACACCAGTAGACCAGTCAAGACAACAACAACACAAACAATAACAAATACAATGCTACTCTCCAACACTTTCCATAATCTTTTGTACTTTGTTTCCACTAGCCTCTCTTCGTTCGCTTAAGAAATTTGGTGCCACATAACGCATGCACTGAGAACTGTTCATATACGCTTTACAAATAGCATTGTTTAAGCGACGTCGCGGGTGCGGGCAGTTAGCGACGGCGCGGTTTGACACGCGCGAACTCTGATGTGCTTCTGTTGAGGCATATAGCATGTTAAGATACGGAGAGAGCATTAACTATCTATTTTTTCGGGGCTCTGCCTCGGACCCCGCAAAAACGATATCACCTTTGCTTTTGACCCCAAAACAATTTCTAGCTTGTCATTTGCCCACCTCGTGCCGGGCCCTGCTATCATATATATAAAGCTGAATGTTTGTTTGTGTCTATGTCTGTATGTCTGTCCGTCTGTCTGTATGTGTGTGCGTATGTTTCGAATAGAAAACTCCATTTCTGAACCGATCCGGACCAAACTTGGCACACATACACTTACAACATACACACATACACTACGGCGGGGCGGGTGTCGTGGGCTACTTTTCGTTATCGATCGATATCGATTTTATCGATTTTTTTGCAAAATTTTAGCTACGGGGCTGGGAGTTGACAAGCTCAGACAGCGGATAGGACCCCTCCGCCGGAGAAATGGCAGGGTCGCGGCGTTTCCCCAGCGGTGGGTCTCCCATTTGTCCGGCGGAGCCCTCCCATTTCTCCGGCGGAGACCTCCCATTTCTGCTCCGGATACCTCCCATTTTCTGCTCCGGAGACCCCCCATTTTCTGCTCCGGAGACCCCCCATTTTCTGCTCCGGAGACCCCCCATTTTCTGCTCCGCAAGTCTGCCGCGGCATACTGTAATTAGCCCTAATTAAGCTCCAAACCCCATGTGGGTTTGGAGCTTAATTAGGGCTAATTACAGTATGTTGCGGCAGACTTCGTCTTGTCTCTAAACTTTGTCGACTTTGTCTCTAAACCCCACCCAAATCAGCCGAATACGACCCCCCCCGGGTAAGAGTTCAGCGCGACCCTCAACCCCGTCTTTACCCCCTCCCTCTCACCCCTAGCGTTTGTGGATAGAAGATAGAAGAAAGAACGAAGAGATAAGACATTTATTTCAAATTTTTCAAACTTCTTCGAAAAATCATTTTATATCGTTAATCATTTCACACCCACTGGTGTAACGAAAAATGAACCTTTCCGACCAAACAACGGTTTGTGGAACAGTTGAATTGCAGTCGCAGTTGGCCCATATCATCGGCGACTCTTAAAAGCCTTAAAAGCCTCTTAAGCCTGATAAACACCATTAAATTTTTCTGAGATATGTGAAAGACATCTTACCATTACGTAGTAATCTCCGAGGTTGATCTCTTGGGTTTTGCCAACAGGTGACAAAGCAGTCAGAAGCGCCTTGTTTTGATCGGTTACTCCTTTAGCGGCGAGATTAAAATTGGTCATAGCCTAAAAGAGCTACCAGTATATACTGAAGTTATTAGAAAGCTGCTTGTATTACACACTTTCAAGGGTTTTCCTATTCCAGAGTATGCAATGGCACTGTAAAATGTCATGACAGGGCGAAGTTCATCAGGGATACTGCTTGCAGATAAAGTGCAAAGGTTCTAAATGCACCAAGTCCATTGCGTGACATAATGGAAAAACATGAATTGAATCAGTGGTATTTGAAAATTATAGCTTGCAAAGACACCTACCATCAAAACTGCATACTGCTCATGCAATGCTAAAGATCTGGCCAAGAAAACCTGCGCGGAATATGGTGATAGAAATAGTAATCCAGCCTGGACATAATCTGTTTGACAAAACAAGAACGACACTGCATTAAATCATACCTCGAGTATTTTGTCCAGAAAAACGTTGAATTCCGGGGATGGGTCAGCTTCTGGCTTCTTCAAAGCGTCCTATGTGCGCTACCTTACTCAGCCAATCCACGCCCTCTCCTTTGAAGAACCAACTACATAGAGACACCTGCACATTATCCCTAGAAAGATTTCGAGACACTAGATTTCGCATATCTGGGACACGCATGCGTCTATTCAGGCCCACTTTGCCAATTTCAGAGACAGCTGATCGTCAAACAATCTATAATTATTGATGATATTGCTGAGTTTCCTTTCGAGATCAGAAAACTCAAACATCGAATAGTCGTAACGCCCCTGAAATCTTATTGAGATACCACAAACTTGAGAAAACTGTTTTTACCCACATTGTCTTCAGAGTAGAGCTGAATTAATGCTAGCAAGCTCCGCGCAATATCAAGACGCTGTTTCACCACGTGCCGTAGTCGTGCTGCTATGAGTCCGCAAGTAAAGGATCCACCAAATAAAGTGTCATCGGGAGTCGGCTCTACTGTACTATCATTCATTCAAACAAAGGATAAGTAGAAATGCTATATACCAATGATACCTGGGGGAGATTGAGATGCTTGGATGGCTTCCAAGAACAAACTTATGATTTGAGACCATTTCTGGACCACCTAAGTTTAGAAATCCGTAATCACTAATATCCGATAAACGCATGTCAAATCTCACAATCTGTGATCGCATGAAAGTAGAATCATGGGCGGGTCCGTCCGACATCACATACTCAGCTAGCCCAAGCTCGTCTTCCTCCTGAATTCTGAGGATAAATGGTGGTTTGAAACGCCCAGTAAACAAAAGTCCTCTTCCCCTGATATGAGGCTAACATCATGAAAAAAGAAAAGTAAAAACAAGGATTCACCAACAAAATCAAACAATTTGACTAAACAGATATCAAACCTTAGCCGCAGCTCTCTCCAATGCGACAGAAACCATTTTATCCATGCCTTCAGGTGTGGAACTTTCCAGCTCGTCCACCCTTTGCCTTTCACCCTCCACAACCACAGAAAAGCGATCCGTAACGGACACTAACGAGCATAACTCCACTAGTAGGATTGCCTTCACTGACCTGTTGCACCACTCCTGCCAACAATGATCCTGGCATATCAAGCAAAAAAAGGCCGACTGGGCCAAGAGCAGCCTGTTCTAGTTGATCGCAGTTGCACCCGAGGTTATAAAAGAACCTGAATTGTAAAAGCCTGTTAATCGAAGATAACACAGCACAGGAAGAAGAGGAGTACTTGTAACTTTGCAACGAAAGATAACGGTTCACTCAAAGAAGTGAAAATTGCATACCTTTGTTCACCTTCTTTTTGAGCATCAAGCGAAGACGACTTGATTGCGCGGCCACCTTTTTGGGTGTAGTGAGCGTCAAACTAAACAATTCATATTCAACTCAACTTCAATGGTACTTCGAATATTGTTCTATTGAAAATACTCCTACACCGTAACATATGCAACATGGCAAGATACCCACTTGATGATTTTGATATTTGGTGAAGAATCATACTCATACCGCTGGAGATCTTAGGTATGCGTCCACATGCGCGATTAATGCTACCCAGTCTCCATGAGCGCATTCACATTTCAAGCCTTGACAAACTATCTGGAATTCAGAGACATACGATATTTGTAATCAGAATCCAGAATTAATCACAAAAACCACTCCATCAATAGTCTACTATGTCTCAGCAAGTCGGAAAGAGCCAAACACTGAAGGTGATTGAGTGCAACCGCACGAAAATTTGAAACATAAACCTGAAAACGAGGAACTTACAACAACATAAACGCCAACGCGACGAAGAGCAACGCGGAAAAGAAAAAAAACGGTAAAGAAACGCGCAAAAACAACAAAGTCAAAGAAACGGCGACTAAAATATGGACAAAGAGCGTAAACAGAGGACTCATCACCGTGGAGTTAGACGTTTGCTTGCTACGCGCCAAATCGATACGCAGCCTGCTCCGGATACCTCCCATTTTCTGCTCCGGATACCTCCCATTTCTCCGGCGGATACCTCCCATTTTCTGCTCCGGATACCTCCCATTTTCTGCTCCGGATACCTCCCATTTTCTGCTCCGGAGGCCTCCCATTTCTGCTCCGGACCCCTCCCATTTTTTCCGGCGCGGCTCTTCCAAATTTGGCGGACACGCGCCGCGCAAATTTCTCCGGCGCGGAGTCCGCCAAATCTGGCAGAGTCGCGCCGGAGAAATGGCGGACCTTTGCAGCAGGGCCGGAGAAGCCTCCCATTTGCCTGCCAGTGATGTCACCGCGATGGACCGCCCATTTGCCCTTCTCTCATTGGTCAACTGGGTCCGGCGCGACTCTGGCAGTTTCGGAGGGTCCGGCGGAGGGGTCGATTGCCTGAGAGGGGGTAATCGAGCATGCTGATTACAAATATGTTATTGACAGGGCCGGGCGGAGCCGGGTTTGCCAGCTAATAGCTCAATAGATCTGACGCTTAAGGTCAGATGCATTAACACTGCCGCCACGGAAGGTATCGCAGCTCAAATGAAAGTTTCATATTCTAAAGCTCCAATATCTATACTTGAAACTGTCTAGTATTTCTACAATCCTTGTAAAGATATTGGACAGAAGCAAGAATTTGTACAACCGCTTTTTTCAGCTATTTGTATAATCCTCTAATAATCCCCGACGGCCAAGTGATTTTTATCGAAGCCTTTTTCTTTCTTCGAAGTTAATAAAGCACTCTAATGTTGCGCCAATTGTTCCGTTATAAAAAAAAGCTTGCAAGATTTTCTTTTGGCGAAAATCCGGCTTTTGACGTGATTAAATATTTTTTGATTTTATTTCCACTCTGAGGTAGATCACGATTTCTGAGAAGAAACGTGATAACTGTCTTGTAGGGCTTGATTTGCACTATCCGATATTGTACTTTATGTTTTCACTATACACACTGCTGCTGTCGCCTGAGAAACACTTATTCATGTTGCATCGACCTACGTCAAAATATTATAATTCGTGCATATTAGTATTCATAGCTCACACCACAACATCATGTCAAAATAGTGCACCATTTCTGAAATAGGAAAGTTATAAAAGGTTGCAATATTTAGTTACCAACCCAATATATCTCCATAATATGCACTATATATTTTCAGAAAGGTTCGTGTTGCCGTAGGGATGGTTGCAACAAGCTACTGTACGCCATGTTAATCACGGACATCTCAGCTGTTCCGGATATGTATGATTTAGAATATAGAAAAGGCTTGAACAAATCCGCAGGTTTCTCTATGTTTCTCATACAATCTAGATAAACGCTTGATAATCTAACAGTTTATACACCCTAATACGGACACATACAGGTTTACGGGACTTTTGAATGATTCACTCTAGCACCTTACCTTTTACACATAATCAGATAATCGCCGGGGGCAGGCGGTCCGCAAACTCGCGCTTTTCTACAAGCGATCAGCAGAATTTTGGGGCGTGGCCAAACCTTCAGCAAGTGGTACTTCCTTTACTGTCTAATGTTCTGCCAACAAGTAGCAACACAGAATTTCTTTGCAGGCGCTCGTCAAATAATCTCTTTCAGCAAACGCTGGTCGAACTTTCAGCAGGCGCTCGGACTCTTTTTACGCAGTATCTGGCTTACGTCGCGCACAGGTAAGACTCTGCGTGGCAGAGGTGTCATCGTTGGTTTAACTACTTAAGTTTGAGGTACTTTCTCTCAGCGGGAAGTACCTGGGGGCTGCACGGTCCTCCACAAAGGACCGTGCGGCCCCCGAAAATTTTGCATATTCTTGCGGAAAGTCCGCGAGAATGCGGCCACTGCGCCGCAGCTAATCTTAAGGAAACCGCGATTGTTCTCCAAGCATTCGTCTAAAATTTTGCTGAAATTTTTTCAAATATCTGCAAGCGGACAGCAAGAAATCCATGAACTATTTTTTCGGTGCCCGCCCGCCCATAATTCGCATGGCCGCCTACCCCCGGCGATTCTCTGAGTGCCTTCTGTTGCAAACACCTAAGCAAGTGTGAAATCCCTCTAACCCATCCTCACGCGTTGAAATAAAATAAAAATTCTGAAAGATGCATACAAGGTCAGTTACGTTTGCTGATTGAGAGAAGCAGATAAGTTTTTAAGGATGCATTTCAAAACATCGATATTGATTGGGAACATTCTGTTCCTCACATAACAACAGAATTTTATTTGTAGAGTAATTTGCGTTTTCCTTTTTGTTATTTATGTAAGCGCCTTTGATTGCTCGTTATATAATTACTTTCATGCCAACATCCAGAGGAAAAAGCTGCCAAACTCAAGAGAACTGAGCACTGTTTCACTTCACCGAGCATGTCTTCTCGATTTCCTTAATTAGGACCTGTTTGTTATCATAGCAAAAAAAAAACGCAACAAATTCTATTTGGGCAGCTCGACCAGAACTTCAATATTTGGCACTTTGTAACAAAGGTCGATAAATGTTGTGTAAGTCAGTGGTAGCAATGACAGAACATCACTTCGTCCATTGTTCTTTCTTGCTGTCAAACCAAGATGTGCTTACAAAAGGGACATGTTTAGTCGAAATGGCCTTTCTAGATGGGATGTTTACCATATTGGAGGGCATAAAATTGTGTTCCAAATTTGCCTTCCTTATCTGCAGAACGTTCATGGACGAGAAGCTATGAGAGTTTATTGGAGCAAAAAACTAAATGTGCAAGTAAGACAAAAAAAGCCGTAATACTGTCAAAAGTCCTCCTTTCTTGTAACCTGGGCATTCTGCTATAACTTCACTCAACGTCAGGCAATAAAGTGTGTTATCGTTTAAAAGCTGCAGGCACAGAAGATTAAGTAAAGCCACAAGACAATCGTCAGACCACTTTATTCAGAAATACTCTAAAATAAAAAAATACCATACTTGGTTACATTATTCGAGGACTAGTAAGATTATAACGACTCATTTTATACGGGTGGGGATTACATGTCGCCGAATGTGGAGAATCCCGCGCGGACTTCCTGCAAAAGCGCAAACCTCCATGCATGTGAAAGGGTGTGTATTTGTTGCAAATGACCGCGCAAGCAGCCCCTTTTCGGCGACATTTAGTCCTCTACCCATTTTACCCAGGATGCACATTTAACTTTTGCTTCAAAAAATGTTCTGAACTCTGTTATACAGATACGGAAGGAAGGTTTGATCAGTGTTTTATGCCCTTCAATATGGTTACATCCCACTCAAAAAGGTCTATTCGATTAAACAAGCTTTTCTTGTTAGTTGTTCTTTACATAATCGTTTGAGCTGAAGCCGTACTTCGACATCCCTGAAAAAACTAACGAAGAGTTTCTAAAAAAAAGTGTATAGCGTCTTCTCTATATAAGACTAATGGTCTTCCCCATCACTGTACATCGAAAAAAAAAACAAGAAATTGGTTAACTTTTTCCTTTTTTTTTCGTTCCAAAATGCGAAACCCCCCTAATCCAATTGCTAGCTGTATTGGTATACAGCTGACAACTAGCGCAGAGGCATTCGAACTGACGTTTATGGTCGGTGTTAAAGATTTTGAACAGTAGAGTACAGCAAGATGTAAACATTGTTGAAAATGTTATTCGAAGGCTACTGTCTTTCTTCCAGTCTTCATGTAGTCTTCGTCGAAAGATGTAGGTAGCGAGGAGTCGGTGTTAAGAGGAAAATCGAGAAGATCTAGATGAGGAATCTGAAATTTGTAGTCTGATATGGCAGAGAGGAATAGGAAAGGAAATCAAACGTACGTGGCTGGCGGGTGGACATTCCATAGTTAGCGTTTCCATTGTGCGAGCGGTGTTGTCTTCATTGAGAGCTTGCGTCGGATCTCAAAATAATTATCCTTTATGCGAGTCTGGTTGTTTAGTGTACCTTGCAATTTGTAGGTATTTGGTATATCCACGTTATGAAGTCTTAACGCAGTCTCTAGTTTTAGGGGCATGACAAACCCTCTGGTATAACGTCTTTGACTCCGAGAAGCTATAACAAATGCCGCGAAAATGGAGCTACCGACTTTGAGCTTAAGACAACCTCAATAAAAAAGTAGCAATAGCTAAACGTCCACAATTTTCATAGTAGGTTATGCTCGTCTTCGTCTCACCCTTGTGCTTTATTTTCTCTTGTAATAAAAAAAGTTTTAAGCTTGATACAGGGTTTGAATATGAAAAGCTACTTCGTTTTATCTGATGCATGGAATCTCAAACCGTCGCTTTCATTTCTCTAAAATGCTCCAGTGCTTTAGATTTTCTCAAAGACGGGGCTGCAGTCAGTCATGATGAGCAAGCAGTAAGGTTATTGAAAATAATTGGGGCTAAAACGCCCAAGCACCAAATCTTATCAAAACATGAAGAAGATTCATGAGTTGCGCTGAGATAGGGAGGTAAGAACACGTTTTAAAACAGTTGACTACATTGGAGAAGTGATTATGCTCCTATAATGTCCTTTATTAGCCAGTAATTTTGATTTGAGAAGAAAAATACAGTGGGCGAAAATGAGTGCCGCTGAAAATCAGAATTTTCGACAAAAAGCAGAAGTTTCAAAAAATTGTTATTCTGAAAGGGCGACATGCAAAAGTAGCGCTAGGCCTTGAGCAACTGGTAAGTACCCAGATAGAACTTGAGCTAAAAATTCAAGTGTTTTACCTAGGAGGAAGTTGTGCAAAAATTCACATTTTTGAAGTCCCTGATATCTAATCACTCGTAAGGAAAAATGACTGCTTCGTCAATAAAAGTTGCTTTCTATAATTTCGATTCAAACGCTCATTAGAAGAATTAGGCGCCCAGCAGTTTTCTACGAGCGCTATCTCAGGAAATTCCATGTCGCTGCCCGCTGGCAGAGCATACGATATTGAAGGTCTTGCTCGCTAAGGATTAGTCCAAGCCCCAAATCTTGACAGATCGTTAGCAAAGAAGAAGTTCGCAACCCAATTATCCCCGTCGATTGTTTGAAATAAATGAAACCTACCGCGATTTTTGCTGAAATTTTCGTCTACATAACGGATGTCGCTTTCATTAGCTTTTCGCAGTTTACTATAGCTCAAGATACCATCGTCGCATGTTGTAAGCGGTACAGTCTTCTAAAATGTATAAAGAATTGTCCAGGCATAATGATCTCTTGAACTTTTAGTATATTAGATGATTGAAGCTTTCCAATAATGGAATTTTGACGATGCCTTCAAAATTTTTGCGATGGTGTCAGAGTATGAAGCCTTTTGATTGACTTCACTCGCTGCAACGAAAGGTACGTACCCTGAGCGTTTTGATTTCTCCTGCTTCTACTTTCATAGCAGCTTCAACGAATTGCTCGAGATTGAAGTTGGCCATGTCGCCTTCAGGAATGTTGAATTGGTCCCCCAAATTTTTCACTAGATTTTTCATTGTCATCCTGCAAGCCAGACGTAGCCTTTCTGTCAGTCATATGGTTAACGAACTTTTTGCCTCCAAACCATACAACAACATTGGACATATCATCCATCTTTCGACCAACATAATGAAGTTTACGCAACAAATCGGCAGCAAGGTCGATTGCCATAGTAGTCAGTGCCAGGCCAATTCCGATGTAACCAAGCGTGGCGTAGAGGTAGTCGAAACTGTAATGACGGGTAAAAATGTGGTTAAAAGATTTGCTGAAAAGGCTAATTCTTTATGTGAAACCTTTTGGGAACAAAATCACCCAGTCCGATTGTAGTCAATGTTACAAAATTGAAGTAGAAAGCTTTGTAGAAGTCCATTTCTGGCTCGTACGCTGCCAGTATTAATGCTCCCAGGATCAAGTAGAGACTGAACGTGACAGCTAGTGCAACTGCTTCACCAGTCTTTCTGTAAGAGACATAGTTCCATTCTTCTTTTCACAAACACTCAAATACAAAAGCTGCACTTCAAGACAAGAAAACGTCCATGTTTCTCAAATCGAAACATTTTCGGAGACAAGCTGCCGAAGCATTTCAGAGTGTGGTCAGCAGCTCAATGTTGAACCTTCAAACAATTTAGGGGTTTTTTCTGTCCTGCAAGATTAGGGAGATGTGCCATCAAGTTTGAGGATTTATTACATAAAGTGTGCGCTCAATCGTGAAAGAGTGCCATGCATAAAAAGCCTGTCGCTAGGCCTAGAGGAGGTAGAAAAAAGATATCTAGAGTAGCGAGATAAGACGCATTCCGTCTTAGATCCCCTACCCTCCCCAGCGGGGATGTACATGCATACGGGCCTAAATTTCTTCCAACACTGAACGTTGTTCTAGGATAAAATTTTATATTTGTCTAGTAATCAATTTTTGCCGGCACTCTCATACCTTTGCGCTTCGTTCGCACAATGGGTCATGTCACTCACCTCGGTTCTATCGCATCCTCTGGTTCTCCCTCGGCTTCTCCATCAACAACTTTCAGATCCCTTGCAGTGCTCAATACGCTGACTCTTCCACCAGATCGAGAAGGCCTTATCTGAAGGACACGTTCTTGGGTAAAACCGCCAAATAACGTAGCGATAGTCCCACCCTTCGTAAGCACTTGATTGAATAATGCACGCAAAAGTAAACCGAAGCAGTAACTTTTTTCAGAACGATGGTAAGGAACATGCCCAAGTCGGCGATGGTGAGAAGTGCTAGAGGTACCCCCGCCAAACCATAGATAATGCAAAATAGGCGTCCATAAAACGTCACTGGAGCTACATGACCATAACCTGAATGAAAGTTTTAATTTCTGCCTGGGCGAGATTCGTATTTTCCAAGTACTACAGTGGCAAACAGATTTATTAAGTGTTCTTTATTTCCAATCGGCTCAAAGTTTCGACTCATTCCGCCTTCGAAACGTTAGATCGTAAATTGGAATAAAGAATAAAGACAAACTAACAAATCTGCTTGCCCCAGAATTACTTCAGCATAACTGAAATGTTCAGTTTTTGGAGTGTTAGGAGTGGCTAAGGGATAAAAGATATTGAAAGATTGAAAACGCGCATTCAGCAAAAACCAGAAAGAAAAAGTCATTTCGTAAGGGCTACCTTGAGCAAACAAGGAAGCATGTTTACTCTCGAGATAACTTTTGCATAAGATGTATTTCGTATCAGATGGCATAGAACGCTGATTCCAAAATCCGACTTCCTTATCTGCGGAACTTTTATGTGCGTTTATTAGAGGAAAAATTGGATGTTCAAGCAGGACAAAAATAGTCGTGATATTTTTTTAACGCTTTGATGGAGCAGTGACGACTGTCAAAGCACTTTATCCAATAAATACTCTCAATCAAAAAACATCACACTTGGTTACTTTATTTAAAGGCTAGTAAGGTTTTAACAACCATTTTTATCCTGAATGCACTTTTGATTTCTTTTTCAATAAACGTTTATAACTCGTCGTCCATAAAGTTCTGCAGATAGAGAAGGCAGATTCAAAACCAGCGTTTTATGCTCTATCGTCCCATATGGAAAGGTCACTTTGACTAAACATGCTTCTTTTGTAAGCATTTTGTATGGACACAAATCTACTGCTGAATGTTCTGATGGTTTATAGAAAATAATAAATTAAACCAAATGTAGCGCACTTTATTTCAAAATTCGAGTTCTATTGCGTTTAGACGAATCGCTAATTTGATCAGATTATTGCATAGATTCGCAGCGTTGCATTATCAACAAAGAAAATTCAAAAAAATTTTCAATTTTCGCTGTTGCGCCTTCTGCCAACCTCCAGATCGTCAATCTCAATTCTCAATAAGCAGCTGGTCTGTTGCAATAGACCTCCTTCAAAATTAAAACGAGCGGCGTTCGTGCGATTTGCAAGAGAGCGGAACACTTGACAATTTGCGAGGGCGAGATCTGCGAAGTACAGAGAAAGCTAAAATACCTCCCAACCTTCCAAATGAATGTTTATTAGAGTTTTGACGACTCTCCATACGTTGTTTTTAGCTGCTATTTATGCTGAAACACCTAGGATTGCTTGTAGATGTACCCTAATTTCCGGGGTATAAGGCGCAGTAGCTTTCACCGCGCGCGGACTGTTGTATGATGACGTTCGCGATGCGCGGCGCCGCACAAGCAGCCAATAGCAACCTCTTTCATTCAGCAGTAGCTTTTTGCTCCCATTCTTTGCCGTTTTCCTCCCAATAGTGATTTGATTCAAAACAGATCTCTACCTTCTCTTTAATTTTTCAAGAATGACAAGAATAGAACAATACCAGTAGTATCATTGTAAAGGATAGCACAGTTTCAGTACCAGTAGTACCAATAGCATTACTGGAAACGAAGGAAAGCACAAACTTAGCACCGGTAACATCATTGGAAACAAAAGAAAGAATCATCTAAACACCACAAATACCATTGAAAGCACCATCCTCCCACCTGTGGAAACGATATCAAAGTGTGCATCCTGAGAAGAGGGAGAAATTTGGAGGCATGATTGAGCAGTGAACAATAACCACAGCACACTGATTCAGCGTTCTAGATCTAGAGAGCAATCATTTGAGCGTTTTCGCGCCATCGTTCGCTACGGCGGGTGCGCCTTATACAAAGTGCGCCTTATGCCCCGGAAATTAGGGTACTTTCTTCTCAGATTTTTTCTTTAGATTCTACAACTAAAAGAATGTTTGGAATCAAATGGATATGACAAAGACACAATCTTCTCTAGTAATTACAGATACAAACTATACTATGTATCTAAAACTGTAAAGTGAGAATGACTTATTTTTAATACAATCCATTATCATGAAGTCCATTGATAAACACTCCAAACGTGAGTATACTTCATTTTGAATATTATTAGGCGTAATGTGGGTGTGTACAGTGACGCTCATATATTACATGTTATTGTTACTTATATATCAGAAGTATATTCAAATAAAGGTAAGAATTCCTTTACTATTATAGATTCAATATAATAAATGCATAAAATTATGTATGATACACATCTATATGCAAAAAAAAATTCATGTAAATAAGTTCCATGTTCTCTCTTCTCTGAACCTGGGCATTCTGATGTGGTAATTTTGTGTGTTAGTATGCCGGACCCAGGTTTATATAGTGGTATCTTTATTCGACTTTACGTTTCGAGACAGTCGTCGTCTTCGGAGGTCTGAAGTAGATTGCAGTTTAAATCTGGAAGACAACACCGCCAAACGCCATCACGAAACATCAGCGAGTCTAGACCTCGCCTTGCGCGCAACGTACTGAGATACACGACGGTGTAGAAACTGACCTCTGAGCCACCGCGATGTTAGTGAAGAAGTCAGTAGCCGCACAAATGAGACGGACGACACTGAGAGCTGCTCAGTGAATCGATCTTTATAATGCGCAAGCTGTAACTCACATATCGACAGAACGGCAAGAGTTCGGTCGCTATCGATAAGCATTCAGTCTTGTTATTCATGCTTGGATTCCTAACGGAGATCCATGCCGATTCCATACTTTTTCGTACTACAATTTCTGCCTCGTATGATATTGTGCATTTTACATCAAATTCACCGCCGTTATGTGCTTCTATCTTATGTTTTCCCAACGGTGACAATGCATTCGCTCTCTTCTTATTCATTAAATGCTCCTTTAATCTCATCTTCAACATTCTACCCGTCTCTATAATATATAAAGCATCACAACTCAGACACTGCAACTGGTAAACCACCCCTATTTTCGCGCAATCGCTTATTTTCCCGTAGGGGCAAACGACGCAGTTTTCCGAAAGACACTCAACATCATACAGTCTATTTCTAGATCCTATTTCTCCCTCCTACACCGTCGTGTATCTCAGTACGTTGCGCGCAAGGCGAGGTCTAGACTCGCTGATGTTTCGTGATGGCGTTTGGCGGTGTTGTCTCCCAGATTCAAACTGCAATCTACTTCAGACCTCCGAAGACGACGACTGTGTCGAAACGTAAGGTCGAATAAAGATACCACTGTCTAAAGCTGGGCCCGGCATACTAACACGCAAAATTACTTCATATACATACTTTTTACTCCAAAACAAATTTATTTCTCAGTACGAAAATAAGTTTTACAGACCTTCATTCCTTACTGAGGAGTTCCGGAGAAGGTTTGTAAATATTTTGTCTAAGGGCAGGAACGAAACGGAGTCTTTTGGTTGTTTAGACATTGTGAATTGAAAATCTTTTCTTTGTATTATTTATGTAGAAAGAGTAAAGGGGAACCATTCTTTTTCATCTCATATTAAAGCAGATAATTCTTCACTATCGGTAGCAAATATGTGCAAGAGCCCCCTTCTCGTCGTACACAAGCAGTGATGGTTATTCAGGAATTTTTGACATGGGCTTATCCTCCGTCAAGGATTAGCGCGAAGGAAAATATTTGAGTGGTAGATGTCGAAGTCCTACTCATAAAATTTATGCTCACCTATGGTAGTTATGACCGTAAAGGCAAAAATCAAGGCATTACCAAAGGACCACTTTTCCAATTCAGCTGCTATCTCCTCTTCAATTGTTAGGCCTAAATCAGAAAGAAAAATATACTCTGAGAAAGAAACGCCCCCCCCCCCCCTCCTGCATAATGAAGGCCGAATCCTCTTACCTTTCTTTTGTGCTTTCTTCAATGATAAAGCATTAAGAGATGCTGGATTAAATTTCGCATTTTGGTAGCAGTCGTCAATCCCATTGATAGACAAATGCTCAAGTTCATAATCAGCACATTTTGTCCTGTCCACGATTTGCCCAAGAACCCGCTTTATACATTCGTGTACCTATGATAATGATGTGAGTACAAAAAAAAAACATTGGTGTTATCCACTCACGCCTGGATCCATCTCCGCAATTTCTGTGCCTAGATACACGCGCATGAATACATCTGATTCTTTTCCAGCAGTGTCTCTTTTCACTGTTTGAGCTGAGCTGAAAAAATGGCAGGCATCAAGTTGCTGCAGAAACCTGTACTTGCAATTTATTTTGGACTAGCTGAGATAATTGGCTTCGCTTGGTTCTCTTCGACAAAAAACAATAGAGTTGACCACTCCTGCCCCTTCTATAATTTCTCTGTCCCTTCTCCACTCTTAGGCTCCTATACATTGACATCCCCGCAGCGAGGGAAGCGTCGTCCCCAATGATGAAAAAGCCGCAGAGGCGTTCGCCATGGCCCTTTCAGAACGGAGGAGCTCCTACCGCCGCAGGGGTTAGTGCAAAGGGGCCTTACGCCACCTCTCTGCTCCCCTTGTTTTCTCACTCATATTTTCCCTTCCCCTCCCCTTCTCTGTACTAAGTTCCAGCCATGTAGATCAAAGTTTGCAGAATTTCTATAATTAATAAATGTATTTTACGAGTACAAAACGCAGAGTTTTATTTCCATGATAAGCCAGCCCACCCACGACAAAAAATATAACGCAAAGACCCTTTACCCTTTACCAAGCTGCACATTACTCAAAGCCGCCGTCCACTCCAAGTTAGGGATTTTGAGCTTCTGGCGGCATACGACAGTAGGGCCCCAATTTAAGCCAATACCCAAATGCGGCGCAAAATGTGGTTTCGGAAATGAGTAAACCTCCAAAACAACGAATAAAGCAGATAACCCCTCTGCGGCAACGCCCCCTCCGGCAACGCCCGCCCAGGACCCCCCTCCTTCCGGAACAAGGATTGTCGGAGTTTTCGCGGATTCTCTAATTCATACTAAGAATCAGATATATGATAAGGCCCCGGAACGGCAAGAACATGAGAGTCGAGAATCTGAATGGATGTGCATTTAGAAGAATCTTGCGGCATAACAACCGTTTTGCGAGGCACAGCGAAGCGGCTGAAAGGGAGTGGTTACAAATCTATGTAAAAAATCCAAACAAACTGCAACCATAAAACGCTGATTTCGGTCATGTATTCCATACCTGCTTAGCGCCTATGTAGAAGAAGTTATGAGCCGTTGAATGCCGTTATTTTGCTAAGAAATCAATGTATGTAAAGCGCGAATTTAGCACTACAGAGTAACGTTCAGCTTAATACAGAACTTGCAGTAGGTTAATTCATATTTTTGTCGCTTAAAGGTGAGCTGAAAGTGCAACAATGTGCTTTTCGCAATTTTCATGTACGATTTTTTCGCAATGAATGTCCATAACTTTATCCGCAAAGGCGCTAAGCAGATATAGAATACAAATTCGAAATCAGCGTTGATTGCCGTGTCAGTGGTTCGACTTCTGACCATTCCCTTGAGAGATGCTTGCATTTAACGGCAAGAAGGGGAAGTCCTGTACTTGTGAAATCAAGGTACAATCTCAATCAGCATGCACACTTTCCCCTTCTAACTTTATCCACTAGGCCAAAATTTGCAAAAAATCTATAACATCGTCAAAGATCATCATTCTCAAGAATTATTGCTGCATTTCAGCGAGCTAACTTTCTCCTACACCCTCACACCCGCAGCTCAATCTTGCAAAAATCTATAAAAGAAGAGTAACAGTTAATAGAAATTATCAGTGTATTCGTATTCATGCTCACTTTCTCCCTCAAGCCAACTCCCAGTCCTCAGCTCAAAATCTGCAAGAATCGATGAACCCGATAATGATCGAAAGCGAAAAGTAGCCTACGACGTGCCCCACTCCAAAGTATGTGTGTGCATGATACGCGGTCCAAAAATAAAAAACTGCTTGCTTCTAAAAAGATTAGCAAAGGTGCAGTTTCTATATTTTTCAAAATATATTGATTTTACGCTTACAGCTTTCTTAATAGAATAGAGCCATGAAGAGACCTGGAAAACAGAAGCGCGGAAAAAAATTCTGCTTTTACTTAATAAGCGACTTCCAATTCAAACATCATCAGTCGAATTTTTGTGAAAAAAATGGAACTGACACCGTTTTTGGCGACTCCAACCATTGCATCACAAGTGCTCCAAAAACTGTATAGACCGTAACACCAAGCATAAGTGCGAAGTGAACGCCAACAGTGGACGCCTAAAATTTGCCTTACAGGGAAAAAAGACTACAATAACTCTCTCATTGTAATTATTGTTAGTTTCTAAATTACCTCGGAGAAAAGCTTTATACGTAATTTCTGGACTGTAAGCATAGTAAAATACTTTTAAGAGGAGCGAAGAGTTGCTTGGTTGCTGGATAGGGTCAAGATTAGCTGCTTTGCCATAGTAGGGTGCACAGACCGGAAGTCATTATGTGCATCAACAAAAGCTGTGGTAATGCTCGAAGCCGGCTGAAAGCTTTTTGCATCCACCTGCTACCTCTCAACCTCACTTTGTACGTGCAAGTCATCAAAGCTGAGTAAAAAATGGAATTCTTCGAATTAGTAACATTGAGTGCATAAACTCTAAAAGTAAAAATGTTCACTACATTTACACCCCCACTCCGATTTGGCTGAGATTCTTCGATTTTGTTTGACAACCTTTTGTAATAGGCCGTCTAAAGTCATCTTGTGTGCTACTTCATACAGACTAAGTTCATGCAGAAGAAAATCTTCTTCTGTCTCGATATCAGATGACAGCACTGATGTCACTATGAGAAAAAATCAGGAATATCCCATCTTCCGCGCTATTCGTTTCGTTTGGTTTTTCCATGAATATTTGATCAGTCAATTTTGAAGTGTGCTGAGTTCTATCAGACGTCATATATTAGGTTGGTGCAAAAGTTTTGTCAGTTTTTTCAATCCATCGGCAAACATGCTAGAATGAAGACAAACAAACACTTCAAAATGTATCCGATGCAATTTCTTCGTCTTTTTAGCTGCAGAACTCTCATTGGGTTTCATTGCAACAGTGATGAGATATTTGCTGGAAATTGCAACCACTCGTTTTTACCATGCCCAACTTTCGCTAATTTTCAACATTTTTGTATGAGACTTTTGGAGGAGCCCTAATATCTACCAGATAGAACAAACCTTTTGCCAACTGTTGCAATTTTTTGTAGCCCTACGACTTGTCTTTCAGGATTTCTAAGATTTATTTTTGAAGTGACTAAATTTTACATTCAGCCTATTTTAACCTCGTAGAACACAACATGTTGAACACTTCAATTGCCATTCAATGCAACTTTTTCTCCTCCTTCTACCACTTGTTTTTCCGCCGATACAGGCGAAATTTATGGAAAAAATCGCAGTATTTCTCAATTTTAGGAGTGCGCATGACTTAACCTTTGTTTCAAAATCTTCATAATTTGAAGCGAAAATCGCTCACTTACTTTGTAATGGTCGCGGGAGTAATAATCGAGTGTTGAAACCTCAATATTCTACAGGTTTTGCAGTGTTTGGTGCAATAACAGCTTATGCGATTTTCCAAAACACAAGACTTTTAGAAAATTATTTAGCAAAAATCTGAAAAAGCAGCTGAAAAGAAGAAAAAAAAATGCCTAAGTGGCAAAAGGTTTGCCCTATCTGCTGGTTATTAGAATCACTCCGAAAGTTTCATACAAAAATTTTGAAAATTAGTGAAATTTGGACATGGCAAAAACGAGTGGTTGCAATTTTCTGCAAATACCTCGTCACTCTTGCAACGAAACACAGTGAAGATTTTGAGGCTGGAAAGAGGAAGAAATTCTGCATCGGGTACATTTCGAAGTGTTTGTTTGTCTTCATTCTAGCATGTTTCCCGATGGATTGAAAAAACTGACAAAATTTTTGCACCTACCTAGTACTTTCTAAGGTGAAAACAAATCTGAACTCATCCAATCGACTATAAACAACAGATTCCTACTCCTGAAGCAGGCTGTACTAACAGAATGTTTGGAAAGTTCCTGACATGGTGTACTTCTTCCGATTCGAATTTTGACGTGCTTTTTATTTTATTTTTTTGCCCATCAAACCTATAAACCATCATTTCAGTATAAATCAGGTCTTTCTGTGATTTGTGATTTTTATTAGGTTGAAACACATTCATTAAAGCGGTTCGAACTCTTTCCTCTGAATACTCGTTACAAAGAAATATTTCACAGGAAACTTACACCAACCAAAAACTCTCTCTAGTTTCTTACTATACGATTCTAGCAAAATGACTTTGTTTCGAAATATCGTACCACCGAAGACAAGAGATTCCGTTCCAGAATATTTCCCTTTGAAATTTCCACTTGCAAAAAAAATTTTATCTTCAAAGATCTTACAAACGTGCAAAATTTTTGAACAAACACAATGAGGGGTAGAAAGTTGCGCTACAACTACAAAATACACTTCAGAATAAGGCTTCCAAAAATTTTCGAAGTAAAAATTTTTAGCGTAAATTGCACGGTTGTGTGTTGTAATCTAGCACATGAAAACATCCTTGTTCTCAAACTATTGGGGACCTTTTTTTATATAGAGGAAAATAGACTTAGAACTTTTGGTAATAGGAGAAGAAAAGTTACTTCCGTTTTCCGGCGTTTAAAAAAGTGGAACAAATCAAAAAACACTTTCTCGTCTTATTGAGGAAGCTGAAAAGAGTGTTTTTCGTTTTGGAGTGCATTAGAGCAAAACTTTCCCTTGAAAAATCAGTGGCTTCTATGTTTAGCGAACCCTAGAGAAAAAAACGAGTTATCCAAAAATAGTTGAGGTCAGAAACTCTCTAAACACCCTGTAATATACTGATGTACAAGTAATGTACATGGGCATCTTAAGCTTAGTTGCAAAGCACACTTATAAGGGTCGCTCAAAATTAGCTCCTTGCTTTTTTTCTTAAAATTATTTATTCGCAGAGAATTGCACACACTCACCCATTCGGAGAAAGACTTCATGGTTTCGAAACACTGGATGCTTTGTTTCAGGGTTTAACCAAAATAACTGTTGCTAACAAACTCATCATTTCTGAAATGAACATATTAGGCGCATGACTCAATTTTGAAACGAAAGGAGAGAAATGGAATAATGCAGTGAGCAGCTAGAACGAGATGATTTTGCTCTATTTTTTGGTAACGACTCAGTATATGTTTAGGTAAATTGTGCGAGAAATCAATCGCATGCACTGCTAAAACATCTGCCAATTGATTTTGCCAACCAGATAAGAGTCAATTGGACTGGCCATTCCTAAGAGCCCTTTACAGAATTTCTAATCATTCCGGAAGTAGTGAGGCCTTTCGAGATTCCGTGAACAGATTGCTTACTTTTGGGCTAAAAAAACGAAGAGAAGAACAAATCGCTCTAACCAGTCTGAACAAAAGCCCGTAGCTTGATGATTTAGGGTAGAAAGCTTCAAAATAGATCTTGACAAGATTACAATCTAAAATTTTTTGCTTATAAGCTTGTCTTGAGCTACCAAATAATGATACCTTTGGAAATTTTGCTACTCAAACTGTATTGTGTGTTAGTGGTAGTATTCAAAGATGGAATAAAAAGAACGGAATGGATTGTTGTGGTCTGTATTTTGACAGTGGGATTTGTAGGAGACAAAGACTCTGCTTTACGAACATTCAAATATAAATCTGTGCACAGGAATAAAATTCCTGATTTATGTTTTTTTTCGGTGGTTTCACGAATTTCGGGTAAAAATCCATAATAAAACACACTGAAGCTAAGGCTTTAGTGATACAAATTGGTAGCAAATAATAGCAAAACAGCATTAAAAGGCATCTGAACTGAATAACTAAGGCAATTATGACATGTTTTGAAGATGTAGTGAGATAAAATCATAGAAATGAAGCACACCCTGTGGGTTGTCGTACATCCATAAGGCACCCAAACTGCAGATCAGTTCAGTGAAACTAAGTGAATTACATTTCTAAAAGTTCAATTGTGCAGGATTTACTAGTTTGGCTAGCAGCGTATCATAAATGTATGGACAAAGGTTGAGAAAATTCAGTCATTTTTGGGATGAAGTGGTGCGAATCCATTCTTCAGATGCTAATTGCAGTTTTTATACAGGCATATCAAGGCCTGCGCCGCCTAAACAAGGCTTAAAAATCATGGCTGCTTGCATATTTTGCAAGCAAAACTACTCAAAATAACAGGAACAAAATGTTTTGAAAGATGTTGATTCAAGTACCCGAAACTCATTTGCTATGTAGCAACCATCCAGAGATTATGTAGAAACGGAATGAGCAATCTCAAGACTTGACAAATTACGTTGTCTCTGGACTTTACTCTAAGCGAGTCTCACAAATTTTACATAACAGGGGCCGAAAAGCTTCAATTCCAAATTCAGCTATCTTCAACTTTTAAATTAATCAAGTATGAGAAGAAGAGCAAAATTAGCATCAGCTGTCTTTTTTTAGCTTTTGAAAATCCGTAGCTCTACAAAAAATAGATTATAATTTTTGAATTAACAAATGAGTCATGGTCGTACCGAAAGCTCGAAAAAATTAAAATGGATAGTGTTCAAGCTATGACACAGAAAGAGGATATACAATGGGAGATTTGTTCCGCAAGCATATTTGCTGTCTCAATGCGGAGCATTAAGCTAAGAATCCGAAGAACAGAAGACTGGTACAAGAAACAGATTCCTCAAAAGAAAAACCGCATCTGACGAGGGAGAGTTCCCAAATCAGCTTCAAATCTGCTTTCCTATTCTGCGGAACAACTCTACGAGAGAAGTTATGAGCGTTTGAAAGTCTAAATTTGTCATGTTTTAAGTGTCTCAAAATCGGCGAAACCTGTACAATTACACATGAAAGTGATTTATCACTTTTGTATCAAGTATATTGATTACAAGGACGGAACACAGATAGTGAAATTCTGTTAGGTGCTATTTTACAGCTTTTAACTGATTTCAAGCCACTTTAAACATGACAAATTTAGACATTCAAACGCTCATAACTTCTTTCGGAGAGCTGTTCTGCAGAAAAGGTAAGCAGATTTGGAATCAGCGTTCCAAGCCCGTTACGGTGATATATGACTCATCCGGGTTGGCCGAGCTGACTTGGGAACTCTCCCTTGTGAGGACATTTAGTAGTTTAGTAGTGTGAATGATGGTGAAAACAGCTTTGACAGCAACAGTCAAAAAAAAAGCCATGCGAAATTTGACTCAGAGTGATCGAAAAACTACGGAAATAGTGAGAAAATATGGAGTACGAAACCGGAGAGTGAGGCTTTTTTATCTCTACATGTATTAGTAATAAATTCCGCCAACGTTCCAAGGGAACTCCATCTTTGCATGACACATC